TCCCCCCCCCCCCAAAAATGGATAGATCACTGCCAGGTTTTTTTCTGGGAGTAGATCGCAGTCTCTTGGGAGTTGTACGTCCCTGTTTTATAGTAATCTAGATTCCCACCCCCCGCCCCGAATCTTTCAATATTGAGCCTCAGTTGATGTCCGTGAAAGAGGAAGAAAAGCGTTTCTCTCTCTGCTTTCTTCATGCCATTCATAATTTTAAAAACGTCTATCATGTTGCCTCTGAGTCTTCTTTTCTTGTTAATCCTTTTAGTTGCCCTTTTTCTGAACGTTTCCCAACTCTAAAGGTAAAGGGACCCCTGACCATTAGGTCCAGTCGTGGCCAATTCTGGGGTTGCGGCGCTCATCTCACTTTACTGGCCAAGGGAGCCGGCGTACAGCTTCCGGGTCATGTGGCCAGCAGGACTAAGCCACTTCTGGCGAACCAGAGCAGTGTGAACACTGTTTACCTTCCCGCTGGAGCGGTACCTATTTATCTACTTGCACTTTGACATGCTTTTGAACTGCTAGGTTGGCAGGAGCAGGGACTGAGCAACGGGAGCTCACCCCGTCGCGGGGATTTGAACTGCCGACCTTCTGATCGGCAAGACCTAGGCGCTGTGGTTTAGACCACAGCGCCACCCATGTCCCTACTCTACAGCATCCTTTTTGAGGCGAGGCAACCAGAACTGTACACAGTGTTCCAAATGTGGTCACGCCATAGATTTGCACAACAGCATCGGAATATACTGCCAGTTTTATTTTCAATTCCTTTACAGTGGTACCTCTGGTTAAGAACTTAATTCATCCCAGAGGTCCGTTCTTAACCTGAAACTGTTCTTAACCTGAAGCACCACTTTAGCTAATGGGGCCTCCCACTGCCGTCGCGTGATTTCTGTTCTCATCCTGAAGTAATGTACTTAACCTGAGGTACTGCTTCCGGGTTAGCGGAGTCTGTAACCTGAAGCATTTGTAACCTCAGGTACCACTGTACTTGTGATGCTGAAATTGGAAGGTGCCTGTTTCACAGGAGCTGCACCCTGGGTCAACATCTTCATCGAGTCTTCTGTTCCAACCCCAAAGTCTTGCTCCTAGTCCATCAATTCCAGGTCCCATGAATCTGAAACTGATTTTCCAGACCATATCAATCGGGGTTTAGGCCCAATTTTGGCACAGAAACTGCTCTGGTTAATGACCTCTGTTGGGAGGGGATACCACTGACCATTGTATCCTTTTGAAGTGGCTGTCCAAGTTGGGGATGGATGGTATCATTTTGTGGTGGTCCCAGCCCTACTTGGATGGATGTTTCTGTTAGGATCTAGTTCCATTCCACCTTAAAAGGGTCAGGCATGACTGTTGTGTATCACATGCCTGTTTACATCCTGCACAGTCTGCTGGGAACTTCCGTTTGTATATTGCTTTTGCTTTCCTGCTGTTTTGCTGGACACGAAGGCAAGCAGACATGTTTTTCCCTTTGTTCCTGAACTATGCTGAACAAAATACTGTACATTATGCTTACACATTTCTCTGTTCTCCTCTTCTACTGTGAGAAGATTTACATGCTCTGCTGACAGAGCGTGGACGGGTCTCTAAACGTATCTGAGGCTCGTGTCGCTGATTGATGCTGTTCCAAGGGAGACCGGTGGCTGGAGTCAGCTGGGGGCCTGCCTGATGCCCCCGTCTTCCCGGCAGTATCCCAACAGTTTCCAGAGGGTGATGTTTAGGCCCCATGGAGCCTTCAATATGAGGTTCATCAGGGCTCAATTTTATCCCCTCTGCTGCTTAACATCTACACGAAACTGCTGAGAGGGTTCGTCCAGAGTTTTGGAGTAATGTTGTCTACTTCTCCTTTATATCTGGAGGTGAGGCAGGGGATGTGTCTTGCCTCAGTAATGGACTGGATGATGATGATGATGATGATGATGACGACAACAACAACAACAACAACCATGCAGAAGGTCGCAGGTTCAACTCCCGGTATCTCCAGGTAGCTCTGGGAGCGAATCAAAGAATCATCAAATTGCAGAGTTGGAAGGAACCTACAACCCACTGCAATGAGGTTTGGAGGTTTTTAAGGAGAGGTTGGCAGGCCATCTGTAATGGATGCTTTAGCTGAGGTTCCTGCATTGCAGGAGGTTGGACTAGATGACCCTCGGAGTCCCTTCCAACTCTACAATTCAATAATAATACTACTAATAAAATAATAATAATAATAATAATAGTAATAGTAACAATAATTTATACCCTGTCCATCTGGCTGGGTTTCCCCAGCCACTCTAGTCAGCTCCCAACAGAATATTAAAAACACAATAAAACATCAAACACAAAAAACTTCCCTAAACAGGGCTGCCTTCAGATGTCTTCTAAATGTCAGATACAGTGGTACCTCTGGTTATGTACTTAATTCGTTCCGGAGGTCCGTTCTTAACCTGAAACTGTTCTTAACCTGAAGCACCACTTTAGCTAATGGGGCCTCCCGCTGCTGCCGCCACACAGTTTCTGTTCTCATCCTGAAGCAAAGTTCTTAACCCGAGGTACTATTTCTGGGTTAGCGGAGTCTGTACCCTGAAGCGTCTGTAACCCGAGGTACCACTGTAGTTTATCTCTTTGACATCTGATGGTAGGGCGTTCCACAGGGTGGGTGCCACCACCGAGAAGGCCCTCTGCCTGGTTCCCTGTAACCTCACTTCTCACAGGGAGGGAACTGCCAGAAAGCCCTCGGAGCTGGACCTCAGTGTCCAGGCAGAACGATGGGGGTGGAGACTCTGGATCATCTATTCCAACCCCCTCCAATGAAGGAATTTCAGCTAAAGCATCTGTGACAGATGGCTATCCAACCTCTATTTGACCACCCAGTCTCGGTTTTAAAACCTCCCAATAAAGGAGAGCCCACCATCTCCAGAGGGTATCCCTTTCACTCTTACCATCAAAAAGTTATTCCTAGTGTTTAATCAGAATCACCCTTCTTATCGTTTGAATCCGTTGGTTCAGGTCCTCCCCTCTGCAGCAGCGGAAAACAAGCTTTCTCTATCATCCACGGAACAGCCATTTAGATATTTGAAGATGGCTCTCATACCACTTCTCTGTCTCCTCTTCTCCAGATCTCCATGTGCGTCTGGAGCATGGAAAAATGGCCTAGTTCTGCAGATGGAGAGAGGGCGAAAGTGATGTAATTCCTGACCCCAATGGAAGAGAAAGATCTGAGGATGGACATCAGGACAGAGATATCCCATCTCATTCTCATGTGGAATGTGGGCAAAGCATTTCCATAAGACCTGGGATTCCTTTAAAAATATATAAAGCATTCAAATGACTTAATTTGACCATTGGGTTCAAATTTTGATGTTGGAATTTTGAAAGCAAAATGTGACCTAGGAAGGACCTTCCCCTGTTCACATAATTTGATTTAATGACTGGTTTGCAGAACGGTGAGCCTGGTTTTCAAATAAAGAAGTAAATAAATAAAAACTTAAAATCGAATTTAGATGAAAATACAGAACTGAAATGACAACTGAAAATAGACAAGTAATAAACACAATAAAGCACAAAAGAAATATTACCTTTCAAGTACCAGGGACACGATGGAACGATGCAGAGCAAAGGCACATAGGAAGACAATAGAACGTTGGACGGAAGGTCATCCAAATGTCATCTGGGGCTGTTGAAGAAAAGGCCCTGCGAGTTTGGGGAAATAAATCCGGACTCCACAACCATTTGAATCTGCTGCATCAGCTGACCTTAAATGTTGGGGCAATTCACAATGATATTTGGGAATGGACTAAATTCAACTGAATAATTGAATATAATTAATAGTAGAAAACTGATTAGGAGACATTGCAAGATTTGCAAAGCAGTGATTGGATACTGTGAAACGCTGGCTGTTACTTCACATCTTTGAAGTCTGTAATTTATTCATACATTCACTTAGAAAACTGTATAGACCATTTCCATCATAAAAATCTCTATGGGGGGGTACACAAAAAAGGAATTATGAACAAAACATGGATAAAATCAGCAAAACTTGAAAAGCAAAAATTTGCAAAGTAATTATATCAAGAAAACTGTTAGTAGGCATCTGGGATTATAAAAAAAATTGCGTTACATGTATGGCACAATTTCCTCCCCCTTTCTCTGATACAGGATATTGCCTTTTCTTTTCACATTTGCTTATATGCTAAAGCTTTGCAGTAGAGAAACCTATCTGCTGCTGCTTGTCTGTTGCTGCATGTCTGCTGCTGCATGTCTGTCGGCTACTGGGAGGAAGCATTGCATGTCAAACGGTGACGTTGAATATAAAATACTGGCCAAATATCCAGCCATTTGGAAAATGCTTGCCATCACGGTTTGCAGAGGGAGCATTTGAAGAACAAATTTCAACCAACGTGCTGCCATCTGCCTTATTGCAGGGCAGATTCGAGGCTAAACCGTACGTGGAACGAGTCTGCCCCTGCGGCTTGATGGAGGTAGAAACTGTCTCTCGTGTCTTGTTATGCTGCCGTTTCTACGGGGATCTACGCTCGGTATTTATCACTCCTGTTACACAAAAATCTCCAAATGGGTCCGAACTTCAATATCTAAAACTCCTGGTAGAGGACAAGGATCTAGAGATCATGCTATGGGTGGCCAAATTCTGTGGGACTGCCATAAAACCTAGGGAACAAGCTGTACTACCAAAATGATTAGGGTTTTAAATGGCAATTTTAGGTTTTATTTTAGTGATCAAGATTTTAACTGCCTCTATATCTGTATTGTCTCTGTTATATCCAATTGCAATTCAATGTATTCCTGTTGTGTTTTATGATTTTTCTGATACTATAAGTGAGCCGGAAATGGTCTGTGACCGTAATAATAAAATTCAATTCAACGAATTTCAACGTACAGGACTCTGCTATCCTAGTCAGAGAAGTGGGTCTGTTTCCCAGGAAACTTGAGCTTCAGCAATAACCCACAAAAGCAGCACATCTCAGATGTCTAGAAAGGGAGAGAGGTTCAAAGAACGGAGGGAGACAGCTGATCTTGAATTCAGACTTTATTTTGTTTCTAAAATGAAAGTAAAAGAGCAGTACAAATATGCTTTGGCATGAGAAAGAGAGAAGATTTGTCCAGGAGCATTTTATTCCACCCCCCCAACCCCCCAACTCTTTATTTTTCTATGGGTGAAAAAACCCCCAGCTAAGAATAAAATTCTCCCCAATTGCTCGGAAGCAAGTTCCCCCCCTGCAATACCCTTGCAAGAGATCACGTCTACGTCGATATGGTGTGTACATAGCGTCATTTATAATAAATAGCTCTTCTTTAAAATCCCATATCTAACATTATATACAATGTCAAGTATTAGAAATTGGGGGGGGGGGGTTAATTCTTCTTCGCCTGTGGAAAAATAGCAAAATGCAGGGTCACCTTTGCAACTTTGCAAAACACCGGCTTGATCCATTTCCCCCGTGACCTTGGAATTCTGCCCCCAACCCCCAAAATACCCTAATAGTCCAAGTGGGCTGGCCCATAAAATGAAGAGGAAGAGGAAGGGAATATTGCCACAGGGCTCAGTCCTAGTCTTGAGCGTCTCCCCAGCTTGATTCCCAGCAACTTGCTGCATCGGTCATGCAGCTGCAGCATAGAATTATAGGACTGCCAAGTTGGAAGGGACCCCTGAAGGTCATCCAGTCCAACCCCGATTTGCAATGCATCTCACGCTTAGGTTAGTTAGGCTGAGATTTCTTTCCCCCCAGACTTGAGCCACGGCCTTTGGTGCGCAGCGTTAGCCGGAAAAGGAAAGCGGAGCGGCTCTTTGGCAAAGGAGAGGCGTAGCAATGGGTAGGAGCAGCGTTCCAGTGCCAGCGAAGGGAGGCTACGGGTTCGAGTTCCGACCAGAGACATGTCCAGAGGCGTCAGCTTTTGCATTTGGCAGACTTCATTCTTTCGCAGCGGAGTCTTGCAACAGGGTAGAAGGCAGGCTTTTTGCATTTTGCCACCTGTTATGAATTTCTGGATTTATTTTTGCAACAAAGCATTTCCCTTTGATGAGTGTATTGGGATCGGTTTGCCCATCAGAGCGATGGGGCAATGTGAAAAAACAGCTGGCACCTGCCTTTGGCTTGCTTAGTGGCCTTGGCCCTCCCAGTTGCATGTCAGCCAGGGATTCTTTTGCTGAGGTCCCTGCATTGCAAGGGGTTAGACTGGATGATCCTTGAGGGCCCCTCCCAACATTATGATTCAATGATTCTGTCTACCCTCTTCCCACCCCAGTTGCACCATAAAACACTCACCCAGACTCAATGATTTCTCCCAGCTGGTTGTGGGAGAATCACTGCAGCTCTTAAGCTGTAAGAATCATAGAACTGTTGAGTTGGGGGGTGGGGCTACCAAGGGTCATCCAGCCTGACCCCTTTGCCATGCAGGAATCTCAGCTAATGCACACTTCCTTGTTCACACGTACATTTCCTCCACTCTTTCCAGGCATGGCTCACTCTTTATGTGGGATGTGAAACACAAGAGCAGTCAAGTACAACATTCCTAGAGTGAACATGTTTACACATGGGGAGGAATGTTTGTCCAGCCAGCAGGTCAACTTCCTGTTTCCTTCTGGGCTGGGACAGACTTCCTCTGCATGTGACTAGAGGTGGGCGTGGCCTCACCTGTGCAGGTAACGACAAAAGCACAGGGCAGGGCAGCCATCTCTCTCTTTTTGACTACATGCATCGAAGAAGCAACATCTGCCTAGGGACTATCTCCTTATGAGATAGTCTCCAGGTGTATGTTACTTTTCTAAGCTAAGTCTGCCTTCTGGGATCCGATTGTGAACAGAATGTGAGTAAACTCTTTTTATACTTTTATAGAAGACTGTGTCGTGTCTTATCTTTTATGAGGGAATAAGGGGGAAATACCACAACAGTTATTATAGAGGCTTGAGCGAGCCTGAGCAAACGCATCCGCTGTGAGTTTAAAAAGGGGGATGTTACTCTGCTAAATTGTGAACACAAGTTGGAAAGGCTATAATCAGACAATATATGCTCTCCTGCATCCCTGAACATTCCCACACTTTAAAGCACCGCCGAGCACCGCCCTTCCCCCCCCCACCAGAACCTCGATCTCTAAAGCTGAATCGGAGCAAACAGCAATGGGCAGGAAACCTGAATTGACATTTGCTCTGATAATGCACTCAAGAGTGTTTCTTTTCGTGGGGGGAAAGATGGAGCTTTAAAGCACAGAGCTGTGTCAGGAAAGAGCTGGGTGAAAGGTGGGTGTGGCCAAGTCCCTGAGACAGCTTTCAAATGCCACTCTCATTCATTGCTTCTGGGTGTTGCGGCTGAATATTATCATTTTTCTGGTTTCTATCTTTATTCCCCCGTCACCAGTGAAGCCCTGCGGAATTCCCCCTGCAGTCGAGGAATTCAGCAAAAGTCCCTGATTTCGAAGCAGGACAGGGAAAGAAGTCTAAAAACACATTTTTTCCCTAGACTTTAGCTGCCCGGCTAATTCGTTGCAGCAGAATCGCTTCTGATAGCTCAAGGAAAACAGACGGTGAACCCAGATCCGTTGATGGGGCAGGGGGAGGTCTTACTATTCTGAGATAATAACCCTGCAAGTTGCTTCCTTATCTCAGAATAATTAGGAGGCTCTGAGTTTAAGACTGGGGGTGACTAGGGACTCTTGATCTGCCTTGGTTTCGTCTGGCGCCAAGTGAGGAAACTGCACTCATTTCCTTGGATGTGCAAAGGAGGGTGGAATATAGGGTTTCCCCGGAAACAAGCAGTGGATCAAGAATAAGGAGCTTGGATGGAAATAATTTGGGGTTCGCTGCACCCACATTATTGTGTGTGTGTGTGTGTGTGTGTGTGTGTCCTGCTGTCTGAACATGGAGAACCGCCAACTGCTGCAAAATGACCCCGGCGTGGGTCATTCATGTTGCACGTAACTCAATGTTAAGTCCTGTTGAGCTCAATAGGACTTAGAAGCATAGAGTTTCAGAGTTGCAAGGGACACCCAAAGCTCACCTAGTCGAACCCGTGCAACGCAGGGATCGGGGCTTGTAAATTGAGACTCATTTCTCCCTGCGCAGCTCAGATGTGTGTGACTCATTGCCTCTAGTGTGGGGCTCTACTGTTAAGGGTGTGGGATGTGATACATAAGGAGCAGTCAAGTACAACATTCCTCGTTTTCCTAGAGTGGACATGCAGGGGGATGTTTGGTCCAGCCAGTTGAATACTTCCTGTTTCCTCCTGGCTGGAGCATCCTTCCTTTGCATGTGACTGAATGTGGATGTGACCTTACCTGTCCAGGTAACACAAAAGGATAGGACACGCAGCACACTCTTTCTTTGACGCCATGCATCGTTGGATCAGCTTTCTAGCTAGAGATGCTCTGTTGGCTTCCAGCCAACAGAGGACACTGGGATTATCCCCATATGGGGTACATCCAAATGTATATACTTTGTACCTAAGTCTGCCTTCAGGGATCCAACTGTGAACAGAATGTGAGTAAACTACTTTACACAAGATTGTGGCTTGTTTATTCTTTTAAGAGGGATATAAGGTGACTTACCAGGAACCTAATAGTGAGAGGCTTACACGAGCCTGCAACCAGCTACCCACTGTGCATTTTAAAGGGGAAAGTGAAAGTCTGCTAAGTTATAGAACTTGCTAGCACAAGTTAGGAAGGGTATTAATAAACAATATATCCTCTCCTGTCTCCCTGAACATTCCCACAGAGCGAATTATAGTGATCAACATACATTTGAGGTTCACTATATTGCAGGGTTATGGGTATAACCATAAAATTGGTTGCAAGGGACCCTCAAAGGTCATCCAGCCCAACCCCCTGAGATGCAGGAATCACAGCAAACTGATGGTATTCAGGATAATTTTATAATATGACTTTTCTCGTGGTTGTGCTGTTTAGCCTATTTGTTAAGCTGTTTCGTTAACAGTGCTTTATTGAAGGAGGTTGTTTTACCGATGATTTGTTAATTATTTTACATGATTTATGTTGTGATTGCGGTGTTCTGCTATGGTATTATTTATTGTACGTAAGCCGCTTTGTGACTCGGGTGAGTTAAAAGCGGTATACAAATTTAAAAATGAAATGAAATGGATGAAAGCGCATCAGGGGAGCCTTGCTGGAACAGAACAAAAAACTCATCTTGCCTCCTGCAGACAAACAGATATTCCCAGGCATCAGTCAGGGATTTTCCAAGGGGAGGGGGGCAAAGGAAAACTCAGAAAGAGAGAGAGCAAGTTAACACCCCCCAAAAAATTAGAAAAGCACCTGTACGTTGTTCCTCCTATCTCAGGTTCTACAAAGGCTAGAAACTTATTCTTGATTTTTTGAATGAAAAACGGGGATCTGGAGATTATGGTTCATATGGAGGGGGTGGGAACTGCCCTCTTTGTCGCCCTGGGGGCACCCATATTTTCAGGGTCTCATGAAGAGGGGTATTCCTGAGGGATTAGAACAGGCTTCCTCAACCTCGGCCCTCCAGATGTTTTGGGACTACAACTCCCATGATCCCTAGCTAGCAGGACCAGTGGTCGGGGATGATGGGAATTGTAGTCTCAAAACATCTGGAGGGCCGAGGTTGAGGCAGCCTGGATTAGAACCGCAGAATCGTTGAATTGTGGAGCTGGAAGAGACCTCCATGGGAGTTGTTCACACGACACGTAGATTCACAGTCGCCCAGGTACGTGTTGCCGGGTGCATGCAGTTTTCTGTTGTGAAATGTTGCCTTAAAAAGGCAAGGAATTAATGAGGAATGCTGGGAAGAAGACTACAGCTCCCATAATCCCCAGCGGCTGGCCAGGGATGATCGGAACTCTAGACCAGCATTCTCAGGAGAGCAGCGTGTTGGCCACCCCTGAGTTCAAAGGCCAGGGACACAGGAGGGGTGCAAGACCTCCCTGCCATGTTTCAGTTTCAGTAAATGACATATTTGAGGTCCTGAGCCGGGGCTTCACTGTGTTCCCAACGCTGGATCTGAATTGCGAAGGAAGTGCATCTGAGCATGTGCAGAGCGCCTGCCCAGAACTCGTCCCTGGAACCCTGGACAGCCACCGCTAGGCAGCATGAGGGTTCCTGTGCTGGGCTGAACCCTGGCTTGTCTCAGTACCAGATTCCTGACTTCCTGGGTTCCTACAATCCAGACTTTGCTCCTCTTGGATCAGGGTTTCCAGGCACAATTGATCCTCCACTTGAGAAACTGTGGCTCATTTAAGCCAGCCGGCAGATATTGCTTTCTCGCCTCCCTTCTTACTCCCAGGTAATGAAATGCGTGAGGGAAGATCTCATTCGCTCAGTGCCTCCCCTCCCCGTTAAGCCACTATTGCTTAACGACGCGGGATGGGCATGATTGACAGCGGCGAGAGCAATATGCTCGCTTAATGCTTCCTGGCCTAATTCTGCCTCCTAAGAGGCCTGTACAGCTTTGCCAAAATGGACGGATCAGAAAAGGGGTTTTTATCGAGCGGGGCCGTGAATTGCACACATGCACACACATGCATTTCTTTCCGCACCCTCCTTCCGAAAAGAGCCCAGGGATCGTTCCTCCTCCATCGACCCATCCATCTTCCCCCTCCACGCTTTGCGCTCTGGAACCAGCCACAGGGCACCGGGCGGCATCCCAGAGGGTTCGTCTGCAACCCAGCCGGCCTCGACTTCCTCCTTTGCCTACGTGACGCTTCGCGGGTTGCCTCTGCCACCGCGGCCGGGGTCACATGGGCAGAAATATAAAAAGCTTTCGCCTAAGACCGTCTTAGCCTAATTTGCTCGCTGGTGCGTGAGCCTGTTTTACTTGGGAAGCAGAGCTGCACTGTGATTCTCTGTCTCTCTCTCTCTCTCTCTCTCTCTCTCTCTCTGTACTTTCCTCCCAATTCCCTCCGCTGTACCACACACAGTGTTCTGCACACCAATGTTCAGCAAATGTGCAGAAGGAGAAGTAACGAATGCTCGGGAGAAAGTTTAATGCTCTTAGCTCCAGAGCAGGCCACGGACGGAGGGCGAGTTCAGTGGAACTTGCCCCAGGAAGGGAGAGAATGGGGACAGGGGTTCTCCACCACCACCATCACTCAGAAAGAACAGTGGCCTCTAGAGCCAGCCCCAAACATTGCGCTGCCCAAAGGGAGTGGCAAGATGGCATCCGCTCCCGGACCGATCTAGGACGTTGGAGATGGAAGAGAAGTGCCAGGACCCCTCCTCCTCCTTTGCAACCCCTCGCCCACTGCCGCAGCTTCCACCATCTGAAACAACGACAGTTGTACCTTGGTTCTCAAACGGAATCCGTTCCAGAAGTCCATTCCACTTCCAAAAACGTTCAACACCCGAGGCGTGGCTTCTGATTGGCTGCAGGAACTTCCTGCACTCAACTGGAAACAGCGTTGAAGGTTCGGCTTCCGAAAAAGGTTCACAAACCGGAACCCTCATTTCTGGGTTTGCGGCATTCGGGAGCCAAAATGGACGAGTACCAAGGCGTTTGACAACCAAGGTACGACAGTAATATAAGGTGGGGGACACATCCTGTGCAACTGTCCTGTTTAAAGTGGGACACCCTGAATGTACATACGTCACCCTGTAAGGCAGGTAAATAGTATCATAGAGTCATAATTTGAATCCAATGCCGATGAACTTTAATCTTTTTGTAGAGAGAGGGAAATCACAAACTGGTGTGGAATCATGGAGAACTGAACTGGAAAAGATGAGAAACCAAAATGGGCAGATCGGATGCTTCTCTGATCGGATGCTCCTCTGATCTGAGTTGGCAGATGGAGGGGGCCTCTGGTCTGGCTGACCCCACAACGTTCTAGCATGCCCCCAGCACCTATGTGGGTTGGTTCGAAGGCCATTGGCCAACATCAATGGCGGAGATGTGGCTGATTTTCCAATAGGAGCAACAGGCTGGTGGGATCAATGGACTTCTCACTGGCTCATTTTTGCCTGCTAAATACCCCTCTTTTGTATGGCTACTGCATTTTTGCAGGAAAACAGCCGTTCCTAGAAAAGTGGGAATCTCTTGGCCGCAGGGGTGATGGATCGGAGCTTGCCCCCACAAATCAGGATGTTGGTGGCATGATCCTGCGCTGTGCCTAAAGAAAAGAGCAACGCAACCGCCCTCCAAAACAGAGACGGGTTTGAGAGGAAGATGTGGGGGCTGAGGGCAAAAAGAGGGAGGGGTGGGTCAAGACTGGGGAGATGTGGGGCACAGCTCTGAGCCCCGTGGAGCAGGACTTGGGTGTTTCACGGGCTCCATGTACTCTTGCATAAAAGGTCTTGTATAAAGCTGCAAGGAGGGGCGAGTTCATCCGCGTTGCGGAAAACACACAAGCCCAGAGGTGCGCGACCCAGGAGCTGCTTTGCACGGCCTCATCCCCTGGAGTGGAGATCGCCCCGAAGGAACGGGACGCATCACATCAATGGCTGCCTTTGGCCACCCAAGCGCCGACACGCAGCATTCGTAACTGAAGACATTTGCACACTTAGGGTCAGAGTTCCCTGCCCCGTATCGGATGCACAAACCCCTCCACACAGGGGAGAAAGGAGCTAACTCACCCCTAAAATGAAGGGAATGAAATGAATGGCGTGGGGTGACCCAGAACTTAATTTCCCCCCATTTATTGGCCAGGGGTGGGGAGAGATGCTATGTCCTTCCATCAGTCTACACAGTCTATACAGAGGTATAAATCACACTCAGCCAGGAGAGCTGCCGCTGCCCCCCGCCCCGCCCCACTTTATCCCATACCCCACTCCCATGGGGGGGGGGACCCCGATTTTCAAGTTTCACATTTTTGCGGAGCTGCTGCAACTGGGAGCATTCAGAAGTGTGGCTGGCGGGACTCCCTTCCAGGGAAGAATGGGCTCGAAGCAGCTGACCCCTCTGGAGCAGCTTGACCTCCATATCTCACCCCCCTTTCTGCAGCTGAGCCCCCTCGGAGCTCTCCATGACTCGGTTTCCCCGTGACCCAGGGAGCCAACCCATCTCTTGCTCTGTCCTCCTAGGCTCACAACCACAACGCCCGGCCCAGCTGCCGACTCTTCCCTTCCCTTTAGATTGTCACCTGTATGAATTTTCGGTTACGGTGGGTATCGTTCCTCCCAGCCTGGGGTCTCTGCCTGCCTATCTCCCCACCCCACCCCCACCGCTCTCCTCCTCCCCTTCCTCTGCCATTTAGGACAGTCCCGGAGAGGGTCTCGCCAGCCTTCAGACCGAGCTGCGCCGCTTCATGAGTCCCTGGAAGGCGGACAGGCTGTGCAGGCCTGTGGATACAGAGCTGATGGCCGATCGCTGGGCGTTGCAGAAGCACCGGTTGGGCGGCGTCTCGGGGTACCGCCCCGGAGACGAGTGGCTCTGTTCCATGCAGGTGTCTGAGGTGGAGAGGTCCCTGGGGATGATCATGGGAATGGAGTACTGCAGCTTCTCCCGGCTCTTGTACCAGAGGCAGGAGCACATGGACTGGAAGTGCAGGACCTCGGCATAGACGTTCCGGAGGCCCCCCCGGCCCCCGGCCCCGCTGCCCACCCCCACGCCCCCCAGTGCGGCGGCCGTGGAGGACGCCGTGGTGTCCGTGGTGTGGACGCTGCTGGCTTGGCCGTTGCGGCTGAGCAGCGCCCGGTGCTCGGCGTCCCTCTTCTCATCCTCAGCGTTCATGGTCATGAAACGCAGCACCACCAGGTTGAGGAAGGCGCCGATCACGGTCAGGCCGGTGAGGATGTAGATGAAGCTGAAGGCCACGTACTGGGGCTGAGTCTGCAGGGCCTGCTCCTTCTGCAGGGCCACATAGTCTCCGAAGCCGATGGTGGTGAGCGTGATGAAGCAGTAGTAGTAGGCCTGGAAGAAGGTCCAGTTTTCGTAGTAGGAGAAGGCGGCGGCCCCGATGCAGAGGGTGCTGATGCAGGAGAAGAAGCCGATGGTCACCATGTTGGCCATCGAGACCTCCGGCCGCCTCATCCCAAGGCACTTCTTGATGCGGTGCAGGAGGTACCTCACCAGCGTGTTAATCCTCTCCCCGAGGCTCTGGAACATGACCAGGGTGAGCGGGATCCCCAGCAGGGCGTAGAACATGCAGAAGACCTTCCCACCATCGGTGCTCGGGGCCGCATGGCCGTACCCTGCGGAACAAAGACACAAAGCAGAGGCAAGCCCGGTCAGTAGCGCCTCGCGGGTTACGGGGACCGGTCGCTGGCGGGGAGGAAGGTGGAGAGAAGGGCCTCCCACCTCCTCGTCTGGGCTCGGCAGGCAGGCGTGCTGGGAGTTGCCTCCTCCTCCTCGTCCAAAATGGCAGCCGGAGAGACGGGAGGGGAGTCGGGATGGGCGCCGCTCTGGCCTGCAAACTCGGTGGTGGTGTGTCTGGGCCACGGTCCTCCTCTTCCGGTCCATGTGCTCCTGCTTCTGGTACAAGAGCCCGGAGAAGCCACAAGGCTCCATCGCCATGATGATGTTGTTGCCGCCAATGCCGCCGCCACCCCATCCCTCCAGCCTGGGCACGCAGCAGAGCCACACCACCATGTCTGCAGGCAGGAGCAGCGCCCACCTCAAGCAAAGCGAGGGGGCAAAGGGGGGAAAGTGAGGGTCAGGGACGTGGGGGGTTGGCCTTGTCGTAGGGCTCACCTTATGGGTCATGGAGGGCTGTGTGGGGAGGATAAAGGGATGGGCAAACGGAAACATGGAAGGATGGAGGGGGGAATCGGAGGGGAACAAAGTCACGGAGTGTGGTGTGGCTATGCAAAGTGCCCAAGGTGTGCTTCCCCCACAGACCGGTATATTTCGTTATTTATTGTTAAGTACAGTCATACCTCATGTTGCATCCGCTTCAGGTTGTGTTTTTTTGGGTTGCGGACTGCTGAAACACAGAAGTACCAGAACAGGTTACTTCCATGTTTCAGCAGTCGCGCATGCACAGAAGCACTAAATCGTGCTTTGCGCATGTGCAGAAGTGCCAAGTTGCAACCCGTGCGTGTTGTGAACGCTGCGGGTTGCGAACATTCATCCTGCACAGATCGCGTTCGCAACCTGAGCATCCACTGTACTCTTCACCTTAAAGTCCAACCGTCAGGGAGCTGACAAGAAGAACAGGTCGTTCACAGATCAGAGAAAGACAGGGAAACACCAGCTAACGTACAATTAATTGGTTTTTGTTTTTTTCCATTAAGGAAGCAGAACAGAGACTTCTCAGGGTTGATCCTGTCTAGATGAAGCAGTTGCCCGGACTGGCTTGTAACGCCGCCGCCCCCTCCTCTCCTTATCCCTCTGTGTCCAGCCCTTCACTCTGTCTACGCAACTCCCAAGGGACCCTCTCTGTGTCTGCCTGGCTCTCTGCTCAGACGCCTTGTTCTGGGAGTGGAGGGGGCTTGCCAGCTGTCAGAGGAGAAGCTGTTAGGGTGGCTCTGTGATGGAGCTGCCAGGTCAGATTCCTGTCTCTGCCTTGCGCTGGGCCACCTGCCTGTTTCCTCCTTTTTCTCCTCCTCCAAGATCCCAGCTTCTAGCACTTCTCAGCTCTTCCCCTCCTCTGGGGTGTGGGCCTAAACCACTATTCCCACCACTAGAATCCAGAATTCAAATTGTCTTCCTATGTGCTTCCACCATTCCTTTTCATCCAGCCAGTGCCTGACACTAGGGCAGATTACAGCAAATAATAATAATAATAATAATTTATTTGTACCCCACCCATCTGGCTGGGTTTCCCCAGCCACTCTGGGCTGCTTCCAACAAAGATTAAAAATACATCAAAATGTCACACATTAAAAACTTCCCTGAGCAGCACTGCCTTCAGATGTCTTCTAAATGTCAGGTAGTTGTTTATCTCTTTGACATTACAAAACAGCATTAAAAATAAACAACAGCAACAATGTATTATCTATATCCCGCCCCTCTGGGCGACTCCCAACAGAATTAAAAGCACAATAAAACATTAAACATTAAAAACTTCCCTAAACAGATGTCTTCTAAAAGTCAGATAGTTGTTTATTTCCTTGACATCTGATGGGAGGGTGTTCCACAGGGTGGGCGCCACCACCGAGAAGGCCCTCTGCCTGGTTCCCTGTAAGCTCACTTCTCACAGGGAGGGAACCTCCAGAAGGCCCTTGGTTAAGGTTACCAGACAACCCCGTTTCCCTGGATTTACTAATCAGTCCCCTGACAAAATCCATCTATTTAGTAGGAAGTTGAAAGGTGTCGCTTGGCGCTGGACCTCAGTATCCTGATTGAACGATTGGGATGGAGACACTCCCTCAGGTATACTGGGCCTTTGAGGCTGTTTAGGGCTTTAAAGGTCAGCACCAACACTTTGAATTGTGCTCGGAAACATACCGGGAGCCAATGTAGGTCTTTCAGGACTGGTGTTATACGGTCTCGCGGCCGCTCCCAGTCACCAGTCTGGCTGCCACATTCTGGATTAATTGTAGTTTCCGGGTCACCTTCAAAGGTAGCCCCACGTAGAGCGCATTGCAGTAGTCCAAGCAGGAGATAACCAGAGCATGCACCACTCTGGCGAGACAGTCTGCGGGCAGGGAGGGTCTCATCCTGCGTACCAGATGGAGCTGCTAGACAGCTGCCCTGGACACAGAATTAACCTGCACCTCCATGGACAGCTGTGAGTCCAAAATGACTCCCAGGCTGCGCACCTGGTCCTTCAGGGTCACAGTTACCCCATTCAGGACCAGGGAGTCCTCCACACCCACCAGCCCCCCTGTCCCCCCAAAAAATAGTACTTCTGCCTTGTCAGGATTCAACCTCAATATGTTAGCCGCCATCCATCCTCCAACCGCCTTTCAACGGCTGAAACAACTTTAGACCCTAAAAACAAGGTGGGTCCTAAGAACATACCACTCCAGTGTCAAGAGAAAAGAGGTGTTTCTTCTGCAACCTTTGGAAGCCATACAACGAAGGTGACATAGCTTAGGGGCCACCACTGAGAAGACCATATCCTGCTGGACCAGAACTACCCCTGAGCCTCTGAGGATGGAGGAACTACAAAGAGAGCCCCCTCTGCTGATTTCAGCCCCCACTGCAGTGAAGGAGGCAAACCTCTTGATATTTCACCTTTTGGTTCTCCCTCACAAAGCGTGGTTGATTTGCCAGCTGGGATGTACGGAACTGGAAAGCAAAAACTCTTGTTCCAGTTTCAGACAAAGGTGTTAAAGGTCAGGTTTCCCAGGGGGCTTGCATAACAGGCTACTGCCGTTTGGGGTGGGGTCACAGCTTCTGTCCCCCCCACCCCCATTTCAAATTGGAAGCCTGCTTGTGTTGGGTTTTTCTTTATCTTGAGATGGTCAATGGTGCTACTCAGAGGCTTGGCAGCACACCTGTGGTCTCTTGACAATGTGACTAATTGAAGGGGGAGTTTACTTTCTGCACCGAATGAAGGGATGTGATAGGGTAATTGGTTATTTGAAAACTGTATTTAAGTTAATCAAATGTTTTGTATGCTGGTGATGAGTGATGGCTTACAGCGTTTGACTGTTAAGTATTTGAAATAAAACTAAGCAAAGATATTTATTTCTTTGCCCCAGTCGCTGCGCACACTCTGTGTTGGCACAGAAGTCCAACAGCCAAATGAGACAGAAATTTCAGCCGGTCGAATCTAGGATTGGGGGAGAAATCCAATGCAGAACATGTTCAAAACCAGCTCTACCCAATCCACACTTTCCAAGGCGATATGCAGATTGAGACTCAGACGTCCTTCAAAAGTCTCACTTAGCCGAATTTTGCAATGCAGTGATCCAACCAAGCAACGCTTGCATAAATGCAAACATTACAGGAGCATGTGCATAAGAATGAAGGTATTAGTGCAAATAACGTACCAAAAAAATAGGGGAAATGGCTTGCAAAAAATGATAAGGCTGCATATAAATATGTGTTTATCAGGACAGATTTGCACTGAAATCCTGACAAATTTTCATTGGTAATCACAAATTGCCACCAGATGCAGAGGACTGTGTTTAAGACTGGGGGGAAATGAGAAAGTGAGAGATCATGAATTGACAGGTCCTGTCCTTCCATCCCTTGTTAAATCAGATACAGGAAATGACAATAGCCGTAAATCTCAGCGGCCTTGATTGTTACTGGGCAGGAGAAGCCAGGCCTTCGAGACAAACTAGACAGCTAGGTTACTCCCCATTGCTGGCCCTTTGCAGTCCTGGATTTATGTGGGGGCCCCAAAAAAATTTAAAGGGGACAAATTGGATGTATATTTCCAAAATATAAGATAAAAAACAAATAAAATAAAACCTGTTTTGTGTTGTGTAGGCTCCTAAGATGTAAGTCATGGGCCCCGCCTGCTCGCCTGCTCCCTCTAATATCACTGGTTTGCTCATTTCTATATATAGGGTGCCTACATTCTGCATGGACTGGTTGCAGGGCAACATGTGCAAATGGCTTGAGATACCTGTGAGGTCCATAAATGACCATATAGCATCTATTCAACACAAAAACAGGGACAATTTGTTGTTGGCAAAGGACAGCTGGACATAGAAAGGGCCCCATTCCCTTCAGGAGCTTAGGACCTCATCCAACCTCAATCCAGCCCTGGTCCTTTGTAACGGGGAAGAGAGGGCTAGTGGGAAGAGCTCGCTGGCAGTTAACCCATGACGAGCCAGGCTTGAACTTAAGTCAAGTTGTGGACTCAGATAATGAGCTGGGGGAGAGGATGAGAAAACTTTGAGATCCCCGCGGCACATTTTGAACTGTGGCAATCTCTTTGGTGCAGCCCAGTTGCACATCAAAAGGAAAACACACAGCCACAATTCTTCACAGCTGGCGATTCTCTGTCCAGGAATCAAAGAGCATCAACTCAGAAGACCTTCTGGCACAGGAGAGTGGTTTGTACAGAAGGAGGCATTCTTACTCCCAAACCAGCCAGAGGATGCTGCCACCATTTATGGGCTTGTTTTATTTCATAGACCACTGACTGTAGGAAGAGAAAAACAAACAAACCTTGAAGCAGTTTACAAAAAAGATAAAGCCGTAAAATGATCACTAAGAAAAAAATTGCAGGAGCGCAGAGAGAAGAATTGTGCATCTTCAGCAGCACAACTGGACGCCTTCCTCTGCCCCGGTTGCAACAAAACATGTCTCTCCTGCATCAGTCTCTGCAGCCACAACTGGTGCTGCAACCTCCCAGCTGTTTGACTCTGCCCACAAAAGCACAGCCTTCCCTTGTCTCCCAAGACAGGCGGATGTCAAGAAAAACCAGCAACAATTACCGTACTTTTCCATGTATTAGATGGCGGTTTTTAATTTTAAAAAAAGCTTTAAAATTCAGGGTTGTCCTATACACGGATAGTGCATAGGGGTGACGTGTGATTGGCTGTTGCCGCGACCTGGAGGTTGTCAGCGGCTATTAGGCATGTTATTGATGGCTGCGGCAAGGGGTGGTGTTGATTGGCTGTCGCTGCGTTAATTGGGCGGGCGTTTGGAGGCTTGTGCCTGCGATGGGACAGATGACAAGCAGGCAAGCAGCTATCGCGACGCATGCGAGCAGCAGGGCATGCGGGTGAGCGATTTTTGGCAATCCTCCCTAAAAAAAGCTCAAGAACTCTGGGCAATTTCGCAGAGTTGCAGGTGCTGCCACACCGAACAATTGAGTTCTTGCAAATGTGGAATGGCACCGATCGAAGAGGTTCCCGATTGAAGAGGTTGTGTTGGTGCACGTAGGGTTAAATGATCTCACAGGTAAACAGAGAATCGTAGAGTTATAAGGGACCCCAAGGATCATCTAGTCCAACCGCCTGCAATGCAGGAATATGCAGTTGTCCCATATGGAGATCAGATCTGCACCACGCTCTAGCCAACTGAGCTATCCAGACACATCATTGTAAATTTAATTTAATTTAAAAATATGGTGTGTGTTTTTTCAACTACCCTCTCAGCAATCTTAAGAAGCATTTTAAGTGTAATACTAAGAAGTATTATAACAGATGGAGAACTGAGGCAGCAAAAAAAATTATTTTCCAAGACCATATCAAGAAGATACAGGAGAGATTATGTATGTCAGGCCAGTTCTTCAACCCCATCCAAGTCAAGCACAACGACCCACAGGAGGGGCATATTTCTTGGGATCATCTTGAATTATCTTGCACCCATTTTTCGGACCAATAAGTAAACCTGAGCAGCCCTTTTCTATTATTTGCACACAAAAACCCGTTGAATTATTTACACAGGAACATGAAGAGGGAATTAGCCACAAACTTTCGAAAAGCAAAGGAAACTCACAAGTATCGTTATCCGATGAAGCTGGCAGGTCATGCATTTAAGAGGGCAGATAAAGGAAATATTAAAAATATTATTTACATCCCCTTAAAAAAATGATGTAGTGATGTATGGAAGTGAGAGCTGGACCATAAAGAAGGCTGATCGCCGAAGAATTGATGCTTTTGAATTCTGGTGCTGGAGGAGACTCTTGAGAGTCCCATGGACTGCAAGAAGATCCAACCTCTCCATTCTGAAGGAAATCAGCCCTGAGTGCTCAGTGGAAGGACAGATCCTGAAGCTGTGGCTCCAAGACTTTGGCCACCTCATGAGAAGAGAAGACTCCCTGGAAAAGACCCTGATGTTGGGAAAGATGGAGGGCAGAAGGAGAAGGGGACGACAGAGGACGAGATGGTGGGACAGTGTTCTCGAAGCTACCAGCATGAGTCTGACCAAACTGCGGGAGGCAGTGGAAGACAGGAGGGCCTGGCGTGCTCTGGTCCAGGGGGTCACGAAGAGTCGGACACGACTAAACAACAACAACAACTCCTCAATTTACATTGAGCAGGCAGGCAGTGTGCATTAAACAAGAGGGGTAAATATATAGGCTGCTATGGAATTCAAATAGGGACGTGGGTGGCGCTGTGGGTTAAACCGCAGAGCCTAGGACTTGCTAATCAGAAGGTCGGCGGTTCGAATCCCCGCGACGGGGTGAGCTCCCGTTGCTCGGTCCCTGCTCCTGCCCACCTAGCAGTTCGAAAGCACGTCACAGTGCAAATAGATAAATAGGTACCACTCCGGTGGAAAGGTAAGCGGCGTTTCCGTGCGCTGCTCTGGTTCTCCAGAAGCGGCTTAGTCCTGCTGGCCACATGACCCGGAAGCTGTACGCCGGCTCCCTCGGCCAGTAAAGCAAGATGAGCACCACAACCCCAGAGTCGGCCACGACTGGACCTAACAGTCAGGGGTACCTTTACCTTTATGGAATTCAAATAAGGAGATCAGACAAATTTATGGAAGACAGTAAGGCCGTCCATGAATATGAAGGACAAAAGAGAAACAGCATGGAAATTTGCCCCCCACCCAGCTTGCCCATTTCAGAAGTAAGCTGCATTCCATTCAGTTGGATCTCCTGGCAGCCAGGTCAGGATGTAGACTTGTAGGAGCTAATAATCACAGAATCATAGAGTTGGAAGGGACCCCAAGGATCATCTAGTCCAACCCCCTGCGATGCAGGAATCTCAGCTAAAGCATCCATGACAAATGGCCATCCAACCTCTGCTTAAAAACCTCCAAGGAAGGAGAGTTCCGCCGCCTTTTGAGAGAGTCTGTTCCATAATCAAACAGCTCCTATTGTGAGAAAGTTCTTCCTACAGTTTAGTCGGAATCTCGTTCTTGAAGCCATGGGTTCAGGTCCTACCCTCTGAAGCAAATGGAAGCAAGCTTGCTCCATCTTGAATGTATCATTTCTTCATCATCATTAATAATAATAATAATAATAATAATAATAATAATAATAATGTTGTTGTTTAGTCGTGTCCGACTCTTCGTGACTCCCTGGACCAGAGCACGCCAGGCCCTCCTGTCTTCCACTGCCTCCCGCAGTTTGGTCAAACTCATGCTGGTAGCTTCGAGAACACTGTCCCACCATCTCGTCCTCTGTCGTCCCCTTCTCCTTGTGCCCTCCAACTTTCCCAACATCAGGGTCTTTTCCAGGGAGTCTTCTCTTCTCATTTTTATTATTTATATTTTTATTATTTATATTTCCACAACTTCATTACAGACAGGTAAGACATGGGTCCCAGAATTGGGCACACACTTCATTCTATTAAAAAAGAAATAATCATTTGAATTTAATGATGTTTGAGGAAGCTCCCCAGTAACTCTGCTGCTGGCTTCTGCAGGCAGGGAGGTCACCGAAAGATGTTTCTCAATTTAATCTGCACGGAAGCGGCGGTTAATAACAGAGCCTCCCAGATTCTTAGCGAAGATTCAGCTCCATGTCTCTCTACCTGCCGCCATGTACTTTTCTAGCCAGCTCTCATTTCTGGAAGCACAACATTGTGTCTTCTCATTGTGGAGCTTTCCGTTCTGACGTTTCAATTTCAAAGTTGGATGGATTTATATTATGGGCGCTCCTGTTTCAAGATTTGCGTAATGGGTTTTTTTTTTACACTTTGTACACTGCTTAGAAGGCATTAAGCAGCATGTAAATTAAATAGTTACAAGTGATAGAAGAAAATGGGTCGAGGAGGGTGACCAAGACTGATCAAGGAAGCCAAGCCTTATGAGGATGCTTGAGGGAGCTGGAGAATAATTGGTTTAATTTGCACTGAAATGTACGGTGAAAAGGCCATAACTTGGAGGCTTTCCACAGGGCTATATGAAAAGCAAGAAGAGCTCTCTCTTTTTGGAGGTTAAAAATTAACTGTTGGAAGCCGCCCAGAGTGGCTGGGGAAACCCAGTCAGATGGGCGGGGTATAAATGAATTATTATTATTATTATTATTATTATTATTATCATTATCATCATTATTATTACAGTCGTACCTCCGCTTACATATCCCTCCAATTACGTAAATTTCAGGATACATAAGCGGCAAACCCGGAAGTATATGCACAGAAGCGGTCTCTCCAGTTGTGAAAACCTCAGGATCCGGCCAGACCTCCGGAACGGATCTCCTTCACAACCACTGTATTATTATTATTATTATTATTATTATTATTATTATTATTATATCTGGCAGGGATTATTCTTTAGCTGTCATTCCTGCATTGCAAGGAGGTTGAACTAGATGGCCTTTGGGGATCTCTCCCAATTTTACAATTATATGATCCCTGCTCCCTTCTTCAAGCAGAGGACTATCTCTTGCAAAAGTGGGACACTTCCCACCTCTATTCCCTCGGCACGTGTGCGAGAAACAAGCTGGCGGGTGCCATTTTGATAAATAATGCATAAACGGCGCAGAATTCAAGTTTTCTTGGCAGAGACTCTTGACATATTTATGCACGGAGTCCTGAATTATGCATGACGTGCAGAAAGTGGAGGAAGAAAAGTCTTTCTCCGCCTCTCGTCACGTTAGAACTTTCGGGCATCCAGGGAAGCTGAGCGTTGGAAGATTCGAGGCAGGCAAAAGGGAGTTCTTCTTCTGCGCAGCGCATGGGGTTCAACTGTGGAACTCCTTGCCACAAGAGGGAGTGATGGCCGCCAATCGGGATGGGTTTAAAAGAGGGCTGGACAAATCCCCCTTTTTTTCAGCTGGACCTCGCCGGAACTAAGTTCTGGCACCTCTCAGATGGGTACCATTGCCATTTCAAGAGAACGTGGGCGAATTTCATTGTGATGATGATGATGATAAATTTTATTTATATCCTGCCCTCCCCAGCCGAAGCCGGGCTCAGGGCGGCTAACAACAATAAAATAGTACAACATTCTAAAATCATTTCATTATAAAATTAATTCAAATCAAATTGATGGCAACCATCGGGCTAGAGTTCTGTGAAGATTGCCAAAGGAGGGAGTCAGGCTGTGCCCTGGCCAAAGGCTTGGTGGAACAGCTCTGTCTTGCAGGCCCTGCGGAAAGATGTCAAGTCCTGCAGGGCCCTAGTCTCTTGGGACAGAGCGTTCCACCAGATCGGAGCCAACGCCGAAAAAGCCCTGGCTCTAGTTGAGGCCAGCCTAACCTCCCTGTGGCCCGGGATCTCCAAGATGTTTTTATTTGAAGACTGTAAGGTCCTCCGTGGGACATACCAGGAGAGGCGGTCCTGTAGGTACGAGGGTCCCAGGCCACATAGGGCTTTAAAGGTTAAAACCAGCACCTTAAACCTGATCCTGTACTCCACCGGGAGCCAGTGCAGCTGGTATAGGACCGGGTGAATGTGATCCGGCAGCGAGGACCCCATAAGGAGTCTCGCCACGGCATTCTGCACCCGCTGGAGTTTCTGGGTCAGTCTCAAGGGCAGCCCCACGTAGAGTGAATTACAATAATCCAGTCTGGAGGTGACCGTCACATAGATCACAGTGGCTAGGTCAGGGCGAGAGAGGTAAGGAGCCAACTGCTTAGCTTGGCGAAAATGAAAAAATGCCGCCTTGGTTATAGCTGCAATCTGCGCCTCCATGGAAAGGGAGGTGTCAAAGATTACACCCAAACTCTTAACGGATGGTGCTGGCACTAATTGCGCCCCTGCAAGAGATTGGAGTTGCCCCCCCAATCCCATATCATCCCGTCCCAGCCAGAGGACCTCTGTCTTCGAAGGATTTAACTTCAACCGGCTCCCACGTAACCATCCAGCCACAGATGATGATGATGATGATGATGATGATGATGATGATGAATCTATGCCCCGCCTTTTCAGCTGACAGGGCACCAAGGTAGCTTACAGATAAAGTAAGAACAGCCTGCACCCTCACCACACTCTGAGGATGGTTACTCTGGCATCACTGTCAGGAAAGGAGTAACCGAATGTTACCTTGATGAACACATGCTGGGAAGGACTTTTGTGGGCCATTGTGTGGGATGTGAAACACAAGAGCAGTCAAGTACAACATTCCTAGAGTGAACATGCTTACACATGGGGAGGAATGTTTGTCCAGCCAGCAGGTCAACTTCCTGTTTCCTTCTGGGCTGGGACAGACTTCCTCTGCATGTGACTAGAGGTGGGCGTGGCCTCACCTGTGCAGGTAACGACAAAAGCACAGGGCAGGGCAGCCACCTCTCTCTCTTTGACTACATGCATCAAAGAAGCAACCTCTGCTTAGCCACAGATGCCCTCTTGGCTCCAGCCAAGAGAGGACAAAGGGACTGTCTCCTTACGAAATAGTTTCCAGGTGTATGTTACTTTTCTAAGCTAAGTCTGCCTTCTGGGATCCGATTGTGAACAGAATGCGAATAAACTCTTTTTATACTTTTATAGAAGACCGTGTCGTGTCTTATCTTTTATGAGGGAATAAGGGGGAAATACCAGAACAGTTATTATAGAGGCTTTAGCGAGCCTGAGCAAACGCATCCGCTGCAAGTTTAAAAAGGGGAATGTTACTCTGCTAAATTGTGAACTTGTTAACACAAGTTGGAAAAGCTATAATCAAACAATATATCCTCTCCTGCATCCCTGAACATTCCCACACATTGGCATTCGGGCATCCTTTGCCAGATTTAAGCCAAGTGAAATTGTTTGTTCCCTTCTCCTCTAATTTGGACAAGCAGACCTCTTTACAAAGACAAAAATAGGCTCCGAAACAGAGGTCTTCCTAAGACAAGTGAAAGTTAAGAGGCCCCCACTGTCAGCATTGTCCTCGTCATCTGTGACCAAAGAATTACCCATGATCCTCCTCTCGGCAGCCATCTTCGCTGGTCCCCCCAAAATGCAACTGGTTCCCACTAGAGGGCTCCAAAGATGCTTGCTGAGCCCCCAAATGTGGTGGTCTGTCTACTGACCCTCTTGCAGCTTCCTGAGTGGATGATGGGAAATTTCCTCGTTGACTGATCTCTGCAGCAGTGAAAATGAAAACTGGGCAGTGAAATCAGCTTTCAACTTGCCCTGGAGTTGCAAGGCATAATTACAGATGGTTCTAAAGCCTTAAGAGGATAATATGACGAGAGAGAGAGAGAGAGAGAGAGAGAGAGAGAGAGAGAGAGAAATGTGGTGATGATGGTGGCAGCAGCAGGAACATCAGTGGCTCAGCAGGGTAGCACGACAAATATAAAAAGGCGTTCCTCCTGGTTTGCAGGGTAAAAAAGATTAGAAGAAGAAGAGTTGGATTTGATATCCCGCTTTATCACTACCCGAAGGAGTCTCAAAGCGGCTAACATTCTCCTATCCCTTCCTGCCCCACAACAAACACTCTGTGGGGTGAGTGGGGCTGAGAGACTTCAGAGAAGTGTGACTGGCCCAAGGTCACCCAGCAGCTGCAGGTGGAGGAGCGGAGACGCGAACCCGGTTCCCCAGATTACGAGTCTACTGCTCTTAACCACTACACCACACTGGCTCGGTACTTAGGGGGTACTTCTGGGATTTCATGACTTCCGAGTGAATTTCAAGCAAATTCCAGGTTGCAGAATCAAAATGGATTTGAAGGTCTCGTGCAACAAACTCGTCTCTCCAAAAGATTAGACGTTCCACCATAAAGGGAGCAGAAACGATTATTTGTGTATGCAACGACAGCAGTGCCGATACTACTGGCCCAGAGATGGAAAAAAGACCAGAGACCAGAGATGAATGGTTGATGATGGCGAAATGGCGAAATGGACTGGAAAATCAGAAACCAGGAAGCGAAGAACTTTAAGAGGGAATGGGGGGGAATTATAATGTATTTAAGAGAACACTGTAAACAACTAAAAACTTGGGCAGGATGTGAGTAACGCTTGTAATGTACTAAAAATAATGGCAAAAATGGATTATTTAAGAAAAATTAGAGAAACTGTTGGAAAGAGATTGATAGTGGTAACCATAGAAGGACGGAAGGGAGTTGAAGGATTCAGACAATCCTTAATGTCAATGGGTTTTGGTGTGGTTTTCTTGGTTTGTTTGTTTTTTTGGTTGTTAGTCTTCCTCCTCTTTTTATTTTAATTTATTTAATCATTTTTTCAATAATAACAACCACCACAAAAAACACATACAACAAAACCCGCAGTAATACTAAGCACACAATTTAACATTTCAGATTTGAGTACTGATATACCTATGACTACATTTCCCCACCTCTCCTCCCCCTACTTCCCACCACCGTCCGCCTCATCGCTTAAATATTCCTTCCAGATTTCTTCATATTTATCCATTCTTAATTTGCGTCGACATGCAATTCGTTCATATGTGGCTAGTCTGTCCATATTGTCAATCCATGTGCTCAATGGAACCTTTTTGCAGCTCTTCCAATTCATCAGAACAAGTTTTTTTGCTTCTAATATGGCACGGTACATCCATTTTTTTTTTATGTTTAATGTTCGAATGTAAATCTGCTATGTAAAACTTAATAAAAAAGATTTGACCAAAAAAAAGACTGCACCATAAAGCGATGGGAGGGAAAGTTCACTGGAAAGTGTGGAATAATTTTGTGCCTTAATGTTGTCTAACGCAGCTATTTTTCTAGAAAAAGAAGTGGCCGAACTCACCATGAACACCTCCCTCATTCTCTTGGAATGGCAACAGCGCCCATCTGAGAGGTGCCAGAACTGATTTCTGGCAAGTTCCAGCTGGGAAAAAAGCCCTGGTCTAACCCCCCTGCAAACAAACCAGGATGAATGCATTGCAGAGGGTTGGTTTACATGACCCTTGGGTTCCTTCCAGCTCTACAAATCTATGGATGTTCATCAGGAAGCTACCTAAGAGGACCTCAAGAGGGAGCCTGTGCCAGCCTCAGGCTAGATTCGTTTCCTTCAAAAAGCCCCAGGGAAAAACATTTCTGCTGCTTAACTTTCCCTTTCCCTGAATCACAGCAACTCAATCCCCTAATTATTTGTTCCTGATAATACAATCATTGACATTGACACCAAGTGGGATGATCTAGGATCAATTTGCCGTAGGTTCTCCATTGTGGGCAAGTCAAGAGTTGTGCAAACCCTACGCCTGACGGTTCTGCTGAACAGACCGGGATTATTTTGCTGGGCCTTGAAATTCCTACAGATGTTTTGCCTGAGCAAAAGGCAGCCCATTTAATCATCGGCACCACCGTCTGTCTTCCCCCATCCCCCCCTCCACAAATCAAGAGATTTGAATAATTGCTCTCATTTGCAGCTGATCTTACTGCTGGGATACATGCCTGAATTGCTTCTCGCTTATGCGCTCTTCATTGCTTTCTGGAGATTGCTTTCTGGAGTGAGCTTTGCTTACTACATTACACGGGTTCTGCATCAATTGCATTGGCTTTCTGCTTGTTTCCTGATGTGCCTTCAATGCGCTGGCAAGCAAAATACAAATTCTCCCCCAGCTGAGTTAACATGGCCTCCAGTTGGGAGAGAAGTGAGTACAGTGGTACCTCTGGTTGCGAACGGGATCCATTCCGGAGGCCCGTTCGCAACATGAGAAGAACACAACCCGTGTCTGCGCATCTGCGGGTCGCAATTTGCTGCTCCTGTGCATGCGCGTGACATCATTTTGCACATCTGCACATGCACGAGCGGCAAAACCCGGAAGTAACCCTTTCTGGTACTTCTGGGTCGCCGCGGGACACAACCTGAAAATGTTCAACCTGAAGCAAACATAACACGTGGCATGACTGTATGCATAGTGCGTTTGCACTCCCCAGGGACACTGTCCCCATTTTCGTCACACGTGGGCACACCCCGTCCTTGCGGGAATGGCTGACCTATGCACTTTGGGGAAGGACTCTCTAGCTCAAGGGTAAGCATTCTGCCCTGCATGCAAAGGTCTCAGGTTTTATTTCTGATGGCATCTCCAGGGCAGGTTGGGAGAGATGCCTGTCTGACCAGCTGCACAAACATAAGATGGGGAACATCTGGCTTACCAGTGGTACATGTGAAAAGGATCTAGAGGTCTTGGTGGACCACAAGCTTAACATGAGTCAATCAACTTTGTTGGACTGGTCATGTTGTTCGGATGCCTGATGATCGTCTTCCAAAACAACTACTGTATTCTGAACTTAAAGATGATAAGCGTAATGCTGGTGGTCAACAAAAGAGGTTCAAAGACTCTCTTAAGGCAAATCTTTTTAAAAAATGTAGTAGAAACATCAACAATTGGGAAACACTGGCCTATAAGCGCTCCAATTGGAAAACAGCATTTATCAAAGGTGTCATGGGCTTTGAAGACACCCAAACTCAGGACAAAAGGGAGAAACGTGCTAGGAGGAAGGCACGCTTGGCAAATCCACACCGTGATCAATTCCCACCCGGAAACCAATGTCCCCACTGTGGAAGGACGTGTGGATCCACAACTGGCCTCCACAGTCACTTATGGACTCACTGTTAAGACCGTGTTCGTGGAAGACCATCTTACTCAGCTACAAGTGTTAGAAGAAGAAGAAGAAGAAGAAGAAGAAGAAGAAGAAGAAGAAGAAGGCAGCAAATGGATGCTATTCTAGGCTGCGTCCACAGAAGTCTAGTGTCCAGATCAAGGGAAGTCATAGTCCCACTCTATTCTGCCTTGGTCAGACCACACCTGGAATACTGTGTCCAATTCTGGGCGCCATAATTTAAAAAGCATGTTAACAAGACAAGGATACGGGAAATGCAAGACTAAGAGGAGATATGGTAGCCAAGTAGGTAGATGGAGCAAGCAAGCAAGAGGTTCCTACCAAACATTAGGAAGATGGTAAGAGCTGTTTGACGGTGGAACAGACTTCCTTGGAAAGTGATGGACTCTCCTTTGTGGAGGCTTTCAAGCAGATGTTGGATGGTCACCAGTTCGGGATTCTTCAAGTGGGATTCCTGCCTTGGACTAGATGACTTGGCTTGGGGTCCCTTCCAGTTCTACAACTCCAAGATGCTATGATAAGGACATTGGTGACCTCTAACCTATACAATTCCCAGTGCTGAGAACCACATACCATTGGTACAATTTAGAAAGGGAGTTTCAGAGCTATACAGTCGTAGCTGTTGCAATCTACAAGGGCGAACTATATGGTCATGAGGCACCAGTGATCCTGAATGTGCCCCCGCCCCAAATAACCCTGTGTGCCCTCCATGTGAGGAGGTTCTTCTCCCAGTAAGGCTATGTCTCTAGGTTTCAAAATAGCCATGGGGATGGAGATGCCCCACAAGCTATTTGCTGTGCTAGCCGATTCCATTAGACACAGATGCAGATAATCCCCCAGGAAATATAAGGAATAAGCCCTTTTAACATAATTTAACATGTGGTTTGGGACAGGCCAGATGGAGATTAATTGAAATCCTGCTTCAGGCATGAACCCTGCTCTCTGAGAGAGAGCTTTTCAGCCATTCTCAGCCATGCACCCCCAAATGACATGGGGGTACCCCCTAGTTTTCCTGTTCCCCTTCCTAAAAGCTCAGCAGGCCTCAGCTTGGTGGCTGGTGAGGAAGTGGAGTCCTCTATGTGAGAGCTCCATGGAAGGCACTGCAATAGAAGGGGAAGAAATGGAGGCAGTGAGAGATTTCACTTTCTTGGGCTCCATGATCACTGCAGATGGTGACAGCAGCAACGAAATTAAAAGACGCCTGCTCTGTGGGAGAAAAGCAATGGCAAACCTAGACAGCATCTTAAAAAGCAGAGACATCACCTTGCCGACAAAGGTCCGTATAGTTAAAGCCATGGTTTTCCCAGTAGTGATGTATGGAAGTGAGAGCTGGACCATAAAGAAGGCTGATCGCCGAAGAATGGATGCTTTTGAATTCTGGTGCTGGAGGAGACTCTTGAGAGTCCCATGGACTGCAAGAAGATCAGACCTCTCCATTCTGAAGGAAATCAGCCCTGAGTGCTCACTGGAAGGACAGATCGTGAAGCTGAGGCTTCAGTACTTTGGCCACCTCATGAGAAGAGAAGGCTCCCTGGAAAAGACCCTGCTGTTGGGAAAGATGGAGGGCACAAGGAGAAGGGGACGACAGAGGACGAGATGGTGGGGAAGTGTTATAGAAGCTACCAACATGAGTTTGACCAAACTGTGGGAGGCAGTGGAAGACAGGAGGGCCTGGCGTGCTCTGGTCCAGGGGTCACAAAGAGGCGGACACGACTAAATGACTAAACAACAACAAGGACATAAGGTGAGCCTCACAGCAGGATCAGGCCATTGCCCATCTAGACCAACCCCTCATTCTCCTGGAGGGCAACCAGATGCTTGAATCCAAAAAGCAACACTCTGCCGGCCTGCGATTCCCAGGAACTGGGAGCCAGAATCTTAGAATCATAACCTTGGAAGGGACCCAGAAGATAATCTAGAACTAGGCAGCTGCCCCATATGGAGATTTGAACCTGCAACCTTAGTAGTAACAGCACCATGCTCCAACCAATGGCCAGCATTACTGCCTCTGATCATACGGAAAAACTTTCTGACACTAAGAGCTGTCGTGCAGGAATTTCAGCTAAAGTACCCATGGCATCCAAAATTTGCTTAAAAACATCCAAGGAAGGAGAGTCCATCGCCTTCTGGAAGAGTCCGTTCCACTGCTGAACAGCTCTTGCTGTCAGAAAGTTTCCCCCTATGTTTAGTCGGAATCTCCTTTCTCGTCACTTGAAGTCATGGGTTCGAGTCCTACCCTCCGGAGCAGGAGAAAGCAAGCTTGCCCCACCTTCCATGTAGTAACCAAACAATTAAACCCCTGTGTTGCAAACAATTATCAGTAATGTCCAAGGCAACACGATGACCCAGTACAACAATGCAATGTCAATATAAACTCTTTATATAATCTATACGGAACATAGAACAATATGAAATATGCACTCTCTGCAAACCCAATAAACAGAAATCTCTGAAAGTCACAAAATGTGCACTCTTCAAAACATAGAACCAAATAAACATAAGTCTTATAAGTCTCTGAAAGTCTTTGTAGACTATGCAAGTCTCTGAAAGAAGCAATGGGTCAGATTCTTATCTGGTGAAGACAAGCCGTAACGCTTTGTTTTGTGACATCCAACGCTGCCAAAGTAGTCCGGAAACAGACGTAGTGAACAGTGATTCCGGATATATCCCCCGTTTCATAGAATTCTTCTTCAGCACAGCAGAAGGATACAGAAATGCTTCACAAACCCATCTATATGGTGAATGGAATTGTATAACTTTATGACCACTGTTCCATAGCTATTGTTGTTATACAGTTCCATTCACCATATAGATGGGTTTGTGAAGCATTTCTGTATCCACCTTTCATGTGACAGCCCTTCGGAGATTTAAAGATGCTCTCACCTAACAGGTGGACACCCAACCTCTGCTTAAAAACCTCCAACAAAGGAGAATCTGCCACTTTCCAAGGAAGTCTGTTCCACTGGCTAACAGCTCTTAAAAGGTAAAGGGACCCCTGACCATTAGGTCCAGTCGTGGCTGACTCTGGGGTTGCAGCGCTCATCTCGCTTTATTGGCCGAGGAAGCCGGCATACAGCTTCTGGGTCATGTGGCCTCATTGCGAGAAGTGAGGTTACAGGGAACCAGGCAGAGGGCCTTCTCGGTGGTGGCGCCCGCCCTGTGGAACGCCCTCCCTTCAGATGTGAAGGAAATAAGCAGCTATCTTATCTTTAAGACATCTGAAGGCAGCCCTGTTGAGGGAAGTTTTTAATATTTATTGCTGTATTGTTTTTAACACTCTATTGGAAGCCGCCCAGAGTGGCTGGGGAAACTCAGCCAGATGGGCGGGGTATTTATTATTATTATTATTATTATTATTATTACTACTACTACTACTACTACTAAGCTGCTTCTGGCAAACCAGAGCAGTGCACGGAAATGCTGTTTACCTTCCTGCTGGAGTGGTACCTATTTATCTACTTGCACTTTGACATGCTTATGAACTGATAGGTTGGCAGGAGCAGGGACCGAGCAACAGGAGCTCACCCTGTCGCGGGGATTCGAACCCATACGGAATAACTTTCTGGCACGGTATGAGCTGTTTGACATTGGGACCGACCTCCTTGGAGGTTTTTAAGCAGAGGTTGGCTGGCCATCTGCCATGAATGCTTTAGCTGAGATTCCTGCCTTGGAGGGGGTTGGACTAGATGACCCTCTGGATCCCTTCTGACAGGGCCCCTTCCAACTCTATGATTCTATGATGCATTATTTTAAATAACTAAGCTGAGTACCACTCAACCCGTCGCTGGATATTTTGATACTGCAGGAGTTTTGCTCATCACCATAGAAAATTTCATTTAAAGAAAGCACATGCTAAATTTTTGGTCGTTTCTGCCATCGCAGAGACAGTGCCATCCACTCTGGGGAATACTCCAAAACCCCTCCAGGAAAGCAATTAAATCTGACCCTACAAAAGGGCAGCCAATATTTGGAAAGAGTCAAGCTGTCTAAATAATTGGCACGACTCTTAGACTAATCAATAGACAAAGACCAAGATGCAACAGAGAGGAGGTTTTACGAGCCGGGTTCTATGCATCAATATCCTTAATCTGAAGATTAAGAATAGATTTTGCCTGGCAAAAGAGAAAGAAGAAAATTTGCAGAATGAAACCTAATGCCTGCAATTTGTTACTGGAAGCTTTTGGCCACGAAGTAAATATCACGCTGGTGGATTATGGCAGAGGATATGGGCTGGACGTTGATTGGGAACAGGTCGTAGCTCAACAGGTAGAGCAGCTGCCTTGCGCTCAGAAGGTCCTAGGTTCAAATCCCAACCTTTGCTGGTAAGGCTGGGAGAGATCCCTGCCTGAAATCCCAGAGAGATGCTGTCGGCCAGAGCGGACAATACTGAGCGAGATGGACGAAGGCGCTGATTGGGTATAAGGTGTTTTCCTATGTTGGACGCCTCTGCCTGCCTGCCTTGCATGGTCCAGGGAGGATCATGAGCAGCCCAGGAAGATTAAACCTCCAATGATTTAACTACAGGCTTAACACGAGTCAACAGGGTGATGCAGCGGCAAAAAAAGCTAATGCAATTCTTGTTGTTAAGTCGTTTATCCCTGTCCAACCCTTCCTGACCCCCTGGACCAGAGCACGCCAGGCACTCCTGTCTTCCACGGCCTCCCGCAGTTTGGTCAAACTCATGTTCGTAGCTTTGAGAACACTATCCAACCATCTCGTCCTCTGTCGTCCCCTTCTCCTTCTGCCCTCCATCTTTCCCAGCATCAGGGTCTTCTCCAGAGAGTCTTCTCTTCTCATGAGGTGGCCAAAGTACTGGAGCCTCGGCTTCAGGATCTGTCCTTCCAGTGAGCACTCAGGGCTGACTTCCTTCAGAATGGAGAGGTCTGATCTTCTTGCAGTCCATGGGGCTCTCAAGTGTCTCCTCCAGCACCAGAATTCAAAAGCATCCATTCTTCGGTGATCAGCCTTCTTTATGGTCCAGCTCTCACTTCCATACATCACTACTGGGAAAACCATGGCTTTAACTATACGGACCTTTGTCAGCAAGGTGATGTCTCTGCTTTTTAAGATGCTGTCTAGGTTTGCCATTGCTTTTCTCCCAAGAAGCAGGCGTCTTTTAATTTCGTGGCTGCTGTCACCATCTGCAGTGATCCTGGAGCCCAAGAAAGTAAAATAATTCAAAAGCATCCATTCTTCAGCGATCAGCCTTCTTTATGGTCCAGCTCTCACTTCCATACATCACTAGCACTTTTACAAAGTAAAACACTTTTACAAAGTAAAAAAAGGGGGGGAAATAAAGAGAATAGGAAGTGTTCCTGGGCATGCGCAAAGCGCAAATGGCCTGGCTTCCTTCTGCAGGGACCCTGCTGCCCTAAGGGTCAGACCATTCCATGCTCTCTTCCTGTCCTCGCTTGACCTGCGCAGAGGACGGCACATGTTTTTAGAAGTTGCCGGGGAGAGAAAATGCTTCCTGCCTGATTGCATCTCCTTGCGGATGCAAGTATGAGGCCTGCAGGGGGCGGTTTCTGCCTGGGGTGTTCTGGGCACAGGGCACAGAGTTTCCTCCTCCCCTATTTATCAGGACACACACACACCCCCTCCTGCAGGCTGCCTGTCCTCACAGTGCCCCTGCCTTCAGGGAGGGAGAGACCCATCGCATTCGCTTAAGCGCAAAGCACAGAGACAGCTCATCTCACCAGGCAGGGATGCAGAGGAGGCTATAAAAAGCACGAAAGGGAGTCTGGGTCGTGCGCGTTGCTCATCTCCCCGGTCTGACTCAGCACCCTTTAGCCCGCCGCAAAAGAAAAAAGAAAAATTCCAAAGCCAGCGAGCGTCAGCCCCAAATGTCCCCCCCGGGCGAAACCCCAAAGCCGTCTCAGGCCAAGAGTTTTGAGCAAAGGACTTTGGCCCCAGAGCTTTAAATGCAGCCCTGGAAACGGAGAAGCATTAATAGAAAAGCCTGCCTCTGGGCATGTACGGAGTGCCTTAGCCTGGCCTTTGGCTCGGAGTCAATTTGATTCCCTCCCCCTCTTTCTTTTTCCTTGTTCCTTTCTCCTCCTGTGAGGAGGCTGCATTTTAATGTTTTAATGTTGTATTTTAATCTTGTTTTTAAGTTGTATTCATTCAACTTGTTTTTGCTATTGCTTGTTAGCCGCCCTGAGCCCGGCCTTGGCTGGGGAGGGCGGTGTATAAATAAAATATATTATTATTATTAGCCGCAGCAAGCATATCAGGGAGCATGCAGAGGGCCAAAGTGAATGTTTCTCGTATCTGAAGTTTGTGCACCTAATCGACACAGTGCAAGATGGTTTCTGATAAATGTTAGGCAGCCCTGTGGTCTTTCTACTATGACGTCCACAGATTGGGCTGCAGAAAACTGCTATATTCATTTTTAAAAAATCATTTTTATTGATTTTCCAATAAAAAAAATCCAATTAAATATCCAATCATAATACTTCAATAAAAAAAAATGAAATGAAAATGATCAAGTTATAGTCCAAATTGTATTTATTTATTTATATTTAAATATATATAATAAATAATAAATTTATATATAATAAATAAATAAATAAATTTAAATAAAAGAAAACGGCTATATTCAACTATGCTTTATTCAGAGTTGACCCACTCAAAGTAACAGACCTAACTTAGTCTACTCTGTGGAAAACCACCCTACATTTTGGAAAGTTGTTGGTTCGCTAGGCATATGGACACCTCTTAAGACACTGTAACTGAATCTTGAAGGATTGTATAGAATTGTAGATTTGGAAGGAACCCCAGGGGTCATCTAGCCCAACCCCTTCCAGCGCAAGAATCGCAGTTAAAAATTCCACGACTAGCAGCCATCCCACCTTTCTTTAAAAACCTCCAACATAGGAAAGTCCAACACCTTCTGAGGGAGTCTATGGAACTCACTGCCACAGGGCCAGTGGCCTGACCCTGCAGCCTCTTCTTCCATCCGCAAGTCCTTATGTATTCTAAAATATAAGTCATGGGCCCCACCTGCTCGCCTGCTCCCTAAAATATCACTGCTTTGCTCCTTTCTATATATAGGGTGCCTACATTCTGCATGGACTGGTTGCATGGCAAGATGCGCAAATGGGTTTAGAGACCTATGAGGTCCATAAATCATCATATAGTGTACAGTCAAACCTCCTGTTACGTTCGCGTCATGTTATGTTCTTTCAGATTACGTCCCGCGGTGACCCGGAAGTACTGGAAAGGGTTACTTCCGTGTTTCGCCGCTCGCGCATGCGCAGAAGTACAAAATCACATCACGCGCATGCGCAGAAGCAGCAAATTGCAACCCGCGCATGCGCAGACGCGCCGCTGCGGATTGTGCTCTTTTCATGTTGCAAATGGGCCTCCAGAATGGATCCTGTTCGCAACCAGAGGTACCACTGTATATTCAACACAAAAAAACAGCAACAAGTGAGAGCTGGACCATAAAGAAGGCTGATCGCCGAAGAATTGATGCTTTTGAATTATAGTGCTGGAGGAGACTCTTGAGAGTCCCATGGACTGCAAGAAGATCCAACCTCACCATTCTGAAGGAAATCAGCCCTGAGTGCTCACTGGAAGGACAGATCCTGAAGCTGAGGCTCCAAGACTTTGGCCACCTCATGAGAAGAGAAGACTCCCTGGAAAAGACCCTGATGTTGGGAAAGATGGAGGGCACAAGGAGAAGGGGACGACGGAGGACGAGATGGTGGGACAGTGTTTTCGAAGCTACCAGCATGAGTTTGACCCAACTGCGGGAGACAGTGGAAGACAGGAGTGCCTGGCGTGCTCTGGTCCATGGGAAGAGTCGGTCACGACTCAACAACTAAACAACAACAACAATCTGAACCCCGAGCTAAGGAGATAAGTAGCTATACAACCTTTGGAAGACATCTGAAAGCAGCCCTGGATAGAGAAGGTGTTTTTTTAAATGTTTAATGTTTTATTCTGTTTTTATATATGTTGGAAGCTGCTCAGGGGGTCACAAAGAAGAGGACATAATTAAACAACTAAACAACAACATCAAAGGACAGCTGGACATATAAAGGGCCCCATTACCTTCAGGAGCTTAGGGCCTCATCCAGCCTAAATCTGGCCCTGCTTGACATTTTGGGGTCTTTTCTCCTAATGGGAAGAACACAACAGTTTTCTGGAGTTGCCCCTTATCTCCAAACTCTCCTTGGAAGAGGAACGAGCGACTGAGTACATGTTGTGGGAACATTGATCTGACAGCTGATCTCGGAGTCTCCTCCAGGATTATCGTTCTCTTCTTCCCTAATCCCTCTCAGTTTAATAGACTTTTGAGATGGCTTGGAGGATCGGAGCAGGTTGCTGCTGAGATCTTCCCCCCTTCTCTGCCACCCCCACCAGCTCCCATCTCAAAATATCTCTGCCCCGGGGGGCTGCCAGCTCCCCACCCCAACTATCTCTAACATACAGGTGATAGGGGTGGGTGAAGACGAGCAAATCCATCCGTTTCGCTTGATCTCACATCCCCTGTTTTAAGTTCATAGGAGGCAGTGTGGTGCAGTGGTTAGAGCGCTGGCCTATGACCTGGGAGAGACAAGGGTTCAATAATAATAATAATTTATTATTTATGCCTCACCCATTTCACTTGATCTCACTTCCCCTGTTTTGAGTTCAGCTCTGCCTATTTCATACGCTGCATAGGAGGCAGTGTAGTGCAGTGGTTAGAGCGCTGGACTATGACCTGGGAGAGACAAGGATTCAATAATAATAATAATTTATTATTTATACCTCAGCCACTCTGGGCGGCTTCCAACCGAATATTAAAACACAATACAGCATTAAGCATTAAGAACTTCCCTAAACAGGAATAATAATAATAGTTCAAATCCCCACTGGGCCCTGAAGCTCACGGGATGTGTCTTTGGGGGCCAGTCACTACCTCTCAGCTTCACCTCTCTCACAAGGCTGTTCTTTGGACTAAATGAGAAGGGAGATAATCTTGCGCACCACCTTGATCGACCTCCTTAGAGGAAAAAGGTGGGGCTATAAATGCAATAAATAAATAAACATTTCGGCCTACGGCAATACGCAGCTAGGCCGTATTGCTGCGATAAAAATGAATGTATTGCCTAGAATGTTGTTTTTGTTTCAAACATTGCAAATTTTGGACAAAATGGACTGCTTCAAGAAGTGGCAGAGAGATATTTCTAGATTTGTCTGGCAGGGCAAGAAGCCAAGAATAAAATTTAAAATACTAACGGACGCAAAGGAAAGAGGTGGATTTGCCCTGCCAGACCTTAAACTTTATTATGAATCAGCAGCTTTTTGCTGGCTGAAAGAGTGGCTACTTCTTGAAAACACAGACATTTTGGATTTAGAAGGTTTTAATAATGTATTTGGATGGCATGCATATTTGTGGTATGATAAGGTCAAAGCACATAAAGCATTTAAAAATCATATTGTCAGGAAAGCATTGTTTAATGTCTGGATAAGATACAAGGACCTACTTGAAAATAAAACCCCAAGCTGGTTGTCACCGATGGAAGCGAAGGCTTTGAAAAAGCTCAATATGGAGGCCAAATGGCCAAAATATTGGGAAATTTTGGAACAAGAGGGAGATAAATTGAAACTGCAGAGTTTTGAAAAACTAAAAAATAAAGTGTGAGATTGGCTTCATTATTATCAGATAATGGAGGCATATAATTTGGATAAGAAAATTGGCTTCCAGGTGGAAAAATCAAAATTGGAAACAGAACTGTTAGATTCCGAAACCAAGATTTTGTCAAAGATGTATAACTTGCTGTTGAAATGGAATACTCAGGATGAAACGGTGAAATCTGCTATGATTAAATGGGCACAAGATGTTGGACATAACATAATGATGGCTGACTGGGAACAGTTATGGACCACAGGTATGAAGTTTACGGCATGTAATGCCTTAAGAGAGAATATTATGAAAATGATTTACAGGTGGTACATGACACCAGTCAAGCTTGCAAAAATCTATCATTTGCCCGATAATAAATGTTGGAGATGTAAAGAAACTGAAGGTACATTCTTTCACCTTTGGTGGACGTGCCCAAGGATTAAGGCTTTCTGGGAGATGATCTATAATGAAATGAAAAAGGTATTTAAATATACCTTCTTGAAGAAACCAGAGGCCTTTCTCCTGGGCATAGTCGGCCAATTGGTGCCAAAGAAGGACAGAACTTTCTTTATGTATGCCACAACAGCAGCAAGAATTCTTATTGCAAAGTACTGGAAGACACAAGATTTACCCACTCTGGAAGAATGGCAGATGAAGGTGATGGACTATATGGAACTGGCGGAAATGACTGGCAGAATCCGAGACCAGGGAGAAGAGTTGGTGGAAGAAGATTGGAAGAAATTTAAAGACTATCTACAGAAATACTGCAAAATCAATGAATGTTAGAATGATGTTGGATTGAAGTTAAATGGTTTCTAGCAGCAATGTTATAAAGGAATATGTAAAAATGGATTGTTAACAGGTGATAATCTAAAGTTACAATATATTAAGATAAAAGATTAAGATAGAATCAAAGAGGGAAAGGATTTGCTGAATTAACTAATTTGAACTGGAATACAAAAAAGGGAGGTGTGAGGAGGTCGGGGAAACAAGTAAATGAAAGATAAGATATGGAAATACTAATCTGTTTTTTAACTGTTTTTATTTTGTATTTTCATTTTCTACTTTTTTCTCTTTTTCTTTTTTCATTTTTTCCACTTATTTTTGTAATATGTTGAAACTTTAATAAAAATCTTATAAAATAAATAAATAAATAAATAAACATTTCAACATCGAATTGATTTTTTTAAAAAATGAAAATTTGCCAGCCATTTAGTGCGAACTTCTCCCAGTAAGCGGATCGTTTGCCTGCCTAACGTTTTCACAAAGCAGTTTCCCTTCATGCAATCCATCTTTAGCTGTTATTTTCACTAATACTTGCATTTATTTGCACACTTTGCCTTAGTCCGTGCCTTTTTGTGCACACCGCTTGGGTGGAGAACTGCACTGCAAAATTCAGAGAAGTGCAAATTTCAAAGAATGCCCTAGTTTCGGTTTTCAGGTTGTTTAGGAAAGTGCAAATTAGGCAGGTTCACCCTTGAAATATACTTGGAGTCGAGAGTGGATTTCATGCTCTTTATTCAGCTCATAGTGGTGAGGAGGAATGGAAGTTCCCCCAGAATGTCTGCATTATATACATTATTTACACAATGGGCCCCACGTGATTGCCTAATTCCAGGATTCTCCTGTAGGCCAATCATGTTGCGGATTCACTTCCAACTGGAGCTGGATTGGGTGGCTCCTGTGGACCAATCAGACTGCTGCATTCTGGGTCCTATTGTTCTAGGACCAATCAGACTGTTAAATCCTCAACTCTGGGTTGTGGCGCTCATCTCACTTTATTGGCCGAGGGAGCCGGCGTACAGCTTCCGGGTAATGTGGCTAGCATGACTAAGCCGCTTCTGGCAAACCAGAGCAGCGCACGGAAACACTGTTTACCTTCCCGCCGGAGCGGTACCTATTTATCTACTTGCACTTTGACGGGCTTTTGAACTGCTAGGTTGGCAGGAGCAGGGACCGAGCAGCGGGAGCTCACCACGTCGCGGGGATTCGAACCGCCGACCTTCTGATCGGCAAGTCCTAGGCTCTGTGGTTCAACCCACAGCACCACAGATGCAGTAAATTTAATCTTAAAGATGGAACCCGTGCACGAAGGGAAGCAGGTCTAAGGGTTCGAAAGAACTCTGTATTTTGATGTTTGAAATGGTTTTGTTTTATATGTATAATTTTTTCAGAAAACTTAATCTCATACACACACACACACACACACACACACACACAGTGGTACCTCAGGTTACATACGCTTCAGGTTACAGACGCTTCAGGTTACAGACTCTGCTAACCCAGAAATAGTGCTTCAGGATGAGAACAGAAATCACGCAGTGGCAGCATGGCAGCAGCTGGAGGCCGCATTAGCTAAAGTGGTGCTTCAGGTTAAGAACAGTTTCAGGTTAAGAATGGACCTCCGGAACGAATTAAGTACTTAACCCGAGGTACCACTTTATATGGAAACATTTAGTGTAAGAGAAGTCACGCAGACATGGTCTAGACGCGAGTGGTCTAAAAAGCAGAAGTCAAATGGTTTGAGATGGGCCTGCGGTCGAGAAAAGCCACAGAAAGCCTGTCTGTCTGATTTAAATCTGCATGGAAAAGGTCACGAAGAACAGCGAAATCATTATCAGGAATATCACAATGCCCTTATCCCAATTTATGGTGCAACCGCGTTCGGGATAATGTGTGCAGTTCTGGCTGCCTCACCTGGAAAAGAATATCGTAGAGTAGGGGAAAGCACACACCCCAAAAGAAAAAATGTTTAAAGGGATGGAGAGACACACCTGTGAAGGCAGTTTGCAGCCTTTGGGACTAGAGATTTAAAGTGAGGCACGATAAGAGTTTATAAAATTATGCCTGGCATGGGGAGAGTGGATAGAGGAAAGTTTCCCTTCCTCTCTCATAACGCTAGAATTCACGAAGCTCATGATGTACAGGGCTTTTTTGGCCATGGCCCCGATCTGGTGGAACGCTCTGTCACAAGAGACCAGGGCCCTGCAGGACTTGACATCTTGCCACAGGGCCTTCAAGACGGAGCTGTTCCGACTGGCCTTTGGCCAAGGCACAGTCTGACTCCCTCCTTCGGTAATCCTCATAGAACTCTAGCCCAATGGTTGCCATTAATTTGACTCTGAACTTATTTTAGAATGTATTTCAATTAATTGACTGTGATTTTATGTAAACTGTGCTATTTTTACTGTTGTTAGCCGCTCTGAGCCCGGCTTCAGCTGGGGAGGGTCGGATATAAATAAAAATTATTTTACTTTCTTGGGGTCCATGATCACTGCAGATGGTGACAGCAGCCACGAAATTAAGAGACGCCTGCTTCTTGGGAGAAAAGCAATGACAAACCTAGACAGCATCTTAAAAAGCAGAGACATCACCTTGCCAACAAAGGTCCACATAGTTAAAGCTCTGGTTTTCCCAGTAGTGATGTATGGAAGTGAGAGCTGGACCATAAAGAAGGCTGATCGCCAAAGAACTGATGCTTTTGAATTCTGGTGCTGGAGGAGACTTGAGAATACCATGGACTGCAAGAAGATCAAACCGATGCATTCTGAAGGAAATCAGCCCTGAGTGCTCACTGGAAGGACAGATCCTGAAGCTGAGGCTCCAAGACTCTGGCCACCTCATGAGAAGAGAAGACTCCCTGGAAAAGACCCTGATGTTGGGAAAAATGGAGGGCACAAGGAGAAGGGGATGGCAGAGGACAAGATGGTGGGACAGTGTTCTTGAAGCTACAAACATGAGTCTGACCAAACTGCGGGAGGCAGTGGAAGACAGGAGGGCCTGGCGTGCTCTGGTCCAGGGGGTCACGAAGAGTCGGACATGACTAAACAACAAATTATTATTATTACCAACTTGGGACCAGTTTACCTACCCCAAACAGGCCCCATATAGAGTGCATTGCAGTCATCCCATCTGGAAGCAGTCTACAAACACACACACACACACACACACACACACACACACACATCAAGGTTGTGTGAATCCTCTCCATCTCCTGGGATGGATGTTCTGGAAGAAGAAAGCTTTTGTTCCCTGCCAGAGCAACAACAAGATTTCGGTGGCCAAGTGACCTTCTGCCGGACATTCGCGGAGCATTTGGGAGCTAGCAGATGACAGCCCAATTGGCTCGGACGCCATCGGAGAGGAAGGACGCCTTGCCAAGGGGAGGCCGCTGCTGCCAACTATGCCTGCCCCTACCATCCCAGCTGTTGCCACCGAAGACAAAAGTACCCCCCAGGGGATGGAGATTTATGAAATAAGCCCTCGAGGGCACAATGAGGTCGAATCTCAGCTGCCCTGCTTTTTAAAAGAACAAGTGCTCAACCCTCATCGTTTGGGAGGGACGCAGGAGAGCTTTCGCACTCAAGGCCGAGAAATCTGGTGGTGGGATTCCAGGGATCAGGATGCGGCCGTGGGAGGCGCTGGGTTTCGGTCTCCTTGGTGCTAGGTGCCCATTTCCCACAAGCATCTAGTACAGGGGTGTTATGGACTGAGTTGAATAGGATCCAAAATGCAGCAGTCTGCTTGGTAGTAGAACAATAGGATTCAGAATGGAGCAGTCTAATTGGTCCACAACAGCCACCCAATCCAGCTCCAGGTGGAAGTGAATCCGCAACCTGATTGGCCTACAGGTGAATCCCGGAATTAGCCAATCACGTGGGGCCCATTGTGTAAATAATGTATATAAAGCAACATTCTGGGGGAACTTCCATTCCTCCTCCTCCCCACTATGGGCTGAAGAAAGAGCATGAAATCCACTCTCGACTCCAAGTATATTTCAAGGGGTGAGCAAACTTTTTCAGCAGGGGGCTGGTCCACCTTGTGGGGGGCTGGAGTATAATTTGGAGGGGGGGAATGAACAAATTCCTATGCCCCACAAATAACCCAGAGATGCATTTTAAATAAAAGGACACATTCTACTCGTGTAAAAACACGCTGATTCCTGGACCGTCCGTGGGCCGCTTTTAGAAGGCGATTGGGCCGGATCTGGCCCCCAGGCCTTAGTTTGCCTACCCATGATCTAGTGGAAGAAGCCAATGCAAGGAGCTTTCTGCCAGCCTGCCTGCATCAGAAGATGCAGTGCTGTGCAGTGGTTAGAGTGCTGGTGTCAGAGGCAGGTTCACACCGGAACAGAGGATTGTACGATGCAGCGGCAAACCTGACACAATTCTAGGCTGCATCAACAGAAGGATAGCGTCTAGATCAAGGGAAGCAATGGCAAGGCTTTATTCTACCAGCCGGGAGTCTTGTGTCCAGTTCTGGGCACCACAATTTAAGGATATTGACAAGCTGGATTGTGTGCAACCAAGATGATCAAGGGTCTGGAAACCAAACCAAACATACCCAAGGAGCTGGGTATGTTTAGCCTGGAAAAGAGGAGACTGAGAGGAGATATGAGCGGTGCTTTTTTCCTTTTAAAAAAAATGTTTAGGGATACTCTCATTTTGACTCAAGAAAATCACTGGGAAAGGAAAGGAAGCTGCCATTGGAGGTGGTAACAACAAAACTGACCAATCACCATGCTAGATTCCAATTCCTACTTCACACATTAAACGCCTGCTTCCATCTGAGACTCAGGAAACACCGTGACAGGAATTGAAGCCGCCATCGGGAGTAGCAACGGAATGGACGGTTCACCGTACTAGAGAAGATTCGCAAAATGTTTAGGGGTAGGCATACCCCCTGCGTCCCCCCAGAAAAAGAAGCACTGGATATGAGCGTCACCTTAAAATACCTTAAGGGCTGTCCCATGGAAGAGGGAGCAAGCTTGTAGGACTCGAACCCATGACTTCAAGTTGCAACAAAGGAGATTCCGACTAAACATCTGGAAGAACTTTCTGACAGTGACAACTGTTTAACAGTGGAACAGACACCCTTGGGAGGTGGTAGACTCTCCTTCCTTGAAGGTTTTAAGCAGAGGGCCATCTGTTATAGATACATTGCAGGGGGGTGGACTAGATGACCCGGGGGTCCCTTCCAACTACCATATTTTTCGCTCCATAAGAAGCACTTTTTTCCTCCTAAAAAGTAAGGGGAAATGTCTGTGTGTCTTATGGAGCGAACGTGTTGTCCCTGGAGCCGAATTGCCCAGGGGCGAAAAGCAGATTGTGCTTTTTTTTTTTTTTTTTTAGAAAGAGGGAAGGGGGTGTTGAAACGAAGCCGCTGAGCAGCTGATCAGCAAGCAATCGGGAGGGAGATAAGGGACACTAGTGATAAAGGAGGCTGCCTGGGAGGGGGGAGGTAAAAGCACATGGATCCTCAGGATAGGGTCACCCCAAATTCATCATCAGATCACATAGCATGTCCATGGCTACAGGCTGACCAAAAAAATCATGCATCCACTTTTTCGTGGGGCCACAAAGGCTCAAAAACGTGGTTACAAAGCACGGATCCACATGGATCCTTAGGATTTTTGCATTAGGCTACCCCAAACTCACCGTCAAATCACATATCATGTCTGTGCCCACAGCATGAACCACAAAAATCAGACATCCTCTGAATATTTTTTCTCTTGTTTTCCTCCTCCAAAAACTAGGTGCATCTTATGGAGAAAAAAATACAGTACATAATTCTATTGTTATATGATTCTCATACCAGGTCAAAGCATTACTCAGTCCATCTAGCTCAATATGGCCTGCACTGAGTAGCAGCAGCTCCCCAGGTTTCCAGTCAGGGCGCCATCCCCAGCCCTACTTGGAGTATCTGGTGATAGGATCTGGGACATTCTGGTGGAGTATCGGGTCAGGTTTAAGGTGCTGGTTTTGACCTTTAAAGCCCTTTGTGCCTTAGGGCCCTCATATGTACGAGACCGCCTCTCCTGGTCTGCCCCACAGAGGACCTTAAGGTCCATGAATAATCATAGTTTAGAGGTCCCGGGCCCTAAGGAAGTCAGATTATCCTCCACCAGGGCCTTCTCAGTGGTGGCTCCGACCTGGTGGAACGCTCTGTCCCATGAGACCAGGGCCCTGCAGGATTCAACCTCCTATCATCGGGCATGTAAGACAGAGCTATTCCGCCTGGCTTTCAATTTGAATTAGTCTGATCTTTTATTCCCTTTCCTTCCTTCCCTCCCCCTCCCCTTTTATGAAGCTCTGGGATCCCACAGCTAATTCTCCCCTGGTCTCCTCGCTGGCCCAAATAGGACTAATTTAGCCAGCTAGCCCTGGTGATCATCTAATGTTTATTGGATGGATTTCCCCCCTAAATTGATTTTTGAATTCTGTATTTATTGTTATTCACATTTTATGCTGTTTTTTGTTGCATCAATTAAGTGTTTTAAATTTGTTGTTAGCCGCCCTGGGCCCGGTTTTCTGAACCGGGAAGGGCGGGGTATAAATAAAAATTTATTATTATTTATTATTATTCTGCATGCAAGCAGGTGTTCCGCCAGGCTGCCGAGCCCTTCCCCCATCCCAACCGAACCCCAACGCACACGCAACGACCTTGGAAATGTCACTGTGTCCCACCCTAAGCTACCTTCTAGTGTTGCTCTGAGGTTAAAAAGGACGGAGGGAACAGTTTGTGCCACCCGTGAGCTCCTTGTTGCAAAGGTGGGATAAAAAGGCACTCTAAATAAAGAGACGGGAATGGCAGGTGTTTCTGGGAAGTCAGCGAGCAGGGCATGGTGCCAACATCCACTTTGTTTACATGCAGAAAGATGCAGGCTGATATTTACAGACTCTATGCAGAGTCCATGAAGGAAGCATTGTTAGATATCCACGAATATGATCATTCCTTTCCCCTGTTTTACCATCATGCAGTCACGAAATTAAAAGACGCCTGCTTCTTGGGAGAAAAGCAATGACAAACCTAGACAGCATCTTAAAAAGCAGAGACATCACATTGCCAAGAAAGGTCCGTATAGTTAAAGCTATGGTTTTCCCTGTAGTGATGTATGGAAGTGAGAGCTGGACCATAAAGAAGGCTGATCGCCAAAGAATGGATGCTTTTGAATTCTGGCGCTGGAGGAGACTCTTGAGAGTCCCATGGACTGCAAGAAGATCAGACCTCTCCATTCTGAAGGAAATCAGCCCTGAGTGCTCACTGGAAGGACAGATCCTGAAGCTGAGGCTCCAAGACTTTGGCCACCTCATGAGAAGAGAAGACTCCCTGGAAAAGACCCTGATGTTGGGAAAGATGGAGGGCACAAGGAGAAGGGGACGACAGAGGACTAAACGACTAAACAAACAATCATTCAAGCCTACAGCCATTGCTACATTTAGAAACAACTCAAAGGGGTGTGTTTGGACCAGCAGCCCCAGGGTGGTGCAAGGGAAGGGGGCTTCATGGATGTTCCCCAAAAAAACTCCAGATGTTGTAGGACCAGAATTCCCATCACACCTGGTCCTTGGTCATCCTGCCTGTCCGCGATGAGCGCTGGCCCAGTGACATCTCAAAGGCAGCAGGATGGGGGAAGCTGCCCTAAATCACCTGAGAGCTCTCCCTTCTCATATGTTTTACGTATTCTTAAGAAGCTAAGATCAGGATCAGGCCCACAGCGCATCTAGCACAGCACCCTCTTCTTCCGCAAGCAGGATTTGAGCATGTATAATTTTCCAAACTGCTAGAGTTCACCTTTCACTGGCCTTTTCTCTAAGCCCATGGTTCTCAAAGGGTGTGGTGATGGAATCTTTTGAGGAGTTGGAGGTGGCGTTTATAAGTGGTCCATCTTTCACAAACATACAGTAAGGTACGCAGCAAATCCAAAGGATTTGCTGCGATAATTATTAACTAGGATACAAAAAAAGGGGGGAGGAGGAGGTCAAAGAAAGAAGGTAATGAAAGTTGAAGATTTCAGAATGATTGTTTTATTTTTATCTGCTTGTGGTGTATTTTTGTTTTTTGAATTTGTATTGTTGGATGTGGCTTGTTTTCTTTTTGTTTTTTGTTTTTTCTTTCTCTGCTTTGTCTTTTTCTGTAATTTTAAAAAAAAATTCAATAAATATCATTTTTTTAAAAAAAGGTACGCTTGTGAAACATGGACCACTTATAAACACCATCTCCAACTCCTCAAAAGATTCCATCAACGGTGTCTTCAAAAAAATTTACACATGAAGACAGGCGAACTAATGCCAGTGTACTGGAAGAAGCAAAGATCACCCGTGTCAAAGCAATGATTCTTCAACATCAACTTCGTTGGAATGGTCATGTTGTGTGGATGCCTGATGATCGCCTTCCAAAGCAACTACTCTATTCTGAACTTAAAAATGGAAAGCGTAATACTGGTGGTCAACAAAAGAGGTTTAAAGGCTCTCTCAAGGCAAATCTTAAAAAGTGTAGTATAAGCACTGACAACTGGGAAACACTGGCCTGCGAGTGCTCCAGTTGGAGAACAGCCTTTCCCAAAGATGTCATGGGCTTTGAAGACACTCAAACTCAGGACGTAAGGGAGAAATGTGCTAAGAGGAAGGCACACTTGGCAAATCCAAACCATGAACAACTCCCACCTGGAAACCAATGTCCCCACTGTGGAAGGATGTGTGGATCCAGAATTGGCCTCCACAGTCACTTACGGACCCACTGTTAAGACCGTGTTTATGGAAGACAATCTTACTCGGCTACGAGGGATCACCAAAAAGAAGAAGAGTGAGCCCACACAGATGGCAGGAAGATTCAAGGACCATCAAAGAAACATTTAAATATTTCACTGTAGCATTATCTATCTATCTATCTATCATCTATTATCTATCTATATCTATCTATCTATCATCTATCTATCTATCTATCTATCTATCATCTATCATCATCTATCATCTATCTATCATCTATTATTTATCTATCTATCTATCTATCATCTATCTGTCTGTCTATCTATCTATCTATCTATCTATCAATCTATCTATCTATCTATCTATCTATCATCTATCTATCTATCTATCTATCTATCTATCTATCTATCATCTATCCACGCACAACCAGAACCGTATTCATGCCTCTCTTGAAGAGCAATGGGTATTTTTCTACAGTTTTCCATGACATGTCTTGTTGTGAGCAGGGATTTTCAACTCTGACAAATATGCATTGCAGGGGGTTGGACTAGATGACCCCCAGGGTCCCTTCCAACTCAACAATTCTATGAAAGATCAGAAAAGAAAAGGCCTTCTTTGTGTTGGTGAGGAGATGAGAGTTTGTCTCAGATTAGATCTCGTGTAAATGAGATTACCTGGCAAAAGCAACCTCACGCCTCTCATTGACTTTGTATACAGGTACAAATCTAAGAGGCTCATTTATAATTATATTTTGGGAGGATTCACGTTCTCATGTAGCTGCATTGCTTAATACTTTCCGGGTGTCCCATGAGCATATTATAAAGAACTTGTGTTCTGTGTTATAAATCGAGCACTGCTAAGAGTTGCTTCTTTTTGTTTTCCATTGTATAAAAAAATTCAGTGTGGTGTGAGCAAGTTTTTATTCTGAAAAAGTGGCCCCGAGCGAAAATGTTTGAGAACCAGGCTTAAAACCCATTGTCAGCAGCTGGACAGCAGAATGAAAGTGGTACAAGTCACTTTGGCGATACGCATTTCTATTTAAATTGCAGCGACAATTTCTCAGTTTGCATCTAGTTGTATAAGTGAGCATAGGCGCATATTTATGCAATTATGTGCCCACCTTGTCTTGGGAGAGGGATGGGTGCATTTGCTCTTTGGGGGCAATGGATTACCGTATTTTTCGCTCTATAGGACGCACTTTTTCCCCTTCAAAAATGAATGGGAAATGTGTGTGCGTCCTATGGAGCGAAGACGCCATAGCCCCGCGACCCTCTCCCGGCTGGAGAGGTGACGCGCGGCTATGGCAGGAGCCTCTACAGCCCCGCGTCACCTCTGCAGCCGGGACAGCGCGCGCGGGGCTAAAGCAGCCCCCCGCGACCCTCTCCCGGCTGGAGAGGTGACGCGCGGCTATGGCAGGAGCCTCTCCGCTGCGCCTTTCCGCTGCTCCCTGACCTGCTCTTTGGGGCTGGTGGTGGGCTTCCCCCCGCCAGCCCCAAAGAGCAGGTCGAAAGGAACCTGAAGCCTGGAGAGCGAGAGGGGTCAGTGCACACCGACCCCTCTCGCTCTCCAGGCTTCCAAGGTAGCCGCCTGAACGCACCTTAAACGGCACCTTGTTTTAGAGCAGGAAAACAAGAGGGGGAAAGTTCTCCCCCTCTCTGTGCAGCGCCTTCTGCTGCTTCACTGAAGGGGCGCTGGGCAGAGAGGGGGAGAATTTTTTTTTCTTGTTCTCCCCCCTCTAAAACAAAGTGCGTCCTATTGTCCGGTGCGTCCTATGGTGCGAAAAATACGGTAAGTGTCTCCCCATCTCTGCTGAGCACAGGCCTGGAGCAAGATTTTTCCTAGAGACAAGGAGGTGAAGTCTGCCCTGTGATTGATCTCAATGGGCGGAGGAACTTCACGGAGCCTGGCTACCACATCCACCCCTAGCGCATGAAGACAAAACATTGCCTCTTCCTAATCATCCCCTTCTTCGGGTTACAGTGACTCCTTTTCTGTGCAGGATAGATACGAAGTCAAAAGACAGAAGAAAGGTCCCTCGCCGGGGCATCTTTTCCCAGGAGAGTAAATCAACAAGAGCTTGATCTTTCCCTGGCAGACGAATGACCGCGACTCGGTTCAGAGAAAGCATCTTCCTTTCATCTCAGAATCTCACCATGCTTTGGACGGCAACATCCAGCTAAACAAAGGATGTTGTTTGAATTAGAGAGACAGAAAGCTGGCAGGCGAGGCTCTTTTCCCCCCCGGAGAATAAACTCCTAGGAGATGTTAATGGGAATCTCAGCACAAGAGTTTGGGGATTTGGTTCAGAGAGTTTCGGCACAGAGCAGGCTTCCTCAGCCTCGGCCCTCCAGATGTTTTTGGCCTACAACAAATGTCCATGGAAGTGCAGGTTAATTCTGTATCCAGGGCGGCTGTCTACCAGCTCCACCTGGTGCGCAGGCTGAGACCCTATCTGTCCATGGACTGTCTCACCAGAGCGGTGCATGCTCTGGTTATCTCCCGCTTGGACTACTGCAATGTGCTCTACGTGGGGCTACCTTTGAAGGTGACCCGGAAACTGCAACTAATCCAGAATGCGGCAGCTAGACTGGTGACTGGGAGTGGCTGCCGGGACCATATAACACCAGTCCTGAGAGATCTACATTGGCTCCCAGTACGTTTCTGAGCACAATTCAAAGTGTTGGTGTTGACCTTTAAAGCCCTAAACAGCCTCGGCCCTGTATACCTGAAGGAGCGTCTCCACCGCCATCGTTCAGCCTGGACACTGAGGTCCAGCTCCGAGGGCCTTCTGGCAGTTCCCTCATTGCGAGGTTACAGGGAACCAGACAGAGGGCCTTCTCGGTGGTGGCACCTGCCCTGTGGAATGCCCTCCCTTCAGATGTGAAGGAAATAAGCAGCTATCTTATCTTTAAAAGACATCTGAAGGCAGCCCTGTTTAGGGAAGTTTTTAATATTTAATGCTGTATTGTTTTTAACACTCGATTGGGAGCCACCCAGAGTGGCTGGGGAAATTCAGCCAGATGGGCAGGGTATAAATAATAAATTATTATTATTATTATTATTATTATTATTATTATTAAGCTGCAAAGGAAGAAGAGAGATGATCAGGAAGGTGGAGCTCTGCTGCTCCAAGGACAGGCTAAAACTTTGGGACTTTTCCGTTCAGAAAACAAAAGTTAGGAGGAGTATTAGAGGTTTCTGAAATTATGCATGGGGAGGAGAAAGTGACGGGGGACGAGGACACAAAAGGCCAAGGCTGTTGGCAAGCTTCCCTCCCTTCCTGGCAACTGAGCCAGAGCGAGGGCAAATCCATTGTGCCTTTGACACGTTTGGCCAGCGCACTGCCTCATTTACTAGAACTCCTCTCTTCCCATTCTCTGAAATGCCGGGAGTCATAATCATGTGCTGTGATCTCAGACATCCAAGATCCACCCCACCCTCCCCAAAAAATATTGTGCCCCTGCTTTGGCATGATGCAATAGCTTCGCAAAAGTCTCTTTTTTTGACGCTCGTTTTCTTGCTGTGCTTTATCAAACCAAGAGGGATGAGTTCTGCTGCCCGGTGGATTGCAGCAATCTGCCTGGTGCTTGCTAGGCCAGCTGACCTTACATTGCTGACATTCCTATTATTTTATTTTCTCCCGGTTCTCGTCCCCAGCTGTCACCCTTCGTTAGCGTTTTCTCCAAAGAGCTGTTTACCCTCAAAGTGGCACCGAAACCTCACAACTCAGGGGGAGAAAATAGAGCATATGCTATTAATAAGGAAAGGGGCTCACGTGCTAAAGTCTCGGCCGAGAAGGATCCGGCAACGGAAGAGGAGTCAGCGGAGGTGGAAGAGGAGACCCCCAACCCAGCTCCTCTGGGTCTTAAGCATCGCACTGTGGGTGGGCTTCTGGCTGCAGATATCAACCCAGCTGTTGAAACAGCTGGATTTGTCTTGTGTGAACACGGCAGCAACTCTGGCCGGCACAGCCAAAGGGCACCCACGAGATGGCCTGCCAGGAATCCTAGAACTGTAGTGCTGGCAGGGACATCAGGGGTCATCTAATCCAACCCTCTGTAGTCCAACAATAGAACACGGTAAAATTGTACATGGCATGGAGAAAGCAGGGGGAGAAACCATAGTATACCTGAAGGAGCGTCTCCACCCCCATCGTTCTGCCCAGACGCTGAGGTCCAGCGCCGAGGGCCTTCTGGTAGTTCCCTCACTGCGAGAAGCCAAGTTACAGGGAACCAGGCAGAGGGCCTTCTCGGAGGTGGCACCCACCCTGTGGAACGCCCTTCCACCAGATGTCAAGGAAATAAAGAACTATCTGACTTTTTGAAGACATCTGAAGTCAGCCCTGTTCAGGGAAGTTTTTAATGCGTGACATTTTAGTGTATTTTTGGTTTTTGTTAGAAGCCGCCCAGAGTGGCTGGGGAAACCCAGCCAGATAGGCGGGGTATAAATAATAAATTAGTAGTAGTAGTAGTGGTAGTAGCTTGAGGATGATGTAGTGGCTGTTAAAGGGACCCCTGACCATTAGGTCCAGTCGCTGACAACTCTGGGGTTGCGGCACTCATCTCGCTTTACTGGCTGAGGGAGCCAGTGTACAGCTTCCGGGTCATGTGGCCAGCATGACAAAGCCGCTTCTGGCGAACCAGAGCAGCGCACGGAAACGCCATTTACCTTCCCGCCGGAGCGGTGCCTATTTATCTACTTGCACTTTGAGGTGCTTTCGATCTGCTAGGTTGGCAGGAGCTGGGACCGAGCAACGGGAGCTCACCCCGTTGCGGGGATTCGAACCGCCGACCTTCTGATCGGCAAGTCCTAGGCTCTGTGGTTTAACCCACAGCGCCACCCGCATCCCAATAATAATAATAATTATAGTGGGTAGCTTGAGGATGATGTAGTGGCTGTGGGGAAAGGCAAATTCTGTGGGATGTAACATAAGCAGTCAAGTACATTTCCTGTTTGCCCAGAGTGGACCCACTGGGGGATGTTGCTCCAGCCAGGAGGACTTCCTGTCACACCTGGTCTGGAGCTTCCTCACCCTACGTGTGACCAGGTAGATGAGCATAAGCCTGGTGGATCCCATAAAAGGACTGGTCACACAACCATCTTCCTCTCTCATTCCTTCTTCTATCTTGATGGTTTTGCTGTCTGCTGGCCCTCAGCCAGCAGCACATGGGCTCAATCCCCACATGGAATAAACTCACACTCTCTTCTGTAACTACAAGCTAAAGCCTGCCTTCAGGGATCATACTGTGAAATGAATGTGAGTAAACTTCTTGTTACTTTTAAGAGAAGACTAAAAGGGGAATTTGCCAGGAACAAATCCAATCTGAACAAAGCCAGACCGGATTGCTTAACTCAAGAGATTCAAACGAATCTACCAACTAGCTTATAAGGGACACGGGTGGCGCTGTGGGTTAAAACACAGAGCCTAGGGCTTGCCGATCAGAAGGTCAGCGGTTCCAATCCCCGCGACGGGGTGAGCTGCCGTTGCTTGGTCCCTGCTCCTGCCAACCTAGCAGATCGAAAGCACATCAGAGTGCAAGTAGATAAATAGGCACCACTCTGGCGGGAAGGTAAACATTTAGAGAAAAGGTGAGCAAGCCTTCTAAAGTTATGCGCGGCAGGGAAGGGAGGGTAGAACGAAAAGTTTTTCTTCTCCTCTCCTAAGGCTAGATCTCATAACATCTGATAAAGAATGTTGTAAGATTCAGGACAGATTTAAAAAAGCCCTTCTTCATGCAGTTAAACTATGGAACTCCCTGCCACAGGAGGCAAGGATGGCTTTTAAACAGGATTAGGCAAATTCATGGAGGAGAGGCTATTGATCACTACTAGCCCCTATAGATCAGCTCTGCATCCACAGCTGAAGGCAGAAATGCTTCTGAATCCCAGTTGCTGGAAACCACAGGAGGGGAGTTGGTTGGCTTTGGGTGCAAATCTTGCTTGTGGGTTTCCCATAATGGGCATCTGGTCGGCCACTGTGAGAACAGGATGCTGGACTCGATGGGCCCCTTGCCTGATTCAGCAGCTTTTTCTTATGTTCTTCAGCTTCGGTTTTCCTCCACAAAACCCAGAGCAGACATCAATCCGGAGAAAACCCAATGGACGAAATGTAGCTCAGTTGGTTAGAGTGCCGTGCAGGGCCAGATTTAGGTTGGATGAGGCCCTAAGCGCCTGAAGGTAATGGGGTGCTTTATATGTCTGGCTGTCAACAAAAAAATGTCGCTGTTTTTCTGCGTTGAATGTTAAATTGCTGTTTCAGGGGTTGTTTTTAAAAGTCTGGAATAGATTAATCCGTTTTGCATTACTTTCTATGGGAAAGAGCGCCTTGGTTCTGGAACGCTTTGGTTTTGGAACGGACTTCCAGAACAGATTAAGTTTGAGAACCAAGGCACCACTGTATATAGAAATGAGCAAACCAGTGATATTTTAGGGAGCAGGCGGGGCCCATGACTTACATCACAGGAACCTACACAACACAAAACACTCTTGCTGTATGTAGGTTTTATTTTATTTGTTTTTATCTTATATTTTGGAAATGTACATCCAGGGTTTTTTCTTTAAATTTTTTGGGGGCCCGCAGAGAGTGGGGCCCTAAGCTATAACACCAAGGTTGCAGGTTTGATCTCTGTATGGGACAGCTGCATATTCCTTCATTGCAGGGGGTTGGACTAAATAATAATGAATTATTATTATTATTATTATTATTATTATTATTAATTTACTTATACCCCTGCCCATCTGTCCGGGCCTCCCCAGCCACTCTGGGCGGCTTCCAACAGAACATTACAAACACAATAAAACATCAAACGTTAAAAACTTCCCTGGTTCATAGTTCTGCTTGACTGGGGTTACTATAGATCAGCGTTTGTTCCAATTCAGCGGTAAACAATAGGGGAAAGCAGCAGCGCAAAAGGAAATCATAAATGGTAGAATTGTAGAGTTGGAAGGGACAGCAAAGGGTCATCTAGTCCAACCCCCTGAGATGCAGGAATCGCACCATATTCTGTGCCTTCTGCACCCAGATCGACATTGCTTCCCTTCCAACTCTACAATTCTACGACATTTGCACCGATTCGGTGGTAAAATCAGGTTTCCACAGAGGGAAGTGGTGAGAGGCAAGCAGGAGGCTAGATGAGCCGTGAGTGTTTGGATGAAGGTCATTTATGAATTATTTGGGGCAGCTCGGCAGCTGGGGCCAGTTGCCAGAAAGGAGGGTCTGTGGACCCCAACAATGAATTGGAAATGGGAAGGTCTGGGGACTTTTGCCACACCAGGGAGGGAGCAGCAGGCAGCCTGGTAATCCAGACAGTGGAACACCTGATTCCTGACTAATCCCTCATTTCCCTGAGAGGTGGGGGCAGGAAGCCAAGGCCTCTGACAGGAGAGATTTAGGACGCTCGGCCCTAGAGACCCAGCTGTTCTCTGCCTGGGCATTTGGAAAGTCAGATGCAAAGGGACGACATTGTGTGTTTGTTTGTGTGCGCTTTGCTCCTGGCCGTAGATCTGCAACATTTCCAAGCACAATTCAAAGTGTTGGTGCTGACCTTTAAAGCCCTAAACGGCCTTGGTCCAGTATACCTGAAGGAGCGTCTCCACCCCCATCGTTCTGCCCGGACACTGAGGTCCAGCTCCGAGTGCCTTCTGGTGGTTCCCTCCCTGCGAGAAGTGAGGTTACAGGGAACCAGGCAGAGGGCCTTCTCGGTGGTGGCGCCCGCCCTGTGGAACGCCCTCCCATCAGATGTCAAAGAGAACAACAACTACCAGACTTTTAGAAGACATCTGAAGGCAGCCCTGTTTAGGGAAGCTTTTAATGTTTGATGCATTACTGTATTTTAATACAGTGGTACCTCGGGTTACATACGCTTCAGGTTACATACTCTTCAGGTTACATATGCTTCAGGTTACAGACTGCGCTAACCCAGAAATAGTGCTTCAGGTTATGAATTTTGCTTCAGGATGAGAACAGAAATCGGGCTCCGGCGGCCTGGCAGCAGCAGGAGGCCCCATTAGCTAAAGTGGTGCTTCAGGTTAAGAACAGTTTCGGGTTAAGTACGGACCTCCGGAACGAATTATGTACTTAACCAGAGGTACCACTGTATTGTGTTGGAAGCCGCCCAGAGTGGCTGGGGAAACCCAGCCAGATGGGCGGGGTATGGATAATAAATTATTATTATTATTATTATTATTATTATTATTATTATTATTATTATTCACCTGTCCCAGACTCGTTTTGGAAGGGCAAGGTCTCCAAAGAGAGAATGCTTGGGAGACATGAAGTCTGCATGCACTCAGAGGAACCCTTTCCGCAGCAAGGCTCCGCGTGTTCCAGCGCTGAGCCCAAGCTAAGGGTGGCCAGCTAGATGTCACCAAAAAGAGAAGGCAAAAGAGGACCACGAGTTTCACCAAGTTTGCAAAAGCTGGTTTTAGTGTGTAAGGAGAGGGTGCTGGATCAGGCCAATGGTCCATCTTGGTCCAGCATCCTGTTCTCACTGTGGCCAACCACAAACCCACAAAGAGCATTTCAGCACATTCCCCCAAACTCTCCAAGTGTCCCTATTTTCCAGGGACAGACCCAGATTTACAGAAGCCACCTCAGTTTCTGATTTGATCATGGAATGTCTCGTTTTTCCTTCGGACATCCCTATCTTCATCAGAAAAATGCTGGAGGGCATCACCTTGCTGACAAAGGTCCGTATAGTTAAAGCTATGGTTTTCCCAGTAGTGATGTATGGAAGTAAGAGCTGGACCATAAAGAAGGCTGATCGCCGAAGAATTGATGCTTTTGAATTCTGGTGCTGGAGGAGACTCTTGAGAGTCCCATGGACTGCAAGAAGATCAAACCTCTCCATTCTGAAGGAAATCAGCCCTGAGTGCTCACTGGAAGGATAGATCGTGAAGCTGAGGCTCCAAGACTTTGGCCACCTCATGAGAAGAGAAGACTCACTGGAAAAGACCCTGATATTGGGAAAGATGGAGGGCACAAGGAGAAGGGGACGACAGAGGACGAGATGGTGGGACAGTGTTCTCGAAGCTATAATCATGAGTTTGACCAAACTGCGGGAGGCAGTGGAAGACAGGAGGGCCTGGCGTGCTCTGGTCCAGGGGGTCATGAAGAGTCGGACACGACTAAACAACAACAACAATCTGAATCCCGAGCTAAGGAGATAAGTAGCTATACAACCTTTAGAAGACATCTGAAGGCAGCCCTGGATAGGGAAGGTTTTTGGTTTTTTTATGTTTAATGTTTTATTCTGATTTTATATATGTTGGAAGCTGCCCAGGGTGGCTGGAGCAACCTAGTCAGATGGGTAGGGTGTAAGTAATAGATTATTATTATTATTATTATTATTATTATTAGGCACATGATGGGGATGATGAGTCACCGAGCTTTCCTGTAAAATCTGCCAGAGAGAACGCTATGAGATCACTTCCTTTGCCTGCCTTGGCAGGAAGCTATATCCAAGTCATGCCTTGGATCTCAAACGCCTTGGCTCCCAAACAAATCAGCCCCCGAACAATTGAAACCCGGAAGTGAGTGTTCTGGTTTCTGAACAATTTTCAGAAGCCAAACGTCTGGCATGGCTTCTGCGGCTTCCGATTGGCTGCAGCAGCTTCCTGCAGCCAATCAGAGGCTGCATTATGGACGTCAAATAGACTTCCGGAACGGATTCCGTTCGACTTCCAAGGTCCAACTGTACTTCCTTCTGCTTCCTCTTTCTTTTACCTGCTTCCCGGCTGACCACACATGCAAGTCTGAACCATTTTGAACTTAGATTTATTATTGTTATTGTTACTGTTGAATAGAACCCCCCCCCCTATTTTCACTGGATAAATTGTTGGAGAGTAAGCTGTGGTTTCCAACAATTGGTTCCAGAAGCATCACTGCCTCTGAGAGATCAGAGCCATCAAATGAGCTTCATTCTCCTACATGAATTTGCCTAACCTTCTTTTAAAGCCATCCCAGGTGGTGGCCATGGCTGCCCCTTGTGGGAGGGAGTTCCACAGGTTATCTATGCGCTGTGCGAATAAGAAGTCTCATCTGTCCTGTATAATGAGATGAAAAGGATGTTGAAATATACATTTAAAAAAAAAAAAAACAGAAGCCTTTTTACTTGGTATTATAGACCAAGACGTTAATAGACAAGATGTCAAACTGTTTTTATATGCAACAACTGCAGCAAGAGTATTGTTAGCCCAGAAGTGGAAGCAAGAAGACATTCCGACGAAAGAAGAATGGCAGACGAAATTAATGGACTGTGCAGAATTGGACAAAATGACAGGAAGGATTCGAAACCTGCGGGACCAGAGATTCGCAGAAGATTGGAAGAAGTACATGAATTCTTTGAAAAGCAGCTGTAATCAACAAATTACGTTATATATATATAAATAACGTAAAAGAAGTCTCATCTGTCCTGACCCTGCCCACATTCAGCTTCTTCTCTGCAAGATCCGGCGTTACAAGAAAGGGAGAAATGGCCGGCTGTATCCCAGGAAGGTCCAGCCAGCATCCAGACCTGTCAGGTCAAATTTGTCATCCTTGCCTGCCTCCCCCGCCCCCCCCCCCAAGATCTCTGCTGCTGCTCAGCTGGGAGGGACCTCAGCCCTCCATCGGAGCTGATGGTGTCATGGAAAATGCTGCCGCCAGCCAAAGGGAGTGTTTGTGCCGACAGAATCAGGCAATTTCTCTGCTTTTTTCTGCTTTCTCCTTGGCGCCTGGCCAGGCGCAGCCAAGTCCTTCCAGCAGAGGATCAAGGCAGAAGGAGAGAGAGAGAGAGCGAGAGAGAGCTCCGTCTTCTTCCCTCCCCTTCCCCACACCCAGGCCTGGAGGGAAAAATGCTTTCCCCCCCTCCAGTGACCACAACCTCCCTCCCCAGAAGCAGCTTGTTTTCACCAGCCAGAGGGAAGGAGGGTTTCAGAGGAAGGAGCAGGAAAAGAAGAAGAAGATGATGTAGCCATGCTCTTCTTCCATGGCCCAGTTGCTGTAAACTGCAGGAGGAGAAAAAGAGATCCTCCCTGCGGGTTTCTGGGTGGCCACTGCAAGAACAGGATGCTCAACTAGATAGTAATACTAATAATAATAATAATAATAATAATAATAATAATAATGAGAAAAGAATGCAATGAAGGTGCCTACTTGAGCTCAAGAGGCAGGGAGTTCCAAAGGGCAGGTGCTGCCACATGAAAAGATTGAGTTCTTGCAAACGCAGAACGGGTGTTGTATTGAACAGGGCAAGTTTTGCCGAGTGAAGCAGCGGGCTAGCCAGCCCAGGACATTTTGGCACCTAATAATAATAATAATAATAATAATAATAATAATTTATTTATACCCTGCACATCTGGCTGGGTTTCACCAGCCACTCTGGGTGGCTTCCAACAGAACACTAAAATACAATAACTTATACATCACCTTGCCAACAAAGGTCCGTATAGTTCAAGCTCTGGTTTTCCCAGTAGTGATGTATGGAAGTGAGAGCTGGACCATAAAGAAGGCTGATCGCCGAAGAATGGATGCTTTTGAATTCTGGTGCTGGAGGAGACTCTTGAAAGTCCCATGGACTGCAAGAAGATCAAACCTATCCATTCTGAAGGAAATCAGCACTGAGTGCCTGGACACTAAGGTCCAGCGCCGAGGGCCTTCTGGTGGTTCCCTCATTGCGAGAAGCCAAGTTACAGGGAACCAGGCAGAGGGCCTTCTCGGTGGTGGCACCCGCCCTGTGGAACGCCCTCCCACCAGATGTCAAAGAGAAAAATAACTACCAAACTTTTAGAAGACATCTGAAGGCAGCCCTCTTTAGGGAAGCTTTTAATGTTTAATAGGTTATTGTATTTTAGTGTTTTGTTGGAAGCTGCCCAGAGTGGCTGGAGAAGCCCAGCCAGATTGGCGGGGTATAAATAATAAATTATTAGTAGTAGTAATAGTAGTAGTAGTAGTAGTACTAGTATCATCATCATCATCATCATCATCACACAGTTAAACAATGGAACTCCTTCCCACAGGACACAGTGAAGGCCACCAACATGGGTGGCTTTTAGAGGACTGGAGAAATTCGTGGAGGACGAGAGAGCTATCGGTGGCTACTACTAGTCAGCTCTGCCTTCACAGCTGGCAGCTGCTGAATCCCAGTTCGTTGCTGCAAGCCTCAGGAGGAGAGAATTGTTCTTGGGTTCTTGCAAGAGGGGTTTCCTGACTTTCGGGTTTGGTGGGTGTGCGTCAGTAAACGAGGGGAATTAAGACTAAGAGAGCTGGATGAGGGTGTGCTTGTGTAATCTCACTGTATACAAGTTGTACAAGTGACAAGAAAGTATTTCAATTTTCAATTTCAATTTCTCAGGTGCCTGCCAGCTTTCAGAACTGCAAAAGCTGAGAATATGCAGAGTAGCCTCTTTTTCTGGAGAAAAAAAAACAGCATCCCCTGGCCTGATTCTCCCCCCACAATATTAAAAGTCAACTCCTTTTGCAACTTATTCAGAATCGGATTCTGAGCACATCCTCAATGAAACTTGTGCATTGCATTGTGTTATTTTAACTAAAACATTTTCTTTTTCATGCTGTTCTCCATTGCTATTTGACCCATTTAAGGTGGGCCATTTTATTCCCTCCCTCCTTTGGTTCGATTAGGATATTCCTGCATTGAAGGGGGTTGGACTAGATGTCCTTTGGGTACCTTCCAACTCTTCGATTCCATGATCCTATGATTCTATATCGCAGCTGTTGTTATCGCGCTATACTTGGGGTTTTTTTAAGCTTTAAAAAAAAGGGGGTTATTTATAAATAATAATAAAAAATCAGCAGAGGCTTGTTTTAGAGCAAAGTTCCATCCTGTGTCAGCAACACTGCTATAGATGCTACGAGGGATTAAAAAAAGAAAGGAGTCACAGCAAATGCTCTTAAAATAAACTGCTCCTTTGCAACCTGGGTGAGCGGCAACTTCCATTCTGCACCCTTCCCAGTCGTGCGGAGGAGGCGGTGCCACTAGGCGCCGCTGTCTTTCGATGCTGACAGAGCATCTTTGCACTCGGGAAACCTTGGATTTTCTTGATATAGACCAATGGTAGAGCACAATTTGGCAAACAGCCTTGCTGAAAAGATTATCACACAAATGCTTCTGGCATAATGGGACACCGTGACGGAAACCAGAGCGCACGGAAACATCGTTTACCTTTCCGCCACAATGGTAACTATTTATCTACTTGCACTGGTGTGCTTTTGAACTACTAGGTTGGCAGGAGCAGGGACTGAGCAATGGGAGCTCAGCCCATCACCTGGATTCGAACAGGCAACCTTCCAATCGGCAAGCCCAAGAGTCTCGGTGGTTTAGACCACAGCGCCACCCACGTCTTTTACCTTTGCGTCGGGTTAACCACTGTGAGGATAGGATGCTAGGCTACATGGTCTGGTGCCCTGGTCCTGCAGGCTCGTCTAATGTTCGTAATAAAGTGGCTTCATGTATGTATGTGTCGGGGTGTGCATGATCCAAACAGGCACCAGAAGAAGAAGAGTTTGGATTTGATATCCTGCTTTATCCCTACCCATAGGAGTCTCAAAGGGGTTAACAATCTCCTTTCCCTTCCTGCCCCACAACAAACACTTTGTGAGGTGAGTGAGGCTGAGAGACTTCAGAGAAGTATGACTAGCCCAAGGTCACCCAGCAGCTGCATGTGGAGGAGCGGAGACGCGAACCTGGTTCCCCAGATTACGAGTCTACCGCTCTTAACCGCTACACCACACTGGCTCTCAGGGGGAAAGGGCAGAGATTCTGATTCAGACCCTTGGCTGGCAGAGGGTGATGGAACTAGAGAACGAAGACCCCAAGCAGGTTTGCGATGGGGGTATAAGGACATAAAACCGCCGGCCTTCCGATCGGCAAGCCCATGGGGCTCGTGGTTTAGACCACAGTGCCACCCACTCCCATAGTCGCCTTTGGCTGGACTTAACCATCCAGGGGTCCTTTACCTTTACCTTTAGGTGACAAGCAGGGTCTCCAGGAGCTCACAGAGAAAGGAAGAAGGCAGAGCAGATGTGGGCTTGCAACTGCTTGGGAAGGACCCTGGAGCCTTAGAGATTGGAGGAGCTTCAGTCCTCGCAACTGGCCTGTTGGAGCAAGACCTACTGGGAAGAGCTGGTGGGATCGCTAGGCCTGTTTTGGTTTCTTGAATAAAGAGTTAATTTCACTGACACCTTGGATTGCTGACCTATGCTTGATTCCAGCTCCTGACAGTACCCCTAATTTATGGCATGGATTTGCTTGTACAGAGAGTTAAAGCACCACCCAGACCCTGTGGCACAGAAAGTAAGCAAGCAAATGCAATAAGCAAAATGCTGCAACATTAATGGTAAGTGTATTATAATTTGCCTGGTTCACCATCAGTTCCTAATACTGAAAATAGATTTTTTTTTAAAAAAATGGTGTGTTTTTTAATGAGCTCATAGATCCTAATGGTTTCAATTTACTTTAGTTTTCCTACACCCGAGACACTTGCTTTTTCCTTTTGGTGTCCATTAATATTTTGAAATTCTATTTTAAAAAGCAACTTGGGTTGGAGGGAATTCCACTTGCATCTTAACTGGAACCTGCCTGACCAGAGCAACCTCAAGAAAACAAATATATGCATCGGGTCAGAGCTATCCTTCAAAATTTGCGCTTTTCCAGATTTTGCAAGGCGGTTCTCTAACCAAAAAAGAGCACCTGAAAACATACATAATGTTGGATAGTGCGCAGAGGGAAAAACTCTGTGAGGTTTCCTACAACTGAGCGGTATGTGAATTTTGTGCAATAAATAAGTAGATCAGGCTCTAACCACTGCACCGCATTGCTGCCTCTGCCTATGAGCCTCCCCTCCTCCCTAGCAGCGCTTGAGTCTCCCCACACACAATACTTTCCCACTTGCCCTTACCAAATTTCATTGTGTCGCTCCAGAGGCCCCTTTGCCAAGGTCAGGGGAAGTCCTCTAATCCTCTCCTCTCGAGGGTATCATCCTACTTTGACGTCCTGCTGTGCAGCCTGCAAAAATCCTGCTCCATGCCCAGAATTGCAGGCATGTGTGTGTGTGATTTAGCAAAGCCAAGGCCAGATCTAAATATTAATAACCTACTTGGATGTTGGACCAGCTTTGCTAAATGTCTGAAAGGACAGATGATGTGTCAGGCGAGGCACAATTGCTGTCCTTATACCCCCATCGCAAAACTGCTTGGGGTCTTTGCTCTCTCGCTCTACCACCCTCTGCCAGCCAAGGGTCTCCTGCTGCATCAGAATCTCTGCCCTTTACCCCTGGTGCCTGTTTGGATCATGATCACCCTGACACATACATACATGAAGACACTTCATTAAGAACATTAGACGAGCCTGCAGGACCAGGGCAGCAGGCCATATAGTCTAGCATCCTAACCTCATAGAGGTTAACCCAATGCAAAGGTAAAAGACGTGGGTGGCGTTGTGGGTTAAACCACTGAGCCTCTGGGGCTTGCTGATTGGAAGGTTGCCAGTTTGAATCCCGGTGACGGGGTGAGCTCCCATTGCTCTGTCCCAGCTCCTGCCAACCTAGCAGTTCGAAAGCACACCAGTGCAAGTAGATAAATAGGTACCGCTGTGGCGGGAAGGTAAACGGCGTTTCCATGCTCTCTGGTGTCCATCACGGTGTCCTGTTGCACCAGAAGCGGTTTAGTCCTGCTGGCCACATGACCTGGAAAGCTGTCTGTGTACAAACGCTGTCTCCCTCAGCCTGAAAGTGAGATGAGCGCCACAACCCCATAGTCACCTTTGACTGGACTTAACTGTCCAGGGGTCCTTTAAAAGGGACCCCTGACCATTAGGTCCAGTCGTGGCTGACTCTGGGATTGTGGTGCTCATCTCGCTTTACTGGCTGAGGGAGCCAGCGTCCAGCTTCCGGGTCATGTGGCCAGCAGGACTAAGCCGCTTCTGGCGAACCAGAGCAGCGCACGGAAATGCTGTTTACCTTCCCGCCGGAGTGGTACCTATTTATCTACTTGCACTTTGATGCACTTTCGAACTGCTAGGTTGGCAGGAGCAGGGACCGAACAATGGGAGCTCACTCTGTCGTGGGGATTCGAACCCCCGACCTTCTGATCAGCAAGCCCATGAGGCTCAGTGGTTTAACCCACAGCGCCACCCGCATCCCTCAGGGGTCCTTTACCTTTTACGTTTAACCCGATGTCCATTATGGGAAACCTGCCAGCGGGATCCGAGCACACATGCCTTCTCCTGAGATTTCCAGCAACTGGGATTCAGAAGCATCCCTGTCTGCAAGCACAGGCCTCCCTCAAACGCTTTAACTTTTCTCCAAAGGAAAACTCCAAGAACTCGGAGGAGCTGCAGGAACACGGCCCTCGGAAGTTGTGTACCTGCCACCTGATCTGCCTGAAAAGGTTATTTGCTGTTCTTTATTGCACTCCAACATACCAGGATCCTCTGAAAAGCAGTAGAGGAAGAAAATCGCTTGTGTATTGTTCAAAACCTGCCAATTTTGTCCAGGGAAACCCGTCTTCCAAGAGGAGGCAAAGTGAGCGGGGCATGAATCGGCACGTCGGTCATAAAACCGACCTGGGAGAAGCAAGGCATGCCCGTGTTAATTAAATCAAAGGCCAGGTGGGTCTTCTTTCTATTGGTTTTGTCACCTGGGGTTTCATGAGCGTTGCTCTCTGACCTTGAGATGATGGTGCTCGTAAATCCAAGAATGAAACAGCCTTGACTTATCTCTGCATCTCTCTCTCTCTCTCTCTCTCTCTCTCTCTCTCTCTCTCTCGGGTTCAGTTTCCAGGGACCAGGATGACACATTGATGTCCCCGTCCTCCTGACGCCATCTCACAGAGCAGGACAAAAGAGCAGTAAACACACCATGTGCAACACCTGTTGAGTTGACATCTCAAGGCCAGGCCAGTACAGGCTTCCACGTGGGGCCTTTCCACGTGTGGGGTGGGCGGAAAGGAAAAAAACCCCACCCTGCGCCCTAGAACAGGGGAGGGTTTCATTTCTGTTCACATTTAAAGGCCAGCCTCCCAAGTTCACATTGTTCTAAAACGACACGGGGAACGGAACGCAGAGCCACTCTTCAGAAATTTGCAATGCCGTTCTCCAGCCAAGTAGTGCGCGTCAAAATGCTTTAATAACTCGTGCACATAAATGCATACATTAGTGAAACTAACGTGCAAAGAAGTGCATCACGTTGGAGAAATCTGTGTTGCAGAAAGTTCATTTTGGACAAAATTTCACTTGGAAATGTGTGCGGTCGGAGAAATTCGCACCAAAAGGCTGGCGAATGTTCGTGAGGACTTTAGAAAAAGATCCTCAGCTGATTCAGAAATGTTGGGAATGGAAGTGAAGATTCACAAAATGAGAAACTGAGAGGTTCACTCATCCCTACAGACAACAAGACAGCCCTCTTACTAACATATACTAGCTCAGAGATCGGCACTGGCTGCTGATTTTCTACCAAGCAGGTTTAGATTTAGCAATGCTTATCACTGAGCATCTTGCAAGAGCTGCAACTGAGAGAACAAGGACCTCAGGTGTAGCAAATCATGTTAATCTGGATGAAAAGGAGTGGGAACCTTGTAAGGAGCTCTGATTTAAGTCGGGCAGGATGGGCTTGCTTGTATCATTTGCAAAACGGTTTGGCTCCACCGTCAGCTAATTAAAACAAGGACCTGAAGTGCCTAGGTATACTCCGCTGTAAGCTGATTAAAATGAGAACATGAACCAGGCGGCGCTTTTAATTGGCTTGCAAACAAACTGCCTTGCCTGGCGCAGTGTTTTCCTGTGATCTGAAAAGCAGCTCATCGCTAAGAGATAATTGACTCTAATTGCCACGGACCTTGTTCAAGAAACAAGGTTGAAAAGAAAGGCAAGGAACAAGAGAAGAGGCGCAGAAACGGAAGGGAAGGGAGTCAGCAAAAGAGTGCAATGTCTCCATTGAGACCGGCACATGCCACCTTCGCCATCCTGCAGCCAACTTTCAGTGGGTAGTGCCTGATTCCAGGACCACAAAGACCTTAAGCGCTTGTGAGCAGAAGGAAATAAGTGGCTTGCCTTTGCGTCCTTCAAAAGTTGTGCCAGAAGAAATGTAAAGAAAAGGAAGGAACCTTTTATCATATGTGGTGGACCTGTCCCAAGGTGAAAGACTTCTGGGAAAAGATTTATAATGAATTGAAAAAAATGTTGAAATATACATTTATAAAGAAACCAGAAGCCTTTCTTCTTGGAATAACAGGTTTGGAATTGCCCAAGAAAGATGTTAAATTATTTTTGTATGCCACAACTGCTGCTCGTATTTTGTTAGCTAAAAAGTGGAAAACCCAAGAATTACCAACAATAGAAGAAAGGCAGATGAAGATGATGGATTTTTCGGAGCTAGCCAACCTGACTGGAAGAGTCCGCGACCAGAAGGAGAAGGAGTATCAGGAAGAATAGAATAAATTTAATGATTATTTAGTTAAATTTGTTAAGTTAAACTAACTGGAAATAGCTTGCAGATACTTAATGGGCTTAGGATTTTATTTATGTTAAGTGATGAATTAATATGTTTAATTCTATAAGGTGAAGATTTAAGGATGTTAATGTTTAAGTTAAATTTCATAAAAATTGGGATTTGGAAAACCGTTAAAAGGACATGCAATGAAATTCAACCAAGGGGAAGCGAGGAAGTCGCTTAACAAAGTTAATAACTGTAATTTTTAATAAGGCTATGATTTATGTTTGTTTTGTTTGTTTGTCTTGTGTGTTTGTTTGTGTGTTTATAATATTGTGAAAACCAATAAAAATTTTGGAAGGAAAAAACAAAACAAAAGTTGTGCCAGAAGAGTCGCCAAGTCCCTGCTCATTCACAAAGTTGTGGGATTGGTTGCGGTTTAATTTCAAGAACACAAGCATTGCAGGGGGTGGGACTGTGGGACCCTCCAAGTCTTCGATTCTATGATTCTAAACTCCTTTCAGGAAGGGGCTGCAACCAAGCAGCGTAGAAATGTTATGAAACAGACATGCAATAATTTGACCGCAGAGAAATCCTTAATCCTCGTATAATAAATCCCACAGACCGTGGAGTGAAATTTGCACTTGCAAATCGAGGGTGAGGTGACCACAGCATGCTGCGGAACAGCATGAAGTGTTCTTGCACTCAGGCAAAGCTTTTCACAGAGGGGTCTTAATCAAAAGCCAGCCACTCCCAGCTCATAGGCCTCCGATTAATCGTAGAATCCCGTCTGGCTGCCAAGTGCAACGAGCGAGCTGGAAGAAATAATCTCTCTCCCCCCACTTTCTCTAGCAGTTAAGTGAGACTGAAATTTCATGCCTCAGATGCAACAGCTGAACTCTCTCTAAGAAACAGGCGTGCCAAAGATTGCTAGCCAGCTTCCCAGTTAGCCATCCTTCTTCTGTTGCGCTGTGCCACTCTGCACACCATTGCAGCTGCGCCAAGCCAATTCGGCTGCTCTGATCTTTGCTCAAGAACCTGCAGAAAGCTGTCCTAGGACCCACATACCTACGGGACAGCCTCTGCTGGTATGCCCCGCGGAGGACCTTAAGGTCCACAAATGACAACACTTTGGAGGTTGCAAGGTGGTTAGCTTGGTCTCAACTAGAGCCAGGGCCTTTTCGGTGCTGGCCCCGACTTGGTGGAACGCTCTGTCCCAAGAGACTAGGGCCCTGCGGGACTTGACATCTTTCCGCAGGGCCTGCGAGACAGAGCTGTTCCACCTGGCCTTTGGTTTGGACTCGGTCTGACCCTTATGTTGCCCTCCCCTTATGGTTTTGATCTAGGGGCTACTTTTAAAATGAGGCTGCCTTTTAAATTGCATTTTAACCTGTATTTTAAATTGGTGGGTTTTTTTCCTATTATGTTTTTACTGTAATTTTACTGGTGTTAGCCACCCTGAGCCCGGCTCTGGCCGGGGAGGGCAGGGTATAAATAAAAATTATTATTATTATTATTATTATTATTATTATTATTATTATTATTATTTCAAGACTGTGGCAGCCCCGCCCCCTCCATCACCCATCCCTTGGCATTTTATGTAGCATGTACTGGATAAAAACAGATTCAGGTAGATAGCCATGTTGGTCTGATGCAGTGGAAATAAATAAAAAAAAACTGTCCAGCAGCACCTTAGGTAAAGGTAAAGGGACCACTGACCATTAGATCCAGTCGTGGCCGACTCTGGGGTTGCGGCGCTCATCTCACTTTACTGGCCGAGGGAGCCGGCGTACAGCTTCCAGGTCATGTGGCTAGCATGACTAAGCCGCTTCTGGCAAACCAGAGCAGCGCACGGAAACGCCGTTTACCTTCCCGCCGGAGCGGTACCTATTTATCTATTTGCACTTTGACGTGCTTTCGAACTGCTAGGTGGGCAGGAGCAGGGACCGAGCAACGGGAGCTCACCCCGTTGCAGAGATTTGAACCACTGACCTTCTGATCGGCAAGTCCTAGGCTCTATGGTTTAACCCACAGTGCCACCCGGCCACTAGAGACCAATTAAGTTTATTCTGGGTATAAGCTTTTGTGTGCATGCACAAAATCTGAAGAAGGAGGTCTCTGAAGAAGTGTGCATGCCCACGAAAGCTTATAGCCAGAACAAACTTAGTTAGCCTCTAAGGTGCTACTGGACATTATTATGATGATTATTATTTGGATAAAAACAGTCACCCAGGCACCAGCAGTGAGCTGAAGATCCCAGAAGTTCGTGCCGTAACAAAATGGTTAGGTTGTCAGGTGCCGCAGAACACTTCACCATATTTGATACGACACGCTGATTCTGGGGAAGAAAGGGAGCTCAAAACAGGCCAAGGGTGGAGCACCTTCCTTGCAAGGAAGTGTTAAAGTACTCATTTGCAAAGTGGGTGGTGGCACCCGCTGGGGGTGGCAGGATTGCCTGGGGGTTCTGTGAGGCAAGAGGATGCAAAATGACTATCAGACCTTGAAAAGCTGGTGTCCCTGCATAATCCCTTCTGTTGAGTTAAACTAAATGGTTTTTATTGGGTTTTGAAGAAATGTGCAATTAGCAGAGAAATGGTTGTTGCAGAGAGATAAAAACTATGCTATGAATAAGGTAAATGTTATGTACTGAGTTGAATAGGATCCAAAATGCAGCAGTCTGATTGGTCCTAGAACAATAGGATCCAAAAGGCAGCAGTCTGATTGGTCCTAGGATTCAGAATGCAGCAGTCTGATTGGTCCTAGAACAATAGGATTCAGAATGCAGCAGTATGATTGGTCTGCAGGAGCCACCCAATCCAGCTCCAGGTGGAAGTGAATCCGCAACCTGATTGGCCCACAGGAGAATCCCGGAATTAGCCAATCATGTGCGGCCCATTGTGTAAATAATGTACATAAAGCAGATATTGTGAGGAAACTTTCATTCCTCGCTACTATGAGCTGAATAAAGAGCATGAAATCCACACTCGACTCTGAGTATATTTCAGTAAAGGTAAAGGACCCCTGGACGGTTAAGTCCAATCAAAGGCGACTATGGGGTTGCGAGGGAGCTGGCATTTGTCCACAGACAGCTTTCCGGGTCACGTGGCCAGCAGGACTAAACCGCTTCTGGTGCAACGGGACACCGTGACGGAAACCAGAGTGCACGGAAACACCGTTTACCTTCCAGCCGCAGTGGTACCTATTGATCTACTTGTAGTTTGACGTGCTTTTGAACTGCTAGGTTGGCAGGAGCTGGGACAGGGCAATGGGAACTCACCCCGTCGCAGGGATTCGAACTGCCGACCTTCCAATAGGCAAGCCCAAGAGGCTCAGTGGTTTAGACCACATCACCACCCAGATCGTGATTCCACAGAAGCACAATGGAGCAATCAATAATAAGTCCCAGAATGCAGTCAAATCCAGATAAAGTCATCCTTTGCTAGGTATGAGTTTGTCTTTTGACGTAAAGCCACTTCCGACATAAGAAGGAGGTGGTGTTGCGGGCTCACGCCCCCAACACACACACGGGAGCTGGCTTCAACCCCCGCGCGAACAGGGGAATCCTCGGGGCCGCGTCATTCCCCGAGCCACCCTATCAGCCGGCTCTGGGGGCGTGGCTTGCCTCATTTAAGGCAAGCGCGGCCCCGGGATTTCCCTCTTTGGGTCTGCTCAGCTGGTAAGGTTTCCCCACCCACCCACCCTTTAAGGTTCCCCTTTCGACCTTGCTATGGACCTTGGTCTGCCCATGTGTGGGTCACGATTTGGAGCTTCTGTGCATGTGCAAAGCACGATTTAGCACTTCTGCGCATTTGCAAGCACCAAAACCCGGAAGTAACCCATTCCGGTGCTTCCGGGTTTGGCGCAGTGTGCAACCTGAAATCGCGCAACCCGAAGTGTCTGTAACCCGAGGTATGATTGTATTTGAAGAGCTGTCCCATGGAGGGCACAGCAAGCTGGTTTTCTGCTGCTCCAGAGTACAGGACACAAACCAAATGATTCAAATGAGATTCTGACAAAACATCAGGAAGGACTGTCTGACAGCAAGAGCTGTTCAGCAGTGGAAGGTTTTTAAGCAGAGCTTGGATGCCAGCCTGCCAGGGATTCTTTAGTTGTGATTCCTGCATCGCAGGGGGTTGGACTAGATGACCTTTGGAGTTCCCTTCCAACTCTACAATTCTGCTTCTATTATCTCTCCTCAGTTCAGAGGCCCAGCCCTCACCATCCACCCACCTCCGAAACACCTCCCTTGCCACAAGGAGTTAGTAAGCCCATTGGTTTCTAAGCACATTTTCCTTTCAGTGTGTTTAGCAAACATTAATCATCATATCCCTCCAGGGAGGTCAATTGGCAAATATTTTCTCTCTCGTGTGCAGATAATTAATCAAATAAAAATATGACAGGGTGTTTCAAAGGACCTTAGCAACTGCTCCAGCCTTCAATTTTCTGGGCAAACAAAATGAGAGGGGGTGGGGGAGGATCCACAGAATTTAGCAAAAGGTCACACATTTAAGGATATATGTATTCCGCTTCTGACGACTTCTTTAAAAAACAGAAATGAATATTGTCATTAAAAAAGATCAGACTTGGCCAAGGAAAACCAAAGCCATGGAACAGGCCACCACTAATGAATGGCTTTGATTTGATTAAAGCCTTTTTACTGGATTAAATAACCACAGAACTATAGTCTTCAAAGGAACCCTTTTAGAATTAGAGGCAGGATGTCCTATTCCTCATAAACCCAAGTAGTTTCCATACCAACTATTATTTCTGGACACTGTTTGAGAGACGGCGTGGCATAGCGGTTGACAGCGTGAGCTATGAGCTGGGAAACTGCCGGGTTCAAATCTTGCTCAGGTGTGAAAACAGGTCATGTAGCACAGGGGCGTTATCCAGACTCAAACCATTTGTCCCTTTCAATGTAGGAACATAAGAAGAGGCTGCTGGATCAAGCCCATGGCCCATCTAGTCCAGTATCCTGGTCTCACAGGGGCCAACCAGTTGGGGAAACCCAAAAGCAAGATCTGAGCACATGAACCCTTCTCTCCTCCTGGGGTTTCCAGCAACGGGGGCTCAGAGATTTTTCCGCCTCTGGCAGGCGAGGCAGAGCAGAGCAATCCTGGCCAGTAGCCATCCATAGCCCTCTCCTCTTCCATGAATTTGTCCAATCCTCATTCAAAGTCATCTAGATTGGTGGCCATCACTGTGCTCCAACGACAGTAAGGTAAAGGTAAAGGGACCCCTGACCGTTAGGTCCAGTCGTGGCCGACTCTGGGGTTGCGGCTCTCATCTCGCTTTATTGGCCGAGGGAGTCGGAGTACAGCTTCTGGGTCATGTGGCCAGCATGACTAAGCCGCTTCTGGTGAACCAGAGCAGCGCATGGAAATGCCGTTTACCTTCCCGCCAGAGCGGTACCTATTTATCTACTTGCACTTTGACGTGCTTTCGAACTGCTAGGTTGGCAGGAGCAGGGACCGAGCAACGGGAGCTCACTCCGTCGCGGGGATTTGAACCGCCGACCTTCTGATCGGCAAGCCCTAGGCTCTGTGGTTTAACCCACAGCGCCACCCGCATCCCTTCCAACGACAGGGGAAGTCAAAAAAAGACAGGGGGGCTGCGTGCCTTGTCCTTTTTGTTACCTGGACAGGTAAGGTCACGCCCACCTCTAGTCACATGCAAAGGAAGTATGTCCCAGTCCAGGAGGAAACAGGAAGTTCTGACTGGCTGGACCAAACATCCCCTTGCATGTCCACTCTAGGAAAACAAGGAATGTTGTACTTGACTGCTGCTTATGTATCACATCCCACACCAGGGCCATCCAGGAATTGCACCTAAAGAGAACCCTGACAGGTGGCCATCCAATCTCTGGTTTAAAAACCCCAAGGAAGGAGAGTCCACCACATTCTACACTTGTCCATTCCACTGTCAAACGACTCTTACCATTAGAAGGATCTTCCTAAGGTTAAGTCAGAATCTCCTTTCTTGTCATTTGGATGGGTTCAGGTGGTCCTCCTTTCGAGGCAGCAGAAAACATGCTTATTCCATCCTTTATTATTATTATTATTATTATTATTATTATTATTAATTATTATTTATACCCCGCCCATCTGGCTGAGTTTCCCCAGCCACTCTGTGCGGCTCCCAATCAAATGTTAAAAACAGTACAGCATTAAATGTTAAAAACTTCCCTGAACAGGGCTGCCTTCAGATGTCTTTTAAAGATAGGATAGCTGCTTATTTCCTTCACATCTGAAGGGAGGGCATTCCACAGGTCGGGTGCCACTACCGAAAAGGCCCTCTGTCTGCTTCCCTGTAACCTGACTTCTTGCAATGAGGGAACCGCCAGAAGACCCTCAGCGCTGGACCTCCGTGTCCGGGCTGAACGATGGGGGTGGAGACGCTCCTTCAGGTATACTGGACCGAGGCTGTTTAGGGCTTTAAAGGTCAGCACCAACACTTTGAATTGTGCTCGGAAATGTGCTGGGAGCCAATGCAGATCTCTCAGGACCGGTGTTATGTGGTCCCAACGGCCAGTTCCAGTCACCAGTCTAGCTGCCGCATTCTGGTATTAGTTGTAGTTTCTGGGTCACCTTCAAAGGTAGCCCCAAGTAGTCCAAGCGGGAGATAACTAGAGCATGCACCACTCTGGTGAGACAGTCTGCAGGCAGATAGGGTCTCAGCCTGCGTACCAGTTGGAGCTGATAAACAGCTGCCCTGGACACAGAATTGACCTGCGCCTCCATGGACAGCTGTGAGTCCAGAATGACTTCCAGGCTGCGCACCTGGTCCTTCAGGGGCACAGTTACCCCATTCAGGACCAGGGAATCCCCCACACCTGCCTGCCTCCTGTCCCCCCAAAAACAGTACTTCTGTCTTGTCGGGATTCAACCTCAATCTGTTAGCCGCCATCCATCCTCCAACCTCCTCCAGGCACTCACACAGGACCTTCGCCGCCTTCACTGGTTCCATGGGACAGCCCTTCAGATATTTGAAGATGGGTGCCTTGTCGCCTCCCAGTCTCGACTCTTTCCCAGGCTAACCATCCCCAACTCCTTCGACCGTTCCTCACAAGGCTTGGTTTCCAGACCCTCATCATCCTGGCTGCTCACCTTCCCATGATGCACTAGTTCAGGATCCCTTCCTGCAATCTGCATGAGGAGGGAAAAACTTGGGGGTAGAGCAGCAGCAGCCCTCTTCTGGCAACACTTTGTGAGCTGGGGGGGGCGCAGGCCACGCTCCTTTGCCACCGGGCCTGCTCCCCCTCACTCGATTTGCCAGCTCCTCTCTCCCCGTCGGGACCCACACCATGAATGATTCATTGGCCGAGTCAGCGCCTCGCCATATCCAGACGCCGGCAGTCACTTCAGCGCGAAAGTCATTTGATAAATATTTAATTGAACCCATCAATCCGGCAGCCGAGGCAGCAGCACCAGGTGCTAAAAATATTCGCTTTGCCTATAGGACTCTGCCGGGAGGGGCGAGGTGGCACGGGTGGCTCCAGGGGGCAAGGTTGGGGGAGAGAGATGCCGATCTCTCTTGTACAAGATGATGCCAGGTGCCCTCTGGCTTTGCTACCCTGTTTTGGGGACAGAATCCTAGAATTGTAGAATTGGGAGGGACCCCCAAAGGCCATCTAGTCCAACCCACTGCAATGCAGGAATCTCAGGTAAAGCATCCGCGGCAGTTTGGTGTGCTAAAAAAAATCTGTGTTTGATAACTTCAGACACCAGAAGGGTTCTTATCCTGAGTCACAAGAATATCAGAGGAACCCAATGGCCTCTCCGAAAATCTCAAAACCAAGACAGGTTCGTACGAGGGAATATGGTCTTTCAGAAAGCTTGGCTGCAAGTCATTTAAAGGGCATAATCAATGGCCAATCTCAGACCCTGCAAGTGTCGCAGGACTGGGGCCAGTTTTGGTCGCTGTGATCTCACACGATTTCATGCCGAGATCTCGCCCTGATCTCGCTGTGCTTTGATCTAGGCTGTGTTAAAGCTATGGTTTTCCCAGTAGTGATGTATGGAAGTGAGAGCTGGACCATCAAGAAGGCTGATCGCCGAAGAATGGATGCTTTTGAATTCTGGTGCTGGAGGAGACTCTTGAGAGGCCCATGGACTGCAAGAAGATCCAACCTCTCCATTCTGAAGGAAATCAGCCCTGAGTGCTCACTGGAAGGACAGATCCTGAAGCTGAGGCTTCAAGACTTTGGCCACTTCAGGAGAAGAGAAGAGTCCCTGGAAAAGACCCTGATGTTGGGAAATATGGAGGGCACAAGGAGAAGGGGACGACAGAGGACGAGAAGGTGGGACAGTGTTCTGGAAGCTACCAGCATGAGTTTGACCAAACTGCGGGAGGCAGTGGAAGACAGGAGGGCCTGGCCTGCTCTGGTCCAGGGGGTCACGAAGAGGCGGACACGACTAAACGACTAAACAACAACAACAATCAAGGCTGTGATCTCTTGCGGTGCTCCAAAACGTGTCATGGGTATGGGCAGGCCAGCAACAGCCTGATCTGTTCTCTGGGTAAAGCTTGCCCACCTAAGAGTCATCCACTTACGTCTCGCACCAACCGGGCCATTGGTCCACCCAGCTCAATACTGCCTGCTTTTTAGCATCTCCAAAAAGGAATAACAGACTCATAGATCTGGAGACTTGGAAGGGAACCCAAAGGTCAACTAGTCCAGCCCCCCTTGCGATGCAGGAATTGCAGCTAAAGAAGTCTCAAAGCATCAGCTCAGTTGCTTAGAGCCTGGTGTTGATAAGACCAATGTTGCAGGTTCGATCCCCGTATAGGACAGCTGCCTTGCAGGGGGTTGGACTAGGAGTGGCCAACTCCCAAGAGACTGTGATCTACTCACAGAGTTAAAAACTGACAGTGATCTTTTTTTAGGAACGAGGAAGGCCTGCTTTTTAGGGGAGTCAAAGTTATTGAGCTTCTTGGGGAGAACCAGTGATCTACCAGTGATCTACCTTACCTTTCTTGCCGTGATCTGGCCACAGTGATCCATGCAACGGTCACCTCCAGGCTTGATTATTGCAACTCACTCTACGTGGGGCTGCCCTTGAAGCTGACCCAGAAACTGCAGTGGGTGCAGAATGCCGTGGCAAGGTTCCTTACAGGGTTCTTGCCGTGGGATCACATTCATCCAGTGCTTCACCAACTGCACTGGCTTCCGGTGGAATACAGGGTCAGGTTTAAGGTGCTGGTTTTCACCTTTAGAGCCCTAGGACCCACATACCTACGGGACCGCCTCTCCTGGTATGCCCTGCAGAGGACCTTAAGGTCCACAAATGACAACACTTTGGAGGTCCCAAGTTGCAAGGTGGTTAGATTGGTCTCAACTAGGGCCAGGGCCTTTTCAGCACTGGCCCCGACTTGGTGGAACGCTCTGTCACAAGAGACCAGGGCCCTGCAGGACTTGACATCTTTCCACAGGGCCTGCAAGACGGAGCTGTTCCGCCTGGTCTTTAGTTTGGACTCAGTCTGACCCTTCTGTTTCCCTCCCCTTATGGTCTTGATTGATGGGCTACTTTTAAAATGAGGCTGCATTTTAAATTGCATTTTAACCTGTATTTTAAATTGGTTCGTCCCCCCCCCCATTATGTTTTTACTGTGATTTTATTGGTGTTAGCCGCCCTGAGCCCGGCTCTGGCCGGGGAGGGCGGGGTATTAATAAAATTTATTATTATTATTATTATTATTATTATTATTATTATTATTACCACAATTCACGATCTACCTATTGAACGTGCCTCAACTAGATCCTCAAGGTTCTCTTCCTACAATTCTATGGGGCTGGGAGTTGGGCAAAGTATTTGCTTTCCCAGCTCAGTTCTTCTACCGGCCTCTCTTGGGGTTGAGAATCATTGGCCCAGCTCTATGCCCTTCAAAGTTGTGCAGCAGACAGAAATTCAACAGGTTCAGCTCTCTCTCTCTCTACCTCCCTGCTGTAGAGATAAAGAGGGCTTCACCTGTTTGATTTCTGCAAAGGGCAGCAGCCCTGCCAGACAGAAAGGTGGAAACCCTTTTCCCCTAACACAAGCGGAAGATAGCCGGGGAGTTATGAGGGTGGGGCAGTGCAGGGGGGGAGAGCAGGCAGGAATCTGACTGCAGCTGTTCCGCTTGGCAGTTGGGGAGAAGGTCACCCGGCAGATAATTTTTCCGTTTGGGCAGGGAGAGGGGGAGAGAGAGGGGACGTGACACACGCGAACATTGTTCTTGGATCCTTTCAAACCCTCCCCGCTGTGCTTCTCCCATCGAGCCTCGAGCCGATTTTGCTCATCGTTAATTAATGTATCCCTAAACATAGCCATTAAAATAATATCGGAGCAACATGGTCCATTTCTTTTTGTGCATTGCAGACCCAGAGTTTTCTTTCTCTCTGTGTATAAATCATATATGCATATATATACACACACACTCACATACTGGTTAAGAGAACTTTTGTTCTGCAAGCATAGATCCACATTCCTGGCAGCTGCTGGGAATCCTTCCAAGGCCCTTTTTAGCATTCAGGAGAGCGGCTCCTTCCCTTGCACGTGTGAGTTGGTCGGCTCAGCAAATCTAGGAAGAGAGCAGGCCTTGGATCTTTTAAGAGCCAGTGTGGTGTGGGCTGCTCAGAGTGCCGGACTAGGACCTGGGGAGACGAGGGTTCGAATCCCCACTTGGTGAAGCTCGCCAGGCGCGATCTTGGGCCACTCGCAGCCTCGCCTGCCTCACAGGGTCGTCGTGAGCATGAAATGGCAAGGAGGAAAGCTGCTTGTGCTGCCTTGAGCTCCTTGGAGGATGGCAGGCAGGATGCAAATGGCAATAAATCAGCAAAATGAATAGAAGTGCAGAACTGTAGGGTTCGAAGGGATCCCCAAAGGTCATCTAGTCCAACCCCCTGCGGTGCATGAATCGCAACTACAGACCCTGGAAAAAGCTTTCCCACACATGAGACTTGAAGGGTCTAACCCATAAGGGAGGCATTCAAAAGATGGCGGTCAAAGTCGCGCTGGCGGTGGTATCAGGGTCGTCTCAGTGGTGGCCCCCTCTCTGAGGGATGCACAAATTTACACTGTTTTTGCTTTTTAAAAAAATAATTTTGTTACCCCTACTGCTTTTTAATTTGGAATCTTACGTTGTTTCATTATAGCAGTGGTAGTATTTTAAACCTGTTTTTCTAGTAACTGTCCTGAGTATATTTAGTGGAGGTCAGGGTGCAAAATACTCTTCAGACACGTCCAGCAGGTAGATTGTGATCTACCGGTAGATCATTGGACGTCTCTGGTAGATCACTGGCTTCCCTCAAAGAAGCTCAACAACTTTGGCTCCCCTAAAAAAAGCTCATGATTTTAGCCCTGCTTTCCTCCTCCCTAAATAAACCTCATCTTTGACCTGAACCCCAAAAAAGGGGGTAGATCACTGCCTGTTTTTAACTCTGTGAGTAGATCGCAGTCTCTTGGGAGTTGACCACCGCTGCTCTAAATGAATTAGCAGCATCTCACCTCAGCTATGAACTCATCTGGTGGGAGTCAGGCTTCCCAAACTACCTGACCTGATGGATCAATTATCTGTCGCTGCAAGTTTATTAAGGAAAGCCAGCATTGCAGATCTTCCTAGTGTCCCTGTTTTCCAAGGACATACCTGATTTAGAGAAGCCGTCCCAGTTTCTGATTTGATCCTGGAATGTCTCGCTTTTCCTTGTTGTTGTTTAGTTGTTTAGTCGTGTCCGCCTCTTCGTGACCCCCCTGGACCAGAGCACACCAGGCACTCCTGTCTTCCACTGCCTCCCGCAGTTTAGTCAAACTCATGTTTGTAGTTTCAAGAACACTGTCCCACCATCTCGTCCTCGGTCGTCCCCTTCTCCTTGTGCCCTCCATCTTTCCCAGCATCAGGGTCTTTTCCAGGGAGTCTTCTCTTCTCATGAGGTGGCCAAAGTCTTGGAGCCTCAGCTTCAGGATCTGTCCTTCGAGTGAGCACTCAGGGCTGATTTCCTTCAGAATGGATCAGTTTGATCTTCTTGCAGTCCATGGGACTCTCAAGAGTCTCCTCCAGCAACATAATTCAAAAGCATCAATTCTTTGGCGATCAGCCTTCTTCATGGTTCAGCTCTCACTTCCATACATCACTACTGGGAAAACCATAGCTTTAACTATACGGACCTTTTCCTTAAAGGTAAAGGGACCCCTGACCATTAGGTCCAGTCGCGACCGACTCTGGGGTTGCGGTGCTCATCTCGCTTTACTGGCCAAGGGAGCCAGTGTACAGCTTCCAGGTCATGTGGCCAGGATGACTAAGCCGCTTCTGGCGAATCAGAGCAGCGCACGGAAACGCCGTTTACCTTCCCGCCGGAGCGGTACCTATTTATCTTCTTGCACTTTGACGTGCTTTCGAACTGCTAGGTTGGCAGGAGCAGGGACCGAGCAACGGGAGCTCACCCCGTCACGGGGATTCGAATTGCCAACCTTCTGATCGGCAGGTCCTAGGCTCTGTGGTTTAACCCACAGCGCCACCTGCATCCCACAACCTTTTCTTTAGGACACCCCTATTTTCATTTGAGAAATGTTGGAATTATCCGACCCCCGAGCCGTCTGAAGGCAATTCTGTATAGGGAAGGGCTTTTAAAAAAAATGTTTAATGTTTTATTATTATTTTTAATATGTTGGAAGCCGCCCAGAGTGGCTGGGGCAACCCAGTGAGATGTGTGCGGGGTATAAATAATAAAAAATATCATTGTGGAATGGCATGTCCCTATTTCCATCGGAGAAATGTCAGAGGGTATGGGATTGTGCAGCGGCTGCAGCGTCGAACTAAGACCTCGGAAACCAGGGTTCAAATCTGCAAACCCAGCCGTGAACCTCATGGGGTGACCCTGGGCCAGTCGTCCGAGCCTACCTCCCAGGGCGGTTGTGGTTGGGATTAAATGAAGAGGGGAAGAAGTATGGCAGAGCTTAGCCATCATGGCTAGTAACTCTTCTGTCCACACAGCGGCCGGCCGGCTGGATGCATCTTCTGGAAAATCTGCAAGCAACAGCAACCCTTGCCCACACACACTCCCGGCTATTCGGCTTGGAATCAACTTGATTCCTCCCCCTCTTTCCTTTTTCCTTTCTCCTTCTGTGATGGATCTCCTATTTGGGGACTTCCCTGGCTTTTTCTGGCCCACGTAGGACCAGTCTGGATAGTTAGCCTTGGTGAAGACTTGACATTTTCATCCCCCCCAAAAAAGTTTTTGATTTGAGTTTCCATTGAAATGAGGCTGTATTTTAATGTTTTCATGTTGTATTTTAATCTTGTTTTTCAGTTGCATTTCAATCAATTTGTTTTTATATCAGGTGTTAGCCACCCTGAGCCTGGTCTTGGCTGGGGAGGGCGAGGTAGAATTTATTTATTTTTTTGGTATAATTTTTATTAAAGATTTAAACAAAACATATTATCCAAAAGATGTCATCCTTAATTTTCCCATTTCCCCTCAGTTCCAGTCTTTGCTTTCTTTGTGAACACTGTTCTCTGCATGTTACAAAGTTGTATAAATCCTTAAATTGTTTAACTGATTATTGTCAATAAAAAGTTTGTGAGTGTTGATTCAAAGCCTGCCAAGAAGTCCAGTTCACTTTGTTGCCTTTGTGAAGGGTTCCCATTCATCTTTAAAGTCACAGTTATCCTTGTCCCGTAGCTTGTGTGTCAATTATTATTATTATTCACAGCAACTGGGATTCAGAACTGTGCTTCCACCGCCAATATCATGAGGGTGGGCTGCTAGATTCCCCACCCGTCAGGACCTAGCCTTTTCCTCTCCTTAGGAATCAGCCGCACCCAGCCAATGCCGCTGGCGAAAAGAGGCTTCCCACGTACGGCCCATCTGGCCGCATCCAGAGCCCTAGACGGCCGTCCACTCAGCCTCTCTGCTGGGTTCAGTTCAAGCCGAGGTCCCCATTGACGTCAGTGGCATTAGCGGCCGCACTCCGGCGAGAAAATCTTCTTAGCCCCGGGCAGCAGGCAGGGAAACGTGCCACACCTGCTGTGGCAAGAGAGGGACGGGGGCGGGCAGGTATCGTCCCCACGCACCCCAAACTTACTACCACCGTGGGCCCAGGAAGGCTGGAGGGAAGAGGGAAGGGGGAGAGATGTCCAGCAAAGGCTCCGCTGAAACTAAAATTCTCATCATAAATAAGAGATTTCTCTTTCTCTCTCTCTCATATCAGGAGAGAGGGGCTTCCCCGTGCAACTCAGAAAAAGGCAGAATTTACAGTGGCAATTCTCTCATTGGCCTCTCGTCAGGATAATAATAATAATAATAATTTTTATTTATACCCCGCACTTCCTGGTTTAAAAACCAGGCTCAGGGCGAATAACGGCAAATATAAAACATGGATTAAAATGTGACTTAAAAACAGCATAAAATGCAGCATCAATATCAATAAAGTTCAAAAATTCAGGGGTCATTTTTTGGGGGGGAACCCAGTCAATAGACATCAAATGATCACCAGGGCTAACTGGTCATGTTGGTCCTACTAGGGCCAGCAAGGAGACCAGGGAAGAGTTTAAATGTGGGGTCCCAGAAAGGGTTTCTTCATAGAAGAGAAAAGGGAAAAGGGGAATAAAAGATCAGGCTGAATTCAAATTAAAGGCCAGGCAGAATAGCTCTGTCTTACAGGCCCTGCGGAAGGAGATCAAGTCCTGCAGGGCCCTGGTCTCCTGGGACAGAGCATTCCACCAGGTCGGAGCCATCACTGAGAAGGCCCTGGCCCTGATGGAGGATAGTCTGGCTTCCTTAGGGCCTGGGACCTTCAAGCTACTATTATTCATGGACCTTAAGGTCCTCTGCAGGGCAGACCAGGAGAGGCGGTCTTGTAAATACGAGAGCCCTAAGCCACAAAGGGCTTTAAAGGTCAAAACCAGCACCTTAAATCTGACCCTGTACTCCACCAGGAGCCAGTGCAACTGGTAAAGCACTGAGTGAATATGCTCCCGTGGCAGGGACCCCATGAGGAGCACAGCATTCTGCACCCGCTGGAGTTTCTGGGACAGTTTCAAGGGCAGCCCCACATAGAGCGAATTACAGTAGTCAAGCCTGGAGATGCCTGTCGCATGGATCACTGTGGCCAGGTCAGGGCAGGAAAGGTAAGAGACCAACTACTTGATACGGTGAGGATGGGAAAATGTCGCCTTGGCTGTTGCTGCAACCTGCGCCTCCATGGAAAGGGAGGCGTCAAGGATTACACCCAAACTCGGAACGGAAGGCACTGGCACTAATTGAGCACCTGCAAGAGATGGGAGTTGGCCCCCCAACCCCATGTTGTCCTGACCCGTTCCAGTACCTCCGGGTTCAGTACAGTGTGCAACCCGAAATCGCGCAACCCGAAGCGTCTGTAACCCGAGGTATGACTGTATGTTACATGTCACCCCAATCTCCAGGGGGTGAGAGATCCCTGGGGTACCAGGGTTCAGTTGGGTTCAGTTTCCTTGGAATTAAGGTCAGCAGAGAGAAATGGTTTTAACTACCTATATATACAAGCTGAGCCTAGGATGGAGAGGCTCACAGCATTGACAGCCCAACGGATCTTGCTTCTCCATTAGTCACGACTTCAAATCCGGTACAGAGCAAGCAGGTCTCTGTGTCTCCAGCTTCCAGTTCATCTCACATCCACTCTGGCAAATGTCCTGGCAGCTAGGTGAGGGGGTGGAGGAAAGGCCCACCCATTACCCTGGAGAGCCCCAGGACTTAGTTGCAGCTCTTGCAAGCTGGCTCATTCTTTGGAGATGTTGATGAGGACACCGCAGCAACCAGCTAAGGTCGTTGTCTTACAAAGAAACCTGACTGACTCGTTCAGCAATATTTATTAGATGCTAAACTTCCCTGGGTACAGGACCCCCGAGAATTGGAATGGTTACTCAGGGCATCATCCAGACTCACCTCTCCAAACCCACAATGTCACAATAAACCTCCAACAGTCCTTGCAACAGAGGCGTCATCAACACAACAATCAAAAGAGCCAGAAGTTCAAAACATATCAGATGGTAAACATTTGGCAGAAGAAGGAGGCATTAAAAGATGTTAAAATGAGTGCCAGATGAATATTCCCCATGTGGAGAGAATTCCACAGGGAGCCACAACCAAGGAGACTCTTTCAACATCTGGGTTTCAAAAACATTGTGCCACTTCGAGTTCCCTGCTGGAGGAAAAGTTGGGTGTCAGTGCCCTTAATTCCTTTACAGCCACTTTTGTCCAAATAGATGCACCTCATCATTGTTGATTTATTCCTGGAGCAGTTCCTAACACAGCTACAAAGTATAGAATCGCAGAATAGTAGAGTTGAACTGGCAGCTAACAGATTGAGGTTGAATCCTGACAAGACAGAAGTACTGTTTTGGGGGGACAGGGGGTGTGCAGGTGTGGAGGACTCCCTGGTCCTAAGTGGGGCAACTGTGCCCCTGAAGGACCAGGTGCGCAGCCTGGGAGTCATTTTGGACTCACAGCTGTCCATGGAGGCGCAGGTCAATTCTGTGTCCAGGGCAGCTGTTTACCAGCTCCATCTGGTACGCAGGATGAGACCCTATCTGCCTGCGGACTGCCTCGCCAGAGTGGTGCATGGTCTCACTTGGACTACTGCAATGCACTCTATGTGGGGCTATCTTTGAAGGTGACCTGGAAACTACAACTAATCCAGAATGTGGCAGATGGACTGATGACTGGAAGCAGGCCGCCAAGACCACATAACACCGGTCAGAAAGACTTACATTGGCTCCCAGTATGTTTCTGAGTACAATTCAAAGTGTTGCTGCTGACCTTTAAAGCCCTAAATGGCCTCAGTCCAGTATACCTGAAGGAGCGTCTCCACCCCCATCGTTCAGCCTGGACACTGAGGTCCAGCTCCGAGGGCCTTCTGGTGGTTCCCTCATTGCAAGAAGCAAAGCTACAGGGAACCAGGCAGAGGGCCTTCTCGGTGGTGGCACCTGCCCTGTGGAGCGCCCTCCCACCAGATGTCAAAGAGAAGAACAACTACCAGACTTTTAGGAGACACCTGAAGGCAGCCCTGTTTAGGGAAGCTTTTAATGTTTAATAGGTTATTGTATTTTAATATTCTGTTGGAAGCCGCCCAGAATGTCTGGGAAATCCGAGCCAGATAGGCGGGGTATAAATAATATGTTGTTGTTGTTGTTGTTGTTGTTGTTGTTGTTGTTATTATTATTATTTTGAAAGGGACCCCAAGGGTCCTCTAGTCCAACCCCCTGTAATGCATGAACCTCAATGAAAGCATCCATGACAGATTGGCCACCCAACCTTTGCTTAAAAACCTCCAATGACTTTTGATCAAATGAAAGGGTGAGGGGGGAACCACATGGATGCCGGGGGCTGGACTAGATGACCCATGGCGCCCCTCCCAACTCTGCAATTCGGTTCATATCCACACCATCCATTGCCACAAAACCCGTGGCTGCAGAAAGGAATCAGTGGCTACTTTTCAGACTACGCGAGAGGTCCCATCAGCCCCACCCTTGCCGGCTGCCAGCTTCCAAATCCCTTAACAGCCCTGGGGATCATGACAGCTTCTAATCCTCCCCTGTAACTCAGCAAAAGAGGGCAGGATTTGGGGGCCGGCTAAAGCCCCAGGATCCGGCCTCTGAAGGGCGGCAGCAGCTGCCTGCCTGGCGCACCAGCTGGGTTAACAGCACCACATGGATTCCATGTTTGAGCTGCGGCTGGGGCTAAAATTAAGCCAAGCTGTGTGCCACTTGGCCAGGCACTCTGCAGCTGTGAGCGAAGGGCACCCCCTCGCCTCTCTCCTGCCTGCTCCCTGCCCCACAAGGACCTCAAGTCTCAAAAGAGGCACCAAGACTCACCAACAGCTGACAATAGCACTCTCACGCTCTCTGAACTGGCAGCTGCCCTAATGGAAATGAATTATAGGTGGTACATGACACCAGTCAACCTTGCAAAAATTTATCATTTGCCTGATAATAAATGCTGGAAATGTAATGAGACTGCAGGGACATTCTTTCACCTTTGGTGGACATGCCCAAGGATTAAGACATTCTGGGAGATGATCTATAACGAAATGAAAAAGATACTCAAACTTACTTTCCTGAAGAAACCAGAGGCCTTTCTCCTGGGCATGGTCGGCCAATTGGTGCCAAAGAAGGATAGAACTTTTTTTATGTATGCAACAACAGCAGCAAGAATACTCATCGCGAAGTATTGGAAGACACAAGATCTACCCACCCGGGAAGAATGGCAGATGAAGTTAATGGACTATATGGAATTGGCAGAAATGACTGGCAGAATCCGAGAACAGGGAGAAGAGTCAGTGGAAGAAGACTGGAAAAAGTTTAAAGACTATTTACAGAAATATTGTAAAATTAATGAATGTTAGAAAAATGTTGGAATGAAGTTATATGGCTTTAGTAGAAATGTTATAAGGAATTAAGTATAAATAGATTAATAGAGTATTAAAGGAAAAATAAGGTTAGAATGTGTTAAGATAATTATAGGATAGAAAACAAAGGAAGATGGAAAGGAATTGCTGAAACAATTAATAGAAGTGGAATACGAAAAGGGAGGTGTGAGGAGGTCGTGGAAATAAGTGAATGAAAGATAAAATATTGAAACTGTTTGATGTGTTTTAAGCTGTTTTTGTTTTGTTTTGTTTTGTTAGTTTAATGTGTTAGTGTTATGTACTGTTTTTGTATTGTATTGTTTATTTTTTTTGTAGTGTTTAAATTGTTGGAAAAGTAATAAATATTATTTTTTTTTAAATGAACTGGCAGCTGCCCTCTGAGTAGCGGTTGCCAACCATTTGGGCCACTCTCCCCTCCTGTGGCTTCCAGGAAGTGGAATTCAGAAGCATGGATGCCTCTAAGTGTGAAAGCAGAACCATCATGGCTAGTGGAGACAGCTAGCACTCTCCTCTTCCATGAATTTGACTCATCGCCTTGCCACAGAATCAAAGAATCTTAGAGTTGGAAGGGACTCCCAAAGGTCATCTACCTAGCAGTTCGAAAGCACGTCAAAGTGCAACTAGATAAATAGGTCCCGCTCTGGCGGGAAGGTAAACGGCGTTTCCGTGCGCTGCTCTGGTTCGCCAGAAGCGGCTTAGTCATCCTGGCCACATGACCCGGAAGCTCTACGCTGACTCCCTCGGCCAATAAAGCGAGATGAGCACCGCAACCCCAGAGTCGGTCACGACTGGACCTAATGGTCAGTGGTCCCTTTACCTTTACTTTTATTCTGCATTGACCAAACTGCAGGAGGCAGTGGAAGACAGGGGTGCCTGGTGTGCTCTGGTCCATGCGGTTACGAAGAGACAGGCACGACTAAACGACTAAACAACAACAACAATTCCCCATGAAGTTGTTACACTTTGAACCAGTGCTTTTCTTCCAAGGGAAAAAAGGCAACGGTTACTGCATATCCTTGAGTACCCCCAGAATAAGAGCACTGCTAAAAAAAACCAGGCGTCTACACACACAGGAAAATAGGTCTTGGTCCAAGTGCCCTGTTCTGTGACTTTGCAAACTGCAGGACCAGATGAGTCTTGGGTGTTTATGATTAAATGGTCCTGGGTCTCCCCAGGGTGACCAAGATGCTTCAAGAAGCTCCTACAGCATCAAGAGTCCACAAAGAACAAGGTCAGCCAGGGTGACCGCTCACTTGGACGAAGCAAAGGGAGCACAGCTGAATTCCTTGAAGGTTTTTAGAAAGTTATTAAAGCGATGCTTCCCTCTGCATCGTGGAGAAGGGCATGTGTCCATCTGGACATCTTGGCCTGGGGGCTCCTCTCTATCTGAAGTTTTCTGGTGAACATCTGGAGAACCTGCCTGGCTGATTTGTGGAGCCCTTCCTCTCCTCTCGGGCTCTGTCCCAGGGAACAGGATAGCTGGGCAGAAATATTTCACGTTGTCCTTGGGCCGGAGGATGGGTAGCTTGGCTGACTCGGCAGAACAGCTCAAGAACCAGACTGCTGGCTCTCCTCAGGGTCTCATCCTGGCATTGCATACACATATAAGCAGATCGAGGCTGGGTTGCATCTCAACTAGAAGGTCTCAGCCATGCTCTGTATCTTTTTACATAACTTTGATGGAGGCGTTGGGGGAGGGCTCATCAAATTTGCAGATGACACCCAACTGGGACAGGTAGCTAATATTGCAGAAGACAGAATTGGGATTCAAGGTGACCTTAACAGATTGGAGCCCAAACTACCAAAGTGAATTTCAATGGGGACAAATTTAAGTTTCCACACTTAGACACGAAGAACCAGCCGTACAAATATAAGATGGGGAACACCTGGCTTACAAGGGAAAAAACAATGCTGTCCAGGGTTGTAAAGACTGTGGAGAGGATAATCGGGTGCACTCTTCCCACCTTGGATCAAATCTACACTTCCAGGTGCCATAAGAAAGCTGCAGTGATAGCGCAGAACAGTGCGCACCCCAGAAATGATCTCTTTCAGCTTCTGCCTTCTGGAAGAAGGTATAGGGTTATAAAGAATAGGACTAGCCGCCTGAGAAACAGTTTCTAGCCAAATACGATTTTGGTTTTAAACACAGTGTAAGGTAGTCTCTATGGGAGTATATTGTATTTAAAAATGGGCTTTCGGAGTTTTTAGGGGGCTAACCAGGTTGGGATAGCTGGGATAGCAGGCTTGTTGGGTGTTGAATATCTTATGTAGATCTTTTTCAATTCCGTTGTTCTGTATGGGACAATGACAATAAAGATTATCGTATCGTATTGTATCGTACATGTGAGAAGGATCAAGGGGTCCCCATGGACCACAATCTTAACATGAGTCCACAGTGTGGCACAGAAGCAAAAAAAAGAGCACATGCTATTCTAGGCTGCATCAATATGATAAAGGTCTGGAAACCAAGCCTTATGAAGAAGAGGAGTTTGGATTTGATATCCCGCTTTATCACTACCCTAAGGCGTCTCAAAGCAGCTAACAATCTCCTTTCCCTTCCTGCCCCACAACAAACACTCTGTGAGGTGAGTGGGGCTGAGAGACTTCAGAGAAGTGTGACTAGCCCAAGGTCACCCAGCAGCTGCATGTAGAGGAGCGGAGACGGGAACCCGGTTCCCCAGATTACGAGTCCACCGCTCTTAACCACAACACCACACTGGCTCTCTTATGAGGAATGCTGAGGATGTTTAGCCTGGATAAAAGGCGACTGAGAGGAGATGTGATAGCCATCTTCAAAAGGGCTGTCACGTGGAAGATGAAGCAAGCTTGTTTTCTCCTGCTCTGGAGGGCAGGACCCGAACCCGTAGCTTGAAGTTACAAGGAAGGAGATTCCGACTAAACATCAGGAAGAACTTTCTGACAGTAAGAGTTGTTTGACAGACTCTCTCAGAAGGTGGTGGACTCTCCTTCCTTGGACGTTTTTAAGCAGAGGTTGGACGGCCATCTGCCAGGGACGCTTTAGCTGTGATTCCTGCATTGCAGGGGGTTGGACTAGTTGACCTTTGGAGTTCCCTTCCAACCCTACAATTCTATGATTCTATGCCCAGGCTTTGCATGGTTAAGTCTGCCTTGTGTTGCTCAAGATTTTGCTGGCGGGTGGCAGAACTTGTCCTTGTGTTTTTGAAGGAGCGTTTTAGGAATTTTGTTTTGTACACTGTTTGCAACTTGATTGTTGAATTGATTTTATCTGCTTATATTTTGTCTTGCTGCTATGTCACTCTGACATTTTATTATCATGACTTTGTGTAAAACAACTAACAAATCTAAACCGGCATCGCTGCTGGAAGGTTCCAAAATTGCTTAGGCAAATTAAGGAAGCAAGAGGAGAACTCTGTTACCCCACGACTTTGGGACCCATGGGGCAAGGTAACTATGAGCAATTCCATGCAGCAGCAAAAAAACAAAACACCCTTTTTCTCCTGCTTTGGAGGGTAGGGCTCGAACCCATGGCTTCAAGCTACAAGGAAGGAGATTCCGACTAAACATCAGGAAGAACTTTCTGAGGGTGATAACTGTTTGACAGGGAACGGTCTACGATTCTATGACAAAGTTGAAAGAAGGGCTGTGCAAACTGAATCAGCCAAAAAGCAGACAGGATGATAGATTTTCCGTGGAAATCCCCTGCTCAGAACTTACACAGAAATGAAATTAAGCCTGCGGGGTCTACGACATAGGCTTTACTCATGCCCTGTTTTTAGGATTTCTGTCGCGGAGGAGGGAAAGTGAAAGCCCACAAGCCCACACTTCAAAACCACCCAAATTTTCGGCATGGGTAAGTAACGCTGAGTGTACATGTGCTGATTCCTCAATGCTGACATTGCAAAGCTCACGAAGGTATATGCCCTTAAATTAGAAAGTCCACGTGATGGAAACCGACATGGCCAGAAATAGGAGTTCAAAAAAAGGAATGAACTTGCTTTCCTCCACTACAGTAGCATGACAGACTCTCCCTGTTTCTCTGTTGAAAGATATTTTGGGGGCAGAAGAGGGTGCCTATTAACTTATTGCATCACTCTCTGCTTTGCCGGCTTCCGCTGCCTGTGAATCAGGGCCTCCACCAACCAGGCATGCTATGAATTACGATGACTGGTGGGCTGTTGTCAGGAAAGACCCCCGGGCTGTGTCCTTGCACTGAAACAGTTGGAAAAGAATCCCACCAACCGCCAAGGCCGAATTATTTTTCTCATTGTCCCAATTGGTCATGGAGGCCTTGGCTGGTCCTTTCTGGTGAGGAGGAGGAAGAGGAGAAGAAGTGAGTGGGATGTGGAACACAAGAGCAGTCAAGTACAACATTCCTAGAGTGAAGATGTTTACACATGGGGAGGAATGTTTGTCCAGCCAGCAGGTCAACTTCCTGTTTCCTTCTGGGCTGGGACAGACTTCCTCTGCATGTGACTAGAGGTGGGTGTGGCCTCACCTGTGCAGGTAACGACAAAAGCACAGGGCGGGGCAGCCATCTCTCCCTCTCTTTGACTACATGCATCGAAGAAGCAACATCTGATTAGCCAAAGATGCTCTCTTGGCTTCTAGCCAAGAGAGGACAAAGGGACTGTCTCCTTATGAGATAGTTTCCAGGTGTATATTACTTTTGTAACCTAAGTCTGCCTTCTGGGATCCAATTGTGAACAGAATGTGAGTGAGTAAACTCTTTTTATACTTTTATAGAAGATTGTGTCGTGTCTTATCTTTTATGAGGGAATAAGGGGGAAATACCAGAACAGTGGGACGTGGGTGGCGCTGTGGGTTAAACCACAGAACCTAGGACTTGCCGATCAGAAGGTCGGCAGTTTGAATCCCCATGACGGGGTGAGCTCCCGTTGCTTGGTCCCTGCTCCTGCCAACCTAGCAGTTCAAAAGCACATCAAAGTGCAAGTAGATAAATAGGTACCACTCCGGCAGGAAGGTAAACGGCGTCTCCGTGCGCTGCTCTGGTTTGCCAGAAGCGGCTTAGCCATGCTGGCCACATGACCCGGAAGCTGTACACCGGCCAGTAAAGCGAGATGAGCGCACAACCCCAGAGTCGGCCACAACTAGACCTAATGGTCAGGGGTCCCTTTACCTTTACCTTTACCAAAACAGTTATTATAGATGCTTTAGCGAGCCTGAGCAAACGCATCCACTGCAAGTTTAAAAAGGCGGATGTTACTCTGCTAAATTGTGAACATGTTAACACAAGTTGGAAAGGCTATAATCAAATCATATATCCTCTCCTGCATCCTCTGATCTAGAGTATAGCATCTAGATCAAGGGAAGTAATAGTGCCACTGTATTCTGCTCTGGTCAGACCTCCCCTGGAGTACTGTGTCCAGTTCTGGGCACCACAGTTCAAGAAGGACACTGACAAACTGGAACGTGTCCAGAGGAGGGCAACCAAAATGGTCAAAGGCCTGGAAACGATGCCTTATGAGGAACGGCTAAGGGAGCTGGGCATGTTTAGCCTGGAGAAGAGGAGGTTAAGGGGTGATATGATAGCCATGTTCCAACTATAGAAAAGGATGTCACATAGAGGAGGGAGAAAGGTTGTTTTCTGCTGCTCCAGAGAAGCGGACACGGAGCAATGGATCCAAACTACAAGAAAGAAGATTCCACCTAAACATTAGGAAGAACTTCCTGACAGTAAGAGCTGTTTGACAGTGGAATTTGCTGCCAAGGAGTGTGGTGGAGTCTCCTTCTTTGGAGGTCTTTAAGCAGAGGCTTGACAACCATATGTCAGGAGTGCTCTGATGGTGTTTCCTGCTTGGCAGGGGGTTGGACTCGATGGCCCTTGTGGTCTCTTCCAACTCTATGATTCTATGATTCTATGATTCTATGATCCCTGAACATTCCCACAAAGGGGACATTCCATGCCCATCGAACCCCTGAGCTGGACTCCAGCCAGTCTGCCAGGCGGCAGGGGGAGGGTAGCGTTGTGCCCCAGCTCTTTCGGAAGGGAAAGGGTATCAGGAAGTGCTTCTGTCCTCTGGCTCAGATGATGGAACAGCCCGTCCACCTGCCAGCTGTCTGTGCCAACCCGTCACTCCGCCTGAGTCTTAATACCTGCTGTTCTGGGAGCGATCTGGGAGCCCCCGCGGTGATCTCATTCCTGCGTATTTATTTAAGCGAGGCAGCTCCCATAAAAACTTACGACCGGCCAATTAAAAATACCTTCTGAAACAGCAGTGGTAAAAGCAGTCAGCGTAAATGCCCGGGAAGAACAGCTACTGAGACAGCAAGCCGTGGCAACGTCCCACTCTATTCTGCCTTCGTCAGTCCCCGGGTGGAGTCCTGTGTCCTGTTCTAGGCACCCAAATGTAAGAAGGGTATTGAAAAGATGGAACATGTGCAGAAGAGGGTGACTGGGATGGCCAAGTGTCTGGGAACCAAGCCCTGTGAGGAACAGTTGAAGGAGCTGAGAATGTTTAGCTTGAAAAGAGGAGGGTGAGAGATCGCCCACACTTGTCCTAGTGGACACTTCCACCCCTGAATCGCAGCACATTTCAACTGGGTTTTTCTAAGATTGACATTTGCTACAAGTCAGTGGTAAAGTGGTAAAACTCACTCTACATGGGGCTGCCCTTGAGACTCCCAGGCAACTCCCATCTCTTGCGGGGACGCAATTAGTGCCAGCGCCGTCCGTTAAGAGTTTGGGTGTAATCTTCGACACCTCCCTTTCCATGGCGGCACATTTTGCAGCTATAACAAAGGCGGCATTTTTTCATCTCCGCCAAGCTAAGCAGTTGGCTCCTTACCTCTCTCGCCCTGACCTAGCCACTGTGATCCAGGCGATGGTCACCTCCAGGCTTGACTATTGTAACTTGCTCTACGTGGGGCTGCCCTTGAGACTGACCCAGAAACTCCAGCGGGTGCAGAATGCCGTGGCAAGACTCCTTACAGGGTCCTTGCCGCGGGATCACATTCACCCGGTGCTATACCAGCTGCACTGGCTCCCGGTAGAGTACAGGATCGGGTTTAAGGTGCTGGTTTTAACCTTTAAAGCCCTATGTGGCCTGGGACCCTCGTACCTACGGCACCACCTCTCCTGGTATGTCCCACAGAGGACCTTACGGTCTTCAAATAAAAACATCTTGGAGGTCCTGGGCCACAGGGAGGTTAGGCTGGCCTCAACCAGAGCCAGGGCTTTTTCGGCTGTGGCCCCGATCTGGCGCAACGCTCTGTCACAAGAGACCAGGGCCCCGAGGGACTTGACATGTTTCCACAGGGCCTGCAAGACAGAGCTGTTCTTCCAGGCCTTTGGCCAAGGCACAGTCTGACCCCCTCCTTCTGTAATCCTCATAGAACTCTAGCCCAATGGTTGCCATTAATTTGACTCTGAATTGATTTTACTATGTATTTCAATTAATTGACTGTGATTTTATGTAAACTGTGCTATTTTTACTGTTGTCAGCCGCTCTGAGCCCGGCTTCGGCTGGGGAGGGCAGGATATAAATAAAATGACACAAGACTTACCCACACTGGAGGAATGGCAGATGAAATTGATGGACTATATGGAATTGGCGGAAATGACTGGCAGAATCCGTGACCAGGGAGAAGAGTCGGTGGAAGAAGATTGGAAGAAATTTAAAGACTATTTACAGAAATATTGCAAAATTAATGAATGTTAGAATGATGTTGGATTGAAGTTAAGTGGTTTCTAGCTGTACAGGTACAAAAGAATATGGAAAAATTGGTTTCTAATATGTAAAAATTTAATGTTATAATATATCAAGATTAAAGATTAGGATTAAAAAGGAGGGAAAGGAATTGTTGGATTAACAAATTGAATTGGAATACAAAAGAGAGAGGTATGAGGAGGTCCGGGAAACAAGTAAATGTAAAAGAAGTGATGAAAAGATGGAATTGTTTTTAACTGTTTTTTCTTTTTTCTACTTTGTATTTTTCCTTTTTATTGTTAATCTTTTTATTAATGTGATTTTTCTTCTTTTGAAACTTTAATAAATATTATTTAAATATATATATATATAAAAAAATAAAATGTTATTATTATTATTAAAGCATGGGTTTTCCTGGGGAAAGCGATGGGACAAGCAAAAAACAAACAAAACCCCTCTCACACCGAGGAGAACCTAAGAAGAACCTTCTGGACCAGGCCAAAGGCACCTCTAGTCCAGCATCCTATTGTCACAGTGCTCAACCAGATGCCCAATATGGGAACCGTGCAATCAGGATTCGAACACAAGGCCCCTCTTCCCTCCTGTGGTTTCCAGGAACTGGGATCCAGAAGCGTCGCTGCCTCCAACTTTCTCCTTGCACCTTTCCATCCCACCCCAAAGCTCACCATCAATGCTCCATACGAGCTGAATGTTAGAAGGTACAGGACCGATAAAAGAATGTTCTTTTTCACTTGTGGAACTCCCTGCCACAAGAGGCAGGGATGGCCACTAACGTGGATGGCTTTAAATGAGGATTAGACAAATTCATAGAGGAGGAGAGGGCTCTTGATGGCTACTAGCAAGGACGTCTCTCTGCTCCGGCTCCACTTCCGCTTCTGAAATTCCAGAAAGGGAGAGTGCCTTGCGTTCGAATCCTGTTTGTGGGTTTGACATTGGGGCATCTAGTTGGCCACTGTGAGAACAGGATGCTGGACTAAGATGGACCAGGGGCCTGATCCAGCCTCAGGGCTGTTCTTATGTCCTTACGTTAAGTGAAAGTTTCAAAGGAAGGGGCTCTCAGTGGGACATCGTTTCCCCTCTCAGGCAAGAACAGAGAAAAGCTTGCAGAACAGATGCTGGCACAGAATGGCAGAAATGCAACGTTGGCAATGGAGATCGTAACTGGCAAGGCAGCGGCAGACTGCGGAGAAGCCCCTGCCAGCTTGGGCCGAAAGCAGGTTGGAGGCTGGCAAAGAGGGAGAGGTTCTCAGGCTGGCACAGGAGAAATGCCAGCTGCCTGCGCCGTACAATGACACGGCTGCCTCGTTGCTCCACGCAGAGTGTTTGTCCTCTCTGCTAAAAGGAGGAAAAACATTTCCCTAAAAATGCTGTTGGTCCAAGCGTTGAAATTCTGCAAAGGAGGCGAATTTCATGACCTTTATAAATTGCAGTGGTGAACCACATTGCATTGCATAGAATCATAAAGAGCTGGAAGGGACCCCATGGGTCATCTATCCCAACCCTCTGAAATACAGGAGTCACCATCCTTATTTCACATAACGTCTTCTAAACATGCCCTTGATAGCTTTGAGATCCTCTGCTGAGCAGCGGAGACCCACACCCAGGAACCCCACATAGAGGGAAAGGGTTGTTGTTGTTTTGTTGTTGTTTTGTTGTGTTGTTTTGTTGTTTTTGTTTTAATTGTTTATGGAAAGAAGCAGAAATACCCACTAAAAAAGAATGGATAATTAAGGTAATGGATTTTGCAAAATTGGCAGCTAAAATAAGAGAACCTAATGACAAAGGTTTTGTTGAAAAATGGAATATTTAAAGAAATGCTATATGATGAACACACTACCAGGATTTGAACTACAAGCAACAGAAGGGATTAACGATTATACTGGTTTTGTTAAGGTTTAAGACATAGAAGACAGAGTGCAGCAGAGGGAAAGAAACAGAAACACCAAGGGAAAGGATCATAGAATCATAGAATCATAGAGTTGGAAGAGACCACAAGGGCCATCGAGTCCAACCCCCTGCCAAGCAGGAAACACCATCAGAGCACTCCTGACATATGGTTGTCAAGCCTCTGCTTAAAGACCTCCAAAGAAGGAGACTCCACCACACTCCTTGGCAGCAAATTCCACTGTCAAACAGCTCTTACTGTCAGGAAGTTCTTCCTAATGTTTAGGTGGAATCTTCTTTCTTGTAGTTTGGATCCATTGCTCCGTGTCCGCTTCTCTGGAGCAGCAGAAAACAACCTTTCTCCCTCCTCTATGTGACATCCTTTTCTATATTGGAACATGGCTATCATATCACCCCTTAACCTCCTCTTCTCCAGGCTAAACATGCCCAGCTCCCTTAGCCGTTCCTCATAAGGCATCGTTTCCAGGCCTTTGACCATTTTGGTTGCCCTCCTCTGGACACGTTCCAGTTTGTCAGTGTCCTTCTTGAACTGTGGTGCCCAGAACTGGACACAGTACTCCAGGTGAGGTCTGACCAGAGCAGAATACAGTGGCACTATTACTTCCCTTGATCTAGATGCTATACTCCTATTGATGCAGCCCAGAAAAGGAGGTGGTAAGCAAAAAAAAAAGTATCGAAATGTATGTGTGAAGTTTTGGGAAATTAAAAAAATATAATATATATAATATAAATTTAATAAATAAAAATAAAATAAATAGGAAGCTTCCATATTCAGAGTCACTGGACCCTCAAGCATCATATTGTCTAGAGGCTCCAGAACATGATTACCAACCCCAAAGGAGAGAAAAGGGATCATGCAATGCGCTCTATGTGGGGCTACCTTTGAAGGTGACCCGGAAACTACAACTAATCCAGAATGCGGCAGCTAGACTGGTGACTGGGAGCGGCCGCCGAGACCACATAACACCGGTCTTGAAAGACCTACATTGGCTCCCAGTACGTTTCCGAGCACAATTCAAAGTGTTCGTGCTGACCTTTAAAGCCCTAAATGGCCTCAGTCCAGTATATCTGAAGGAGCGTCTCCACCCCAGACACCGGGGTCCAGCTCCGAGGGCCTTCTGGCAGCTCCCTCATTGCGAGAAGTGAGGTTACAGGGAACCAGGCAGAGGGCCTTCTCGGTGGTGGTGCCCGCCCTGTGGAACGCCCTCCCATCAGATGTCAAGGAAATAAACAACTACCAGACTTTTAGAAGACATCTGAAGGCAGCCCTGTTTAGGGAAGTTTGTAATGTTAAAAACAACAACAACAACAATTTACTATTTATACCCCGCCCATCTGGCTGGGTTTCCCCAGCCACTCTGGGCCGTTTCCAACAAAATATTAAAAATACAATAAAACATCAGACATTAAAAACTTCCTTAAACAGGGCTGTCCTCAGGTGTCCCCTAAAAGTCCGATAGCTGTTTACTTCCTTGACATCTGATGGGATGGCAGTCCACAGGGCTGGCGCCACCACCAAGAAGGCCCTCTGCCTGGTTTTATCATGTTTTTAATATTCTGTTGGGAGCTGCCCAGAGTGGCTGGGGAAACCCAGCTAGATGGGCAGTGTATAAATAAATCATCATCATCATCATACTGACTACGATACGAAAACTTCAAAACTCTCCAGAAAGTGATCGCAAGACCATGAGGTCTAGAAACATGCCTAGGATGCCAGATCTCTGACAGCACACCCTGAACAGAAACTACTGTCATTCAATCCGGATTCAGTGGGGGAAGCACACCTGTGATCAATGTGCTTCGTTGGCAGGCTGCATTGCAATGCCGGGTGGCCGGCCGTGGTCCTCAAAGGAGCCGGCACAGAGGCGTTGTTCGAAGCTCATCTTCAAATGGAGATTTCCTTGAGGGTTGGAGAATTAGATCAGGAAATGGTTGGGGAGATAAGCACAGCCTCATGAACGGAGCCAAGGGTGATTCTGAGCCGCCGGCAGAGCCGAGCCGCCGAGTCAAGGCCGGAGCAGGGATTCCGGAGATAGCGTACATTCTGTGCGGTCGGGAGGAGGGCGGCGTTCCATGCGCCGCAGTGTCCTGGGTGCTTTCAGAGCCGCCGTGGCCTGGGAGCATCACAGAGCAAATAAACCAGAGGGCGAGGAGGCCTTTCCCCTAATTCTCCAACCACTCTGCAGTCCGAGAATCACACTCTGCAGACAAGGGCAGTTAAGGCATCTGCACACCAGTTGCTTGAAAACAGGAGAGAGCACTCTTGCGCACAAATGCTGCTTGCAGGTTTCCCACAGGGCTGGATTTAGGCTGGATGAGGCCCTAAGCCACTGAAGATAATGGGGCCCTTTATATGTCCACCTGTCCTTTGCCAAAACAAATTGTCACTGTTTTTTGTGCTGAATATATGCTATATGGTCATTTATGGACCTAATAGGTCTCTAAAGCCATTTGCAGGGACGCGGGTGGCGCTGTGGGTTAAACCACAGAGCCTAGGACTTGCTGATCAGGTTGGTGGTTCTGGGTGAGCTCCCGTTTCCCGGTCCCTGCTCCTGCCAACCTAGCGGTTTGAAAGCACGTCAAAGTGCAAGTGGATAAATAGGTACCGCTCTGGCGGGAAGGTAAACGGCGTTTCCGTGCGCTGCTCTGGTTTGCCAGAAGTGGCTTAGTCATGCTGGCCACATGACCCGGAAGCTGTACGCCGGCTCCCTTGGCCAATAAAGCAAGATGATTCTGAGCCGCCAGCAGAGCTTAGTTGGTCTCTAAGGTGCTACTGGAAGGAATTTTTTTATTTTGTTTCAACTACAGCAGACCAACACGATTACCTACCTGTAACTAGAACTTACGTTCTTAGGTTAGCCCCGCTCTCACCACTAAATAACTCTGAGAAGCAACAGCACCCCAACTGCTGTTCAGACTCAAACTGCCTCCGATGGTGCAGCTATCATGGCCAGCAGACATTGGTAGCCTTTCCCCCCATGAATCTGTCTGAACAGTATTTAAAGCCATCCAAGTTGGCGGCCATTACCGCATCTTGTGGCAGTCAGTTCCACAGTCTAACTATGTGCCATGTGAAGAAGGACTTCCTTTCGTCATTTTGAATCTCCTTCTATTCACAGCTTCATTGAGTGACCTCCCCTCTAGTATTTTGAGAAATGGAGAAAACCTTCTCTGTGCCACACTTTCTCCATGCAGAATATTACCTCACTATAATCGTGGAAGTGGGGCCTGTTTGTCACTCCCATGTAAGCCTGTCCTTCACAACCGACACTGACATTCCCAGGTGGAGAATGTATTCTATTCAGTTCATAGTCACAAAACAAGAACCAAAGCAGTCCTGTCCTCTGAAATTTGCATTTCTCTGAATTTTCTGGTGTGATTCTGCAGCTGACCAATGCCTACAGAATTGCATTGATGAGGGGAAAGTGTCCATACAGGCGTATATTCAGAAATGTATTCTATTAGCAGAAATGCCTTTGTGTATATCAGTCAAAATTCCCTTCGAAAAGGTGCAGAAGAAATTCAGACTAAAATGCTTTTTCACAAGGACTTAAAAAAAAAAAAAGGAATTCATAAAGTAACGTGAACTGAATTTAAGACGGAAAAAAATGAGACACTGAGATTAACTTTGGGAAATTGCACTTCTCTGAATTTGGCCGTGCAGTTCCCCAGCTAAAATTCATTATGCTAGCAGAAAGGGCTTTGCCAAAAAAAAAAAAAAAAGTGTATTCTCAGGTTAGACTGCCTTTAAGATGTGCATATTTCATTGTTAACTGACTTCCTCGGATCCCTCCTATCTGAATTTCATTGTATCATCTTATAACAGCTCTCCAATATCATTTTTCTACTAAAATTAATTCCGTCAATTAACTATCATCTTTTCTTTTAATAACATACTAAATCCAAAAAGAAAGATAAATTGGGTTTTACAAGAAATATGTGTTTAAATTTCCCTCCCTTGTTTTAGTAATGTAATGTGTTTTCTTTTGTGTGTTTGTTGTAACTGTGGAAAAGTTAATAAAAAAAATTGGGGGGAAAATGTGCATATTAGGAGAAATTCTCAGTAAGGTGCTGAAGAATTTTCAAGAGGACTTCTAAAAAGAAGAAGAAGAAGAATTCGTAAACTCATATGGAGAACTGAACTTTAGAGCGAAAAAAATGAGAAACTGAGATCAACCGAAACTGACAGATTCTCCCAGCCCTCATGGCCCTTTTGTCCTTGTGGACCATGAATCAGCCCCTGGATGGCATCACCTCAGGCTCTCCGTTGTAAAAACTAAGCTCTGGACTTCACTCTCCAGCCTCCCCTCCCTCTGCGGCTGCCTTGTTGCTTGACCTTTCCCTCCCCTCCTCCCTTCCATCCCCATCCTAATTCCACCTAATCTCTCTCTCTTCACATTTGGTTCCAAATCCAGCCGCCCTCAGCTTCCCTGGATTAACCAACTTGAACAATTTGCATGCAAAGCTTGGGGAGCACCGGCCAGAGGGACTCAAAGCAGCCCCAAGCGAAGAAAGATGCTTTTGCACCCGGCTCCCCATTGAGCTCAGTCTTTCCAGCACTGGCTGGCAGAGGCTCTCCGAAGGTTTCCCCCATTCTGCTTACTCCCCAGCCGTACCTGGATGTGCCCCGGACCAGATCTGCACATTGAATGAACTGCCACCTTTCCTGTCACATCCACATGGGAATTCACGCAACCCATTCCTACCTTTCCAATCGCTGGCAAGTACAGTCATACCTCAGGTTAATAATAATAATAATAATAATATAATAATAATAATAATAATAATAATAATAATAATAATAATAATAATAATAATTTATTTATATCCTGCCCTCCCCAGCCAAAGCCGGGCTCAGGGCAGCTAACAACAATAAAATAATACAACATTCTAAAATCATTTCATTATAAAATTAATTCAAACCAAATTGATGGCAACCATTGGGCTAGAGTTATGTGAAGATTGCCAAAGAAGGGAGTCAGGCTGTGCCCTGGCCAAAGGCCTGGTGGAACAGCTCTGTCTTGCAGGCCTTGTGGAAAGATGTCAAGTCCCGCAGGGCCCTAGTCTCTTGTGACAGAGCGTTCCACCAGATCGGGGCCACAGCCGAAAAAGCCCTGGCTCTGGTTGAGGCCAGCCTGACCTCCCTGTGGCCTGGGACCTCCAATATGTTTTTGTTTGAAGACCGTAAGGTCCTCCGTGGGGCATACCAGGAGAGGCGGTCCCATGGGTACGAGGGTCCTAGGCCATATAGGGCTTTAAAGGTTAAAACCAGCACCTTAAACCTGATCCTGTACTCCACCGGGAGCCAGTGCAGCTGGTATAGCACAGGGTGAGTGTGATCTCGCAGCAAGGACCCCGTTACAGCCACTTCAGGTTGTGTTTTTCGGGTTACGGACCGCCGAAACCCGGAAGTACCGGAATGGGTTACTTCCAGGTTTCCGAATCACGCATGCGCAGAAGCACTAAATTGCACTTTGCACATGCACGCCGAATCACAACCCGTGTGTGCACAGACATGGGTTGCGAACGCTGCAGGTTGCGAACGTGCATCCCACACGGATCACATTCGCGCCCCAAGCATCCACTGTAGAAGGCTTGTTATGGGGTAGTCCCAGCGAGACAAGGTGGCTGATGGGAAACTCTCCATGGGGTCACCTTCATCATGCTGCCTGTCCTAAGAGATGGGTGGATGATGATGATGATGATGATGATGATTACTACCTCGCCCATCGGGCTGGGTTTCCTCAGCCACTCTGGGTGGCTCCCAACAGAATATTAAAAACACGATAAAACATCAAACATCAAATGGAAGTGAGAGCTGGACCATAAAGAAGGCTGATCGCCGAAGAATTGATGCTTTTGAATTATGGTGCTGGAGGAGACTCTTGAGAGTCCTATGGACTGCAAGAAGATCAAACCTCTCCATTCTGAAGGAAATCAGACCCAAGTGCTCACTGGAAGGACAGATCCTGAAGCTGAGGCTCCAATACTTTGGCCACCTCATGCGAAGAGAAGACTCCCTGGAAAAGACCCTGATGTTGGGAAAGATGGAGGGCACAAGGAGAAGGGGACGACAGAGGAGGAGATGGTGGGACAGTGTTCTCGAAGCTACCAACATGAGTTGGATCAAACTGTGGGAGGCAGTGGAAGACAGGAGTGTCTGGCGTGCTCTGGTCCATGGGATCACGAAGAGTTGGACACAACTAAGCGACTAAACAACAAAACATGAAACATTAAAAACTTCCCTAAACAGGGCTGCCTTCAGGTGTCTTCTAAAAGTCAGGTAGTTCTTTATTCCCTTGACATCTGTTGGGAGGGCGTTCCACAGGGCAGGCACCACCACCGAGAAGGCCCTCTGCTTGGTTCCCTGTAACCTCACTTCTCACAGGGAGGGAACCGCCAGAAGACCCTCAGAGCTGCACCTCAGTGTCCAGGCTGAAGGATTTATACCCCGCCCATCTGGCTGGTTTTCCTCAGCTGCTCTGGCCGGCTTCCAACAAAAGAGCAAAAATACATTAAATATTAAATAGAGTGCCTCTGGACCTGGAGGCTCCATAAGAAGAACGTGCTGGATCAGGCCAGTGGCCCACCTAGTCTGGCCTCCTGTTCTCACAGTGGCCAACCAAATGCCCATTATGGGAAACCCACAAGCAGAATTCAAGTACAAGAATGCTCTCTCCTCCAGAAACTGGTCTAAACTAAAATTGAAAAGCCCGAAACACGGTACATTTTTTTCTTAGGTGATTTCGCTTCTGCTGCCTTGATCATTCTGGTTGTCCTTCTCTGCACTGGGATATTGCAGATGACGATTAAGATTTAGATCCCAACCGTCTATAAAATAAACGCGAGGGAATTTACAATCAGGATAAATATACACACACTTGAATTAAACTCAAGACGATATCAAGTAACTCCCGTAAACAATCTAAAAACTAAAAAGGTCTAAAAGGCAACATGATGAAGGAATGGAGCCAAATTTTGCAGAAGAGTTTGCAAGCTGTATCTCTCAAATATCACATCGTTCCGCTGATACGAGAGGCATCCTCTTGAGTTATTAGAGCAATTGGTTTGGAAGTGGGAGCTGGTTTCAAACTTAATCTGTTTGTTATATCTCCACTCCAGCCTTCCACCCTGAGCACAGTTTTTCACCTCCCCCTTTCACCCGCCACAACAACTCTGTGAGGTAGGCAAGGCAGAGAGACAGTGGATGGTTCAAGGTCAGCCAGCGAGCTTCACAGCTGAGTGGGAATTTGAACCCTGGTCTCTCCCACGTCTTACTCCAACATGCTCTCTAACCATTACATCAAACTGGCACTTAATAAAACTTCACTCCTTTTTCTACTATTATTTTCTCATGGATTTCTATGAGATTTGACCATTGATATCACACACAAGAAGGAAGGAAGGAAGGAAGGAAGGAAGGAAGGAAGCCATGGAAGAAGACAGAAAGTGTCCATCCAGTAGACAGACAGTAGGATTAGAAGCTCAAAGTCCTGGATTCAAATCCTGTCACAGCAACAGACTACTTAAATTTGCTGCCAATGTGCTTCCTGTGACCTTTATGTGCTGTTTCATGTGTACATGTGTTCGAATTAATTCTTCTAATCATATAGTATATTTATATTTATGTATTGAAAAGTGATGCAAGCTGCTTGGAGAATTTTGCGTAACATGCAAACATAAATACATTATGGTTCAAGTTTCTTGTATTAATTCACAAAGCCCTGGGACAGCTTAGGTCCAGGGTACTTCAGGGACCACCTGAATTCTCCTATCCCCACTCGGTCATTGAGGTCATCTGCAAGAGCATCATTGGTCATACCCCAAGGTGCTGGGGCTCATTTGACAACAAGTAGCTAAGCCTTGGGTGTCATTGGCCCTGTCCTCTGGAACTCTCTGCCACTGGAAATTCACCAGGCGCCTTCTGCATCGACTTTTAAAAGCCTGCTGAAAACGTTTGTATTCTGCCAGGCCTCTGACTGCAATTAAGAACACATTGGTCCACAACTGTTGTTTGAGGTCTATTTTTAACTTTTATATGGATGCCATTGCGTGGTTTTTGTGTCTTCATTTCTTTAAACTGCTTCAGTTTATTTATTTTTATGATGCAGCAGTATACAACTATTCTTATAAATAAAGAAAAGCAACTATCAAGACTAAATGATAATAATCAAGGTTGAACAAGACACTGCTATAATTCCAGCACAACCTTGCAGTGGGGGGAAACTTGACCTCTTGTTCACAGAATCACAGAATTGGAGGGTTGGAGGGGATCCCAAAGGTCATCTAGTCCCGTCCCGTGCAGTTCAGGAATCACAGCTAAAGCATCTCTAACAGATGGCCACCCGACCTTGGTTTGAAAACCTCCAACAAAGAGAGTCGACCACCTTCCACTGGTACTGGCACACTTGCCATCACTAAAGCCACTGGGATCTTAGCGAAGGTTGCAATTTTCCCACAGCCATTGTGCGCCAAAAACTTCAATAGGAATTGAGTCTTGTGCTGAGTTTTCCAACCGATCCAATCCCTTGTAACCTCTGGAATTGGCCTCTGCTTTCCATGGAGCTGCATTTGGCAAGTAGTGCAAATAATAATAATAATAATAATAATAATAATAATAATAATAATAATTTATTTATACCCCCGCCCATCTGGCTGGGTTTCCCCAGCCACTCTGGACGGCTCCCAACAGTATATTAAAAACACAATAAAACATTAAACATCAAACATTAAAAACTTCCCCAGCCATCTCAAGGGATCCTGCGCAGCCTCTTTTGCAACAAGTGTCCTGGTTCTTTCTTGCCAGGGCCAGGAACCTACAAAAGTCAAAGAGGCCTTTTCCCTAAAGGAGTCCAGCTGCTGTTTACATTCTGTAGCAAGCAACAGGGCCAGTCCCCCCCCAAGTGCCCTGGAATGTGAGAAGGCCACTGTCAGAGGGTTTAGGGCATGGGTAGGCAACCTAAGGCCTGGGGGCCGGATCCGGCCCAATCGCCTTCTCAATCCGGCCCGCAGACGGTCTGGGAATCAGGGTGTTTTTACATGAGTAGAATGTGCCCTTTTATTTAAAATGCATCTCTGGGGTATTTGTGGGGCATAGGAATTCGTTCATTTCCCCCCAAAAAAGCAATATAGTCCAGCCCCCCACAAGGTCTGAGGGACAGTGGACTGGCCCCCTGCTGAAAAAGGTTGCTGACCCTTGGTTTAGGGACTCTTTCTGTTTTTGTGACTTAGAGTTAAAGAACTGTGGAGTTGGAAGGCACCTCCGAAGGGCATCTAGTCCAACCCCCTGAGATGCAGGAATCTCAGCTAAAGTATCCATGATAGAGGGCCATCTGCTTAGAAACCTCCAAGGAAGGAGAGTCCATCACCTTCTGAAAAGTCTGTTCCCCTGTCGAACAGCTCTGACCATCAGAAAGTTCTTCCTGACTTAGTTGGAATCTCCTTTCTTGTAGTTCGAAGCCACTCTGGAGAGGCAGAAAACAAGCTTGCTCCATCTTCAGATATTCAGCTAACATGTTTGTGGAGTGCTGTCCCCAGGGAAGCTCAAATGGTCCTTTCATTATATATATTTAGGTGCCAGGCAAAACAACCCTCTTCTCCCAGGCTTTTAACAATCTATGTCCTTTGGAACTGGGGTTTATTGCTTTTGTTTGTTATTATGCTATATATATTTTTCTGTTGTTATATTATAAACTGCCCTGTGATCTTTGGCTGAAGGTTGGTATAGAAATTTAATAAAGAATAAATATTTCGGAGAAGATAAAAAGCTATCCTTTTCTGGGACACCTGCACTGCTTCTCTTGATTCAATTGCATTTATTTCTTTGTTTTATTAATACTCTTTTTAGGCATAAGTATTGCCAACCGGCAACAGCAGTCAGTGTCCACTCTCAAAAGGGTACTCAGAACACGAACGAGAAGGAAAAGCAGTAAAAAGATTTTTTTTAAAAAAAGTGAAATAATTCAGCACAGAGGGAAAGCACTAAAAAAAAAAAATCGAAACCAGGAAGAGCGCCATATTTCAAGGAGACTCTGCAGGGAAGCGCTTTTAAGAGCTCGGGATTTGAGAAACAATTTGGAAGCGTTGCAAGAGGCTTCAAGGCTGTCTGGCCTCGGGGGGTCTTTGGCCAGAATTCCAGAGCAGCGGCATAAATCAGGAATTAATCTGATTGCAAGCAAGAGTTAGGAGCTTAAACTGATCTCTTCCTCTGCGCGTCAAACTGCGCCCAATTGCATTCGTTTGTCCTTAAAAACGCTCTATTTGTAGCTGGCTTAATACGTCGTAAACAGAGGCACATAATTTCTCCTTTTTAAAAGCGTCAAAGGAAAGCCTTCTGTCCCCATTAAGAAGAGAAATGTCGGAAGGGTCAAACCGAATGCCTGCCCGGTTAACTCAACAGGCAACATGATTCTATGCTCACTCCAAAGTTCAATGTGACTTACTCCTAAGTAAAAGTGCACAGAACTGAAGATGAACTACATCATGCACAGCTACAGATTTAGACTTTGCAATACAGCTGACCTGTCTCACTTTATTGTACGGAGGCAAGAGAAAATATTGAGGTGCAGTTTGGAAATTAATACATTTCTGCTTACAGAAGGGTCCTTTTCTCATTTTACATAGAACATCTAATATTGCGCTAATGAACTTTGGGATAATCCAGGGGTTTCTTGCCAATCCACCTCAGATCACATGACTTAGCCTATGAGGGTGGGGGCACTTTATGAGGAAACAGCAAGTAAACTTCAAGGATGCTAGAGCTTTGGGGCCAAAAAGGCCTGGGATTTACGGTAATTTCTCCGCCTTCTGACACGGGTTCCCTTCTGCCCACCTCAACTCTCCATCTGTAAAATGGGAACAAGCCCTGGAACGCCAAGCACGCAAAACGGGTAAGGGGAAAAACATTGCTACGCATTTGGATTATTATTGAAAGCTTGGCAGGTCAGGATCCCACGATTATGGCGAAGTGAGTCCCACTGGGCTCTATGGCGTTTACCCCTTCTTTAGTGTGCCCACAACTGCAGACTGAACTGAAAGATGCTCTTAAAGATCTGAGCCTCTTGCCTCGCGCAGAGGATCTTCCGAAGCTTAGTGGAAAGGAGGGTGGCAAAGAGGATCCCCAGCTATAGGACTTCTCTGGGCAAGGAAACCCCCCTTCTGTTTGCAACGCTGCCCACTCGCAGGAATCCTGCGCATTGCAGACACGGCGAGACCTCCCCCCCCCCCCCACGCCTTGGCTTCCTCTGTGTTTTGATTCACATGTTTGGAAACTGGCAAAATGACAGGCTGGGTGTTCCCCATAAACAACCCACGAGCCCTGAATCCACGAGCTCGCCTCCTCCTTCTGGGAACAGCGGAGGAGCAAAAGAGATCCTTTTTTGTTTTACTCGAGAGAAGCAGGAAGAAAAACAAGCTTCCTGAACCTCAGTCGCTTCCTGCATAGTAGGGTATGTGGGGTGCAACCTTCCTCTTGCTAAGCCCACGCACCCACCCCCAAAAACACCCCACTTGAGGGCAGGTAGATAAAGTCAGCTCACGCCTTTTACGACAGATTAATAAATCTCCTGCATCACACGCAGCGTCGTCTCCCTCTCCCTACAGGGATTAGGAAGCGGTCACGCACAGATGGCAAGGGGGAGGGGTCCGAAAAGTGCTTCCTAACTCTTGCAGGCCGCGATCCGGCGCGCCTACTCGAGAGTAGACCCCGCGGAATGCAGCTGGGCTCGCTTCTGCGGGACCACGCGTGGGATTGCACAGTGAATGCATCTGGTAAGAACCTCGGCCGCTGCCTTATGACAGTCAGAGAGACCACTGGTTCATCCAACACAATATTGTCGACACTGGCTGGCAGCAGCTGCCCAGGGTGTCAGCCAGGGATCTCTCCCGCTTCTGCCTGGAGAGCTACTGCCTTCCTCATTCCGTGCAAAAGACATTTTTATGGCCCAGCCTATGCATTTTTACTCAGAAGTAAGCCTGATAACTCTTCCTAGTACATTTATATACTCCTATCCGCAGCCCACTAACGCACCCTACTGCATGTTTACTCGGAAGTAACTTCCACTGTGCCCAACAACATTTACACTTTGGTAAGCATGCTTCGGAAGACAGTGGGGTCAATAATGCGAGAAATTCGTCCTAGCGCTGCCTCTGAGTTCACTGGGAACTTGGAGCCTGCCCCTGTTCCGCTCGCTTAGCACCCTAAAAAGCCCCCCATCCCATTATCGACAGCCGCCGCCCTCCCCACCCCCCGCAACTCAGCAAAAGATCATTCGGCCACAGCTTCTACCCAGACACACCAACGACCCTCCACGAGAAATTCCGGAGATCACAGTCGCGCCTCCAAACCCAACCAGTAATCTGGTTTGGTGGTCTTAAATGGGGCGGGGGGAGAGACAAGAGAGGAGGGGTCTGCTTTCCAGGGAAGACCCTTTGTCTTCATTGTTCCTCGCGCTTTAGCATGCATTTCACGCTCCCTGCCTCCAGACCTCTCCGCGCCCCTCGCCACTTTTTCCACAGAAGCCTACTGAGGTGGGGGGGTGTCATTATAAAAACAACTAGTCCCCCACTTTTCCAGAAACAGGTTTGCTTTAGGTCTGGGAGGCTGTTGCTGTTTTTTAAGGGAGATTTTTCTTCCGGGCGCCGCTGAGAACGTGCCATCTCCTGCGCACACCCCACCCGAAGACTACTTTCGGGGGGGGGGGGACAACAGAAGAAGGCGAAGGAGGAAAAAACGGATGGACCGGGATCGGGGCGTGAGCCTTGTTCTGCGCTTGGATGGTGATGGAGAGAGAGAGCGATTTTATAGCTGGAAGAGGGGCTTTGTGTGTCTATTAGAGAGTAAAGTAATAAGGGAGAAACTCCCCCCCCCCGCCCCCGCAAGAAAGAAAAGCACTCAGAGCTCAGCGAAAGGTTTCCGAAGCCCGTTCTTAAGTTGCCCAACTCCTCTCCAAACCGGCGTCTCCCTCTCCAAAGTGGGAAAGCGGTTCGGAAACGCAGCAGGCGCGTTTGGGGACGCAGGTCTGGCCCCAAAGGGGAAACTGAGGACAAACTATACAGGTGGAATGTGGCGGCGGGAGGGGGGGAGAGAGGCACGCACGCACACTTTCTGGGGACAGTCCTTCTCCTTCCCCACCCCCCCACCCCCTCCGGGGCTTCGTGCAGCCTCAGGCGGCGCCCCGGGGCGCAGACGGCGGCGGCGGCGATGGGCGCGCGGCGAGGCCGCCTTACCGATGGTGGTGATGACGGTGATGGCGAAGTAGAAGGAGCCGGCGAACTTCCACTGGACGCCGGCCTTGTGGGGCTTGAGCTTGAGGACCACCCCCTCGAGCTCGCAGTAGTTGGCCTCGGACAGGTTGTACTTGCTCTTGAGCTCCAGCTGCTTCTCCTCCAGCGCCGTCCGGTCGGCCGTCTCCGCCTCGGACTCCAGCGCGTCGAAGACGGCGGCGCCCACCAGCAGGTAGGTGAAGGTGCAGATGATCAGCGCCAGCGTCCGCACGTTCTGCCGCTTCATGGTCCCGCCGGGCTGGGGCTGCCGGACGCCGGGGAGCCGCGAGCGGAGGGCGCTTCTGCTGCTGCTGCTGCTACAGCGGATGGAGAGGATGGAGACGGCGGTGGAGAGGAGACGCAAGAAGCGGCCGTTGCCTGGCTCATGGCTGCTGCTCCGGCGCCTGCCTGCTGCCTCCTGCCGCCGCCGCTGCTGAGGCTCCCGCGGCAGCTGGGCTGGCCAAGGCGACGGCTGCTCCGGGAAGGCGGGCGGGCGGGCGGGCAGCACCCGCCGCCCAGGCTCCCCGGGGGGAGGGAGAGCGCGCCGGAGGGCGGAGGGAGGGAGCCGCGGAGCTGTCCCTTCAGCACCACCTCCAGGAGAGCCCGGGCCACGCCACGCCGCCTGGGCGGGCGGCCTTCGAGGGGAGGGGGGACGGGGTGCGGTGGGGAGGGGAGGGGTAAGGAGAGAGGACCCCCTCAGGGAGAAGACCCCCGGGCCCGCACGAGCTTGGATCCCAGGGGTGCTGTTTCCTTGCCCCACGCACTTGGGGGGGTTGGAAGAGTGGTCCTGTCCAAGCCTCCGCGGGGCAGGGACCTCCGGGAAAGGGTCCTTGAGAGACAGCCGTCCGACCTGTGTTTACAAACCTCCGGGGGATTATAGAATTATGGGGTAGTTGCGTTGGAAGGCACCCCAAGAGTCTATTAGTGCAGCGAAAGGATCCTCCAGAGGCGGCCACGCAAACTCCGTTTTAAAAGCCTCTGTGTTGTAGAATCATGCAATTGTACAGGTGGAGGGAATCCCAAGGGTCATCTAGTCCAACCCCCTGCAATGCAGGAATAACGGTGAAAGGATCCACCATAGATGGTCACCCAAGCTCTGTTTTAAAATCCCAATGAATCATAGCATTGCAGGGGTGGAAGGGGCCACAAAAGTCCAGCCCCCTGCAATGCAGGGATCTTAGAATAGGGTTACCAGATGTCCCCAGGAACAGTCCCCGGATTTCCAAATCTGTCCCTGGACAAATTCCGTCCCCGGAATGTCCCCAGATTTCCTAATCTGTCCCCAGGAAAAGTGGCAGCGGCAGCCTGGAGCCAGCCTGGTAGTGCAGTTGGCTCTGGCTGGCTTCAGGAGTTGGTCGCTGCCATGTGCCTGCCATTTTTCCTCGCCGGAAGTCCCCATATGATGTGTCTTGTGCACATATGATGTGTCTTGTGCGATCTCCTGCCCCCTTTGTTTTGACTGCTCAGGAGTCGCGGGTGGGCAGCCGTTGCCCAGTTTTTTAAAAACTCTGCGCATTTATGTTTCACAGGGTGCGATAGAAGGACTTTGCACTTTTATACAACATGCATGTGTGCTTGGGCCCAGGGTCTTTTGCCTCATCATCCCCACTACTGACTTCCTGTTGCTACTCAGATTTTAAATAATAATAAAAAAAGTGTCCCCGGATTCATTGAAAAAAATTCTGGTAACCATATCTTAGATAAATAATTCCTGACAGATGGCCAGCCAAGGAAGACGAGTCCACCACCTCCTGAGGTCATGGAATCACAGAATTTTAGGGGCTGGTAGGGACCCCCCCCCCCAAAGGGCCATCGAGCCCAGTCCCTTGCAATTCAGGAACCACAGCTAAAGTGTTAAAGTTAAGCTACAGAACTTCCGCCCACAGCAGGTAGTGATGGCTGCCAATCTAGACGGCTTTGGAAGAGGATTGGACAAATTCATGAAGAGGGCTGTCAGTGACTAGTAGGCATCATGGCTGTGTTCTGCCTCCACAGTCAGAGGGAACAATACTTCTGAAAATAATAATAATAATAATAATAATAATAATAATAATAATAATTTATTATTTAAACCCCGCCCATCTGGCTGAGTTTTCCCAGCCACTCTGTGTGGCTCCCAATCAAGTGTTAAAAACAGCACAGCATTAAATATTAAAAACTTGGAGGTCTTTAAGCAGAGGCTTGACAACCATATGGCAGGAGTGCTCTGATGGTGTTTCCTGCTTGGCAGGGGGTTGGACTCGATGGCCCTTGTGGTCTCTTCCAACTCTATGATTCTATGATTCTATGATTCTATGATTCTATACCAGTGGTACCTTGTGTTACAGATGCTTCAGGTTATAGACTCTGCTAACCCAGAAATAATACCTTGGGTTAATAACTTTGCTTCAGGATGAGAACAGAAATTGCACGGCTGTGGCACAGCAGCAGCAGGAGGCCCCATTAGCTAAAGTGGTACCTCAGGTTAAGAACAGTTTCAGGTTAAGAACGGACCTCCGGAACGAATTAAGTACTGAACTGTACCAGTGGCTAGAAACCACAGGGGGGAAGAGGTCTCTTGTTTCCCACAAGTATCTGGCTGGCCAATGCAAGAACAGGACACTGGACTAGATGAGCCCATTGGCCTGATCCAGCAGAGCTCTTCTCGTGTTCTTATTTACTAATCCCCTTTCACAAGGCGATCTGGTTTATCTTGTAAAACGCATAGCTGAAACACAATTGCAAAACGATAATAACAGCAACAGAAGGTGAATTTTAAAATGGTTCCAAGTGGACACTTATGGCAAAGACCTGTTCATCCAGTTTGGAAAGCTGGATGGAACAAAAAATGTTTCCAGTTCCACCCCAACCCACCCACCCCCAATGGCCCATCTCACCCACTGTCTTGTTCTCACAGGAGCCAACCAGATGCCCCAATGGGAAACCAGCAAGCAGGATCAGAGCACAAGAGAATTTGCCCAGCCCTCTTTTAAAGCCCTCCAGGTTGGTGGCCGTCCCTGGCTCTTGTGGGAGTGAGTTCCATAGACTAACTCTGCGCTGCATGGGAAAAGTCTTCCTTTCCCCTGTCCTGAATCTTCCACCATTCCACTTCAGTGGATGCCCATGAAGGCATCTAGTGCCACAAGAGAATCTTTCCCATTACAGGTATTAGATTAAAGGGCCCAGGCGGAAACGATTAGCGCTGTGAATAGGTTATCTTGTACACGGTTGGGAAGTGCTTAGAAATGTCATGAGCAAAGTGCTCCCTTTGCATCTCATGGCCTTTTAGGACCACAGCTTACAAAATAAGTTTTCTTCTGTGCTTGTATGCGAGTGTCTATCGGCCAGCTGGGAGAAGGACTTCCTTCGTTTGGCGAAAAGAGGATTTCAGAAGCCACGCTAAATCTGTTAGTCTTGGAGGTGCCACAGGACTCTTTACACTTTTCCTGCCCTCATTTGCACAACCTCTCTTTAAAGACTAAAATTAGCATTCCACTAAAAGGGGGCTAAGGGCACTGTGAGTTAAACTGCAGAGCCTAGGGCTTGCCAATCGGAAGGTCGGCGGTTCGAATCCCTGCGACAGGGTGAGCTCCCGTTGCTCGGTCCCTGCTCCTGCCAACCTAGCAGTTCGAAAGCACGTCAAAGTGCAAGTAGATAAATAGGTACCACTCCGGTGGGAAGGTAAACGGCGTTTCTGTGCGCTGCTCTGGTTCGCCAGAAGCGGCTTAGTCCTGCTGGCCACATGACCCGGAAGCTGTATGCCGGCTCCCTCGGCCAGTAAAGCGAGATGAGCGCTGCAACCCCAGAGTCATCTGCGACTGGACCTAACGGTCAGGGGTCCCTTTACCTTTACCTAAAAGGGGGCTATGATATGCCATAGAGATGATGGAAGGATTCAGCAGACTTTTCAAACTCCTCTGTTCATTTCAAATATTTATCCTCCCTGTGCCAACTCTTTCAGGGTTTCCTTGCTTCTTTTAGATTCTTTAGGACAGTTTCACACAGAGTAGACCTGTTGAAATTAATGGGCCTAACTTAGCCATGTCTGTTGATTTCCATGGATCTACTCTGAGTAAAACCTCATTTTATATTTACTTATAACCTGCCTTTTCCCACTGGGCCAAGATTCAAGGCATCTCACCCAAATTAAAACAATACTGACAAAATACAAGACACAAAGAACATATGAAATATAATCATTTTAAAAGCAATTAAACTAAAACCATATAAACAATAAAAAACACCCAAATCTGTACAGATAATAAAAACAGTACAGCACTGTTAAAAGCCACTTCCTTTAACAATAATATAGCTAGTTTTTTGAACTACAACTCCCCTCAGTCCCAATCATTATGGCCACACGGTGGTGCTTGTGGGAATTATAGTCCAAAACATCTGGTGTGCACCCAGTTGGCAAAGACCCAGCTCAATGTTCCCCTTCCCCTCTGCCTCCAGAGCTGAGTTGCCTCCAGCCCACCCGCAGCGAGACCCCTTCTCTGGAAAGATGCTTCCAGCCTCCTCCCACCCGCAACACAAGGACAAAAGCGAGGAAGACAATATTACGCCACACTGATGCCTGTCAGGCTCCAGGAGAGTCCTCTGAGGAATAAGAAAGGTTTGGTGTACTTATAAATAATTGGCCGCGTTTGGCTCCTGTGGGATGCTTCCATGCACAGAGAGACAACACAATTTGATCACAGGTGCCACTGGAGGAATATGGCAGGTTTGCAAGGCTCTGTTGCCTAATATCATTTGAGTGCTCTGCTCCTCAGGTTCCTTGAATTCTGCATGAGACAAGGACAGGAATCTAGGTCTTCTCCTTATTTGTCTTCCAAGGCAGGGGTCTATTACCCAACAGAGGGTGGCAAGCCATACCACAGTGTCCTCTGGGCACCTTTAAAAAAATGCTCAGGTGAGTTCTGTGGGATGTAACATCACTGAAACAGTCAAATGCAACATGTCCTGTTTGCCCAGAGTGGACACACAGGGGAATGTTGCTCCAGCCAGGAGGACTTCCTGTCACACCTGGTCTGGAGCATCCTCTCCCCGTGTGTGACCAGGGTGTGACCCTGGCAGACCCTATAAAGGGGCTAGTCACGCAGCCATCTTTCTCTTGTGTCTCTTGATCCCATCTCTTCTTGATGCCTTTTGCTGTCTGCTGGCTCTCAGCCAGCAGCACATAGGCTCATCCCTCTCAAGAGGATGAACCCACACTTTTCTCTGTAGCTGTAACTACAAGCTCAAGCCTGCCTTCAGGACCATACTGTGAACTGAATATAAGTAAACCTTATCATTGCTTTTTTAAAAAGACTGCTGCGTCAGTATTATTTTTAAGAGGGAACTAAAGAGGATTTACCATGAACAATCCAATCTGGACAAGCCAGACTGGATTGCTCAACTCAAATGATTCTAACGAATCCATCAAGTAGCTTCCTGCAATGTGCAAGAGAATGTGCTCTGCTACAGACTCACTAGCGTGAGTGAGGAAGGATAATATTTCATCAATACATCCTCTCCTGCTATCCTCAACATTCCCAAAAGTTCTCTATCAAGAGAACTCTGTCTCCTGCTGTCAGCTCTCATTGGTGAAACATCCACACACCCCTCCGTGGGAGGACCAGGTGAAGCAGGGGAGGGGAACCTCGGATCCTGTGTCAAGGACGGGTAGGACATAGAGAAATGGTGGGAGGAACCAGCTGGGGAACCATCAAGGGAAGAAGGCTCAGAGCCTGGGAGGTGGGATGGTGATGAGCGATCAGAGGGAGCAGCCTGGGAAGAAGAGGTGTCGGAGGCTGAAGGGGTAACAGGGCTTAGTGAGCTGGGAGAGTTTGTGGCAGAGAGAAGTCAAGAACCGGAAGCTGAAGCAGCAGAAGAGGGAGGCCAAGAGGCAGAGGTGAGCCAGGCTGGTGAAGGCTGCTGCACCAGGCTCCCTTCTTCCTGTGACACCCAGAACCAGAAGAGGCATGAAAAGGGAGGAGCAAAGGCAGGCTGCACACAGGCTCAGTCTCTGATTGCTTGGAAGAAGCCCTGGGAAGAAGGAGGCCTAGACGGCTGTGGGGAAGCAGGGAGTTTTAATCTCAGCAACTGGCTTCGTGGAGTAAGACCTACAAGGCAAGAGCTGCTGTGCCATATGCAGCCCTCCAGTGCTCTCTCTATGGCCATCCAAACTCTCTTCAGGCCACGCCCTCTATCTCCAAGCCACACCCCCTCGCCGGCCCTGCTTCACAACCCAAGTTACCTGGCTGGAATGTGTCCTTGAGTTCTAACCACGTCCCTTGCTTGTCTGAATGGAGGATAGAGATTAGCTTACCACCGACTATACTTCTCGAAGCTACAAACATGAGTCTGACCAAACTGCGGGAGGCAGTGGAAGACAGGAGTGCCTGGCGTGCTCTGGTCCAGGGGGTCACGAAGAGTCGGACATGACTAAACGACTAAACAACAACATACTCATGGAGTACAGTGGTACCTCGGGTTACAGACACTTCAGGTTACAGACTCCGCTAACCCAGAAATAGTACCTCGGGTTAAGAACTTTGCTTCAGGATGAGAACATAAACCGTGCTCCAGTGGTGCGGCAGCAGCCGGAGGCCCCATTAACTAAAATGGTGCTTCAGGTTAAGAACAGTTTCAGGTCAAGAACAGACCTCCGGAACGAATTAAGTACTTAACCCAAGGTACTGCTGTATAGCCATTGGCTTGAGGAGAGAAGTAAGGCAACCTTCCAGAGTCCAGCGAGCAAGTGATCCAAAGAGCAAGATGCAGGAAAATAAAGGGGAGATTCAGGACCATGGACAGAGCATGGGATGCTGCTGCAGGTAATCTTGAGTGTTGAGCTAGTCTTGAGTGTTGCTTCAGCACTGGTCAGGCGCTCCCCACCACCACAAGGGCTGAAAGACCATCACACCCTAAGTTTTAAGTCAGATTCTCCTTTCTTGCAATGTGAATTCATTGGTTTGGGTCCTCCATTCTGGAGCGGCAGAAAACAAGCTTGCTCCATCCTCCATGTGGCAGCCCTTTAGATATTCTGATCCATTTCCTCCTTAATATTGATTTCAGGAGTGGATTCCCTGGTAAACCCTAACCTTTAGTGTTAAATCACAAGACCAGCCAATTGCCTCTCAAACAGCTGGTGACGCTTTCTCCTCTCCTCCCTTTTGCAAACACCATAAAGTCAGGCACAGCTGTGCTGCCCAACAGAGCCAAAAGGAGCTGGGGTTTTATTCGCTAATTAAAAATCTCCTAGCAGCCAAGTCTGTGCTGTCTGGAGGCAGATCAGATGTCCACAGAGTTACCAAAACCGAGACCGTTCTCTTGGTTCCCAAAGCCCTTCAGCATGGAAAGTTCCATGGCCAGGTGCTCAAAGAAAAATCTCACATCCCAGTCCTACTTTCGCTTGATCTGTATTTTAATAATAATAATAATTATTATTATTTATTATTTATAACCCACCCATCTGGCTGGGTTTCCCCAGCCACTCTGGGCGGCTTCCAACACAGTAATGCATCAAACAGTAAAAGCTTCCCTAAACAGGGCTGCCTTCAGATGTCTTCTAAAAGTCTGGTAGTTGTTCTTCTCTTTGACATCTGGTGGGAGGGAGTTCCACAGGGCGGGTGCCACCACCGAGAAGGCCCTCTGCCTGGTTCCCTGTAACTTGGCTTCTCGCAGTGAGGGAACCGCCAGAAGGCCCTCGGAGCTGGACCTCAGTGTCTGGGCAGAATGATGGGCGTGGAGACGCTCCTTCAGGTATACCAGTGTTATGTGGTCTTGGCGGCTGCTCCCACTCACCAGTCTAGCTGCTGCATTCTGGATTAGTTGTAGTTTCCAGGTCACCTTCAAAGATAGCCCCACACAGAGTGCATTGCAGTAGTCCAAACGGGAGATAACCAGAGCATGCACCACTCTGGCAAGACAGTCCACTGGCAGGTAGGGTCTCATCCTGTGTACCAGATGGAGCTGATAAACAGCTGCCCTGGACACAGAACTGACCTGTGCCTCCATGGACAGCTGTGACTCCAGAATGACTCCCAGGCTACGCACCTACTCCTTCATGGGCACAGTTGCCCCATTCAGGACCAGGGAGTCCTCCACACCTGCCCACCTCCTGTCCCCCCAAAACAGTACTTCTGTCTTGTCAGGATTCAACCTCAATCTGTTAGCCACCATCCATCCTCCAACCACCTCCAGGCACTCCAGATACTGGTTGCATTGTGTGCAGATTAATTCCCCTGGGATTTTCTCATTGTCCCGTGGCTGGAGATGCTGAGAGCTGGACTTGGGACCTTTTGCTTGCTCTTCCACTGAGCTCTGTTCCCTCCCCACTTTGGCTTTCCAGGGGCAGGGAGTCGTGTTTGCAGAGGCACTGAAATACTTCCTGAAAAACCTGTGAAGGGAAATATTACTCTTCTGTGTGCCTGTTTTCAGCCATTACTTCGCCAGACTGCTGCTGCTGAGGCACCATCTAGTTGTCAGTGTGCTCCCAGCCAATCAGGAACCAGTGCTTATGTGGGCAATCATGTGCTGATGTCATGGGCAGAGTGTGAGCCAAACTTCCTGGACTGGTCCCACTGGGAAGCCAAGTCAGCCAGCAAAGGGAGGGCAACTCTCCATTGGCCTCTGTAAAACAACAGCATCTCCCAGCATGTTCTCTTGTGCAAGCTTCTCAGAAAAGATGAACAGGGAAGAAGACCTTGCCCAGGAGGATTTCCCAGTAGATAGGACTCTGGGGAGGCTAGGAGATTTTGCACGCTCTCTGAGCCACGCAAGGCATCTGTTGCTGCCTCTGAAACCGGACCTTGATTTGTAACATAGTTAAAAGCAGCAAAATGGAGATTTGATTAAGGGAACATCTGGCGCCTGTTTGTTTAAATGCTCAAAAGTCATTTATCACACTGGAGCTCGCTGTGGCTCTTCTCCAGGGGAGTTGAGACATAGGGACAACGGACAAGTGAGCAGGAGCCTTGCTCTGTGATCGCCTGCCGTTCATGAATCGCTATCTCCGTCCAAAACAGACGAAGGCCTCTCATTTCCCGGCAGTGGTCCTTAACAGCTATGCCATCGCACAGCTGCTCCCAGTCATGTCAATGGAGCTTGTGCAAGAGAAATAGCCAGAGGGCCAAGCCCTTGCATAGTTAATAAAGGTAAAGGGACCCCTGACTGTTAGGTCCAGTCGCGGACGACTCTGGGGTTGCGGCGCTCATCTCGCTCTATAAGCCAAGGGAGCCGGCGTACAGCTTCTGGGTCATGTGGCCAGCATGACTAAGCCGCTTCTGGTGAACCCGAGCAGAGCAAGGAAATGCCGTTTACCTTCCCGCCAGAGCGGTACCTATTTATCTACTTGCACTTTGACGTGCTTTTGAACTGCTAGGTGGGCAGCAGCAGGGACCGAGCAATGGGAGCTCACCCCGTCGCAGGGATTCGAACCGCCGACCTTCCGATCGGCAAGCCCTGGGCTCTGTGGTTTAACCCACAGTGCCACCCACATCCCTTGCTTGCATAGTTAACCTACCCCTATTTTCAGAACTTTGGGCTGCCATTTTTTCCGAGGTTTATTTTCAGATTGAGAGTCACTTAAAATAAAATTTAAAAAACCCCTAGGGGAATCTTCCATCCTAGCACTGCAGCAGCTACCAGTCTGCCAGATCGCCACCTGCAGTTGTGGGCACCACAGTTTGAGAAGGATATGGACAAGCTTGGAGGGGTGCAGAGGAGGGTGACCAAGGTGATCAAGGGTCTGGAAACCAAGCCAGATGAGGAACGGTTGAAGGAGCTGGATATGTTTAGCCTGCAGAAGAGGAGAGACGGAAAGGTGACATGATGGCCATTTTCAAATACAGGTGACTCCCCACCTATACACGCTCTCTCCAGGTCAAAAATGCTGTATCCAAAAATATACACAGCTGGAATGGAAGCTCTGGGGCCGGCAGGTGGTGTTTTAAATATCCCACAGTGCTGATAGGGAGGGGTGGGGTAGGTCAGGCGGGGGGCAGTGGCTGGCCCAAAGTCACACCCAATGAGCTTCATGTCTGAGCAGGGATTTGAACCCAGGTCTCTCCCAGTTCCTAGTCCAACGTTATAACCACTACACCACACTGGTGTAATGGGAGCAATTAAAGACAAACTACAGTGGTACCTTGGTTCTCAAATACCTTGGTACTCAAACAACTTGGAAGCCAAACACTGCAAACCCTGAAGTAAGTGTTCCGGTTTGCAAACTTTTTTTGGAAGCCAAATGTGCTCTGTTTGGAGTGTTACGCTTCCGATTTGAGTGCCACACTTCCACTTTGAGTGTTACACAGATGTCTGCTATTTATTTTGTGTTTTTGTTTTTGCGGCTCTTTTTGTTTTGTTTTTGCGACTGTGTGGAACCCAGTTCAGCTGCCGATTGATTGATTGATTGTGTGACTGCAGTACATTGTTTATTGCTTTCATTTTATGGATCAGTGTTCCCGTTAGATAGTAAAATTCATGTTAAATTGCTGATTTAGGGGTTACTTCTTAAAGTCTGGAACAGATTAATCCATTTTGCATTACTTTCTATAGGAAAGCATGCCTTGGTTTTGGAACACTTTGGTTTTGGAACGGACTTCCGGAACAGATGAAGTTTGAGAACCAAGGTACCACTGTAGTTTAAAACAACCATTAAAATACAGCAGAACACATTTAGAACCAGCGATTAAGATACAGTTTGCCTTGTCTGAACCTAGTTTCCAAAGGCCTCTCTGCTGGCAAAATGATAACTTCTCTAGGAGGGAAATCATAAGGCTTTTAATAATTCTGTATTTCCTCCAGGGTCCTCCAGAACTACACCTGCATGCAGAGGTAGCATCTGTAGCAAGGATGTCTTAGGCTGATTCACCTGCTATGACCCTTCCTGGAGAGGAATGACCAAGTGATTCATGCCTTAGTCACATCAAGATCGGACCACTGTCATGCGCTTCATGAACTCACATAAGCATGCCTTGGGAAACTGCAACCGGCTCAGAAGACAACTGGAAGTCGGGAAGAGCTCAGCCAATGCAGGCCGTTTGAGTTGCAAGTCAGGGAAAAGGGCTGCTCTTGTACTCAGGCCCTGCTTGCAGCCTTCGCGCTGAGACATGTGGCTGGCCGCTGTGAGAACACAATGGACTGTCCCCCAACTGGACAGGATTCAAGCACAAGAGCAAAGTCCCCTCCTATACGTAGTTTCCAGTAGCTGGGGTTCAGAAGCAATGGTGTCTCCAACCATGGAAGCAGAAGGTAAACGGCGTTTCCGTGCGCTGCTTTGGTTCACCAGAAGCGGCTTAGTCATGCTGGCCACATGACCCGGAAGCTGTACGCCAGCTCCCTTGGCCAATAAAGCGAGATGAGCGCCACAACCCCAGAGTCGGCCACAACTGGACCTAATGGTCAGGGGTCCCTTTACCTTTACCTTTACCTTTACCGTCAAAGGTGACTATGGGGTTGCAACACTCACCTCTCTTTCAGGCTGAGGGAGCCGGCGTTTGTCCGCAGACGGGTGCCTGATGATCGTCTTCCAAAGCAACTACTCTATTCAGAACTATAAAATGGAAAGCGTAACGCTGGTGGTCAACAAAAGAGGTTTAAAGACTGTCTCAAGGCAAATCTAAAAAAATAATGTGGTATAAACACTAACAATTGGAAAACACTCACCTGTGAGCGCTCCAGTTGGAGAATAGCCTTTACCAAAGGTGTCATGGGCTTTGAAGACACTCTAATTCAGGACACAAGGGAGAAACGTGCTAAGAGGAAGGCACGCTTGGCAAATCCACACTGTGGTCGACTCCTGCCTGGAAACCAATGTCCCCACTGTGGAAGGACGTGTGGGTTCAGAATTGGCCTCCACAGTCACTTAGGGACTCACTGTTAAGATCGTGTTCATGGATACAATCTTACTCAGCTACGAGTGATCACCAAAGAAAAAGACAGACAGCTTTCCAGGTCATGTGGCCAGCAGGACTAAACCGCTTCTGGCACAACGGGACACTGTGATGGAAACCAGAGCGCACGGAAATGCCATTTACCTTCCCGCTGGAGCAGTACCTATTTATCTACTTGCACTGGTCTGCTTTCGAATTGCTAGGGTGGCAGGAGCTGGGACAGAGCAACGGGAGCTCACTCCGTTGCTGGGATTCGAACAGCCAACCTTCTGATCGGCAAGCCCAAGAGGCTCAGTGGTTCTCCCTGCAGCCTTGAAACCTGACCAGAGGCGACTCACAGGTGCAGAGAACAGCTGCATTCTCCTGACTGATGCTGCCTGTGCCATTTGCAGGATTGCAGCTGCTAAAATGCAGCCCTTTCTCGGGCCGAACCTTGTCAACTATTTCGCAGCAAAGAGCAACGTGTGCTCGTCCATCACCAAATGTCACGCAGCTGCAAGCAGAGTCTGCTTCCATGCACCTTCTCCAAAAGAGCAGAGTGTACTGTGATCTGGGTGGCTTTGTCTTGCGGTTCCACAGGCGCCCAAATTCTGCGTCCCGGCAAACAGCCTCCCATCAGATGTCAAGGAAACAAACAACTATTTTACTTTTAGAAGACATCTGATGGCAGCCCTGCAGAGAGAAGTTTTTTTAAAACGTTTGAAGTTTTATTGTGTTTTTAATATTTTGTTGGGAGCTGCCCAGAGTGGCTGGGGAAACCCAATCAAATGGCCAGCATATAAATAAAACCACTATTAATAGTATTATTAGCCACATTCCATTATCCCAGTTGTCTTTGTCCATGGAGTTTTCTTGGCAGGGATACTGGAGTGGCTTGCCGGTTCCTGCTCCAGGTGGATCACGTTTGGTCAAAACTCTCCACTATGACCTGTCCATCTTGGGTGGCCCTGCATGGCATAGCTCATAGCTTCTCTGAGTTATTCAAGCCCCTTTGCCACTGCAAGGCAGTGATCCTAGACAGCATCTTAAAAAGCAGAGACATCACCTTGCCAACAAAGGTCCATATAGTAAAAGCTATGTATGGAAGTGATGTATGGAAGTGAGAGCTGGACCATAAAGAAGGCTGATTGCCGAAGAATGGATGCTTTTGAATTCTGGTGCTGGAGGAGAGTCTGGAGAGTCCCATGGACTGCAAGAAGATCAAACCTTTACATTCTGAAGGAAATCAGCCCTGAGTGCTCACTGGAAGGAGAGACCCTGAAGCTGAGGCTCCAATCCTTTGGCCACCTCATGAGAAGAGAAGACTCCCTGGAAAAGACCCTGATGTTGGGAAAGATGGAGGGCACAAGGAGAAGGGGACGACAGAGGATGAGATGGCAGGACAGTGTTATACAACAGGGGTAAGAAACCTTTTTCAGCAGTGGGCCTATCCACTGTCCCTCAGACCTTGTGGGGGGGCGGACTATATTTTGAACAAACTAATAAAAATGAACGAATTCCTATGCCCCACAAATAACCCAGAGACAACAAAGGAAAAGTGGGACATTCCGGGATCAAATCAGAAACCGGGACGGCTTCTCTAAATCAGGGATTTCCAAGGAAAATAGGGGCACTTGGAGGGTCTGCTATAAATGGATCTTGTCTATCTAGATGTGTGTGTGTGGATATATATATATAGAGAGAGAGAGAGAGAGAGAGAGAGAGAGAGAGAGAGGGACGCGGGTGGTGCTGCGGGTTAAACCACAGAGCCTAGGGCTTGCCGATCAGAAGGTCGGCAGTTCGAATGCGACGGGGTGAGCTCCCGTTGCTCGGTCCCTGCTCCTGCCCACCTAGCAGTTCAAAAGCACATCAAAGTGCAAGTAGATAAATAGGTACCGCTCCGGCGGGAAGCTAAACGGAGTTTCCATGCGCTGCTCTGGTTCGCCAGAAGCGGCTTAGTCCTGCTGGCCACATGACCCAGAAGCTGTACGCCAGCTCCCTCCGCCAGTAAAGCAAGATGAGCGCTGCAACCCCAGAGTCGGCCATGACTGGACCTAATGGTCAGGGGTCCCTTTACCTTTACCTTTATATATATAGAGAGAGAGAGAGAGAGAGACCGCTAGGAAGGTGCTGGTTGGACCTTTCGGCACCCAGGCAGTTCCCCACCCCCAAAAACACACCCCCAGGCTGGCCTTGACGATGACAAACCTGCTTCCAGGAGCTCACAGCCGCCGCCGGACCCCCATGGAAAATAAAACCCTTCTGCACAATACTTGGCAACCGCCTGGGGGACAAAAGCTCTCTTCCCACGACAGGTGCTGTCGTCTCCCTTCCATGCCTGGGCTTGTTCCATGGAAATTTTGGGAGCTGGCCAGGATGCTGAAAGCCTCCAGCCCCCTGCATGGTGGGGGTGGCTATTTTTTGCTTTCTCTCTGCCCCCCTCCCTCCTGCAGCCAGCTGCTTCTCTTGTGGCCAGGACGCTGGCACGGGACAGACAATTCGCAGCCTGTTTGCGTCCCCGTTTTCCAGAGGAAATCTGAGCAGGGCAGGCCTTAGACTGCCAATAAAACACAATAATTTGCCAGCCGGGTGCCTATATTTAGACGCCTGACAGGTGGCAGGGCTGGGAAGAGCAGGGGAGCCAAATCCGAGCCCTGCCCCTCCGAGGGGAGCAGCGGCTACGAGGCCTTGCTGCCACCCCAGCGATCAAGGGGATGGAGAAATTCATGGAAGAGGAGAGAGCCATCAATGACTCTTAGCTCCAAATGATAATAGTAATAGTAGTAGTGATAATAATAATAATTTTATTTATTTATTTACACCCTGCCCTTCCCGGCCAGAACCGGGCTCAGGGCGGCTATCACCAGTAAAATTACAATAAAATATAATAGGAAAGGGGGGGGACATTTAAAATACGGGTTAGAATGCAATTTAAAATGCATCCTCATTTTAGTAGTAGCCCATAGATCAAAACCATAAGGGGAGGGAAACATAAGGGTCAGACTGAGTCCAAACCAAAGGCCAGGCGGAACAGCTCTGTCTTGCAGGCCCTGCGGAAAGATGTCAAGTCCCACAGGGCCCTGCTCTCTTGGGACAGAGCGTTCCACCAAGTCGGGGCCAATGCTGAAAAGGCCCTGGCCCTAGTTGAGACCAATCTAACCACCTTGTGACCTCCAAAATGTTGTCATTTGTGGATTTTAAGGTCCTCCGCGGGGTATACCAGGAGAGGCGGTCCCGTAGGTACGTGGGTCCTAGGCTTTGTTCCGCCTCCACAGTTGGAGGCAGTGGTGCCTCTGAATGCTCATTGCTGGAAAGCACAGCAGGGGAGAATTGCTCCTGCGTTCGAATCCTGCTTGTGGGTTTTCCACTGGGGTCACTGTGAGCAGAGGATGCTGGACTAGAGGGGCCTTTGCCCTGATCCAGAAGGTTCTCATTCTTCTTATTACTTATTTCATGAAAATTTTATACTGCTTTTTGTAAAAACAACAACAATAACAACAACTCAAAGCAGTTTACAAAAGAAAAAACAGTGAAATCAGGGGGGAAATATGATAATAATAATAATAATAATAATAATAATAATAATAATAATAAATGTTATTCTATACCCCACCCCGGACAGAGCTGGGCTTAGGGCGGCTAACACCAATATAATCACAGTAAAAACATAATAGGGTGAAGAAGAAAAACACCAATTTAAAATACAGTTTAAAATACAGGTTAAAATGCGATTTAAAATGCAGCCTCATTTTAAAAGTAGCCGATAGACAACCATCATAATCGTATTTCTAGCCAAAGTCAAAATACTAAAACAGATTAAGATCACCTCAACTTTCTAAGCAACTGGGTAAGCTTGTTGAGACAAGACTGCTTTTATGTTATGTTATGTTATGTTATGTTATGTTATGTTATGTTATGTTATGTTATTTATTTATTTATTTGAATTTATATACTGCTCTATTCCCAGAGATCACAGGGCAGTTCACAGAAGAAAAAAAACACAACATATATAATCAGAATAAAAACAACAACCCAATAACACGCCCCCAAAAAAGAGCCTCATTTTAAAAGGTCATAGGATGCCAATCAGATCAGCCAAAGGCCTGGTTAAAAAGGAACGTTTTTGCCTGGTGCCTAAAGGTGTATAATGAAGGCACCAGGCGGAATTCCCCGGGGATAGCATTCTACAGATGGGGAGCCACTGCAGAGAAGGTCCTGCTCTCGTGTTGCCACCCTCTGGACCTCTCGAGGAGGCGGCACCCTTTTTAAGCAGGTGCTGAAAAGAGTGCAGTGAAGGCAGTGAGGTCAATGCTTCCTTCCTTTCCTCTGAAGTGTGATGGGTAAAAAACAAAAAGGGGCCCAGCGGTAGCAATTTGCACCCTTCATGCAATTTGCACCCTTCTCCAGCTTTCGGCTGGATGCTAATACCAAGCTTTGGATAAGAAAATAAAATGTTTTAAAGAGAAATCTTAGCTCTGCTCTAATTAGAACTGCTCAGGATCACACCATTGGGTTAATGTTGTTGTTGTTTAGTCGTTTAGTCGTGTCCGCCTCTTTGTGACCCCATGGACCAGAGCACGCCAGGAACTCCTGTCTTCCACTGCCTCCTGCAGTTTGGTCAGACTCATGCTGGTCCCTTCGAGAACACTGTCCCACCATCTCCTCCTCCGTCGTCCCCTTCTCCTTGCGCCCTCCATCTTTCCCAACATCAGGGTCTTTTCTAGAATGCTGGTGTGTTTTTCAAGTTCATTGCTGGCTTCGTTTTTCTTCTGAATGTTTTGAATGCTTTTACTAAATAAGATTCTTGTTTTATTCTTTTTGCAAGTGGCTTCGAGGGTGTGTGTGTTTTTAACAATCAAGTGGTATATAAAATGTATTAAATAAATCAATACGCAGTTCTGGTGTGGTTCCTTCATTGCAAAGGGTCCCTTGCACTTGGGGTCCCATCCAGCTCTACAGTTCTATGTTTTTTCCTTCCTCAGTGACATGATTATGGAGAAGGGGCAGGGCTCTAGTCAAATGTTCCTTGGGGGTGTCTCCCCCACCCTGAACAATAGAATGATAGCGTTGGAACGGATGGAGTTTGTCTGACACCCAGCCATTATTTTGACCTACCAGTGTCAAGACAGGGCTGTTCAAAGGGAGTGCTCTCCTGCTGATCATGTATGGTTTCTGCTACTTGTCGACTTGCAGTTTATGGGAAGAATAATCTCCTGGTGATCATCAGGAGATTATTCTCCCCATAAACTGCAAGTTGACAAGTATCCAAAACAATGCGTTATCTTAAACAGCATTTCCCAGCAGGACTGAAATTCTTTTCCATTTGGTCCATTTCCATTTGAAACGATGCCTTATGAGGAACGGCTAAGGGAGCTGGGCATGTTTAGCCTGGAGAAGAGGAGGTTAAGGGGTGATATGATAGCCATGTTCCAATATATAAAAGGATGTCACATAGAGGAGGGAGAAAGGTTGTTTTCTGCTGCTCCAGAGAAGCGGACACCGAGCAATGGATCCAAACTACAAGAAAGAAGATTCCACCTAAACATTAGGAAGAACTTCCTGACAGTAAGAGCTGTTTGACAGTGGAATTTGCTGCCAAGGAGTGTGGTGGAGTCTCCTTCTTTGGAGGTCTTTAAGCAGAGGCTTGACAACCATATGTCAGGAGTTCTCTGATGGTGTTTCCTGCTTGGCAGGGGGTTGGACTCGATGGCCCTTGTGGTCTCTTCCAACTCTATGATTCTATGATTCTATGGTCGTGTACTTTTTGACTTGTTTTATTTATTGTTTCTGACTTTTGTTATGTTGGTGATTATTTAAATCTTGTTACAGGTAGATAGCCGTGGTCTGCCATAGTCAAAACAAAATAAAAAAATTCCTTCCAGTAGCACCTTAGAACATCACCTTGCCAACAAAGGTCCGTATAGTTAAAGCCATGGTTTTCCCAGTAGTGATGTATGGAAGTGAGAGCTGGACCATAAAGAAGGCTGATCGCTGAAGAATCGATGCTTTTGAATTATGGTGCTGGAGGAGACTCTTGAGAGTCCCATGGACTGCAAGAAGATCAAACCTCTCCATTCTGAAGGAAATCAGCCCTGAGTGCTCACAGGAAGGACAGATCCTGAAGCTGAGGCTCCAGTACTTTGGCCACCTCATGAGAAGAGAAGACTCCCTGGAAAAGACCCTGATGTTGGGAAAGATGGAGGGCACAAGGAGAAGGGGATGACAGAGGACGAGATGGTTGGACAGTGTTCTTGAAGCTACCAGCATGAGTCTGACCAAACTGCGGGAGGCAGTGGAAGACAGGAGTGCCTGGCGTGCTCTGGTCCATGGGGTCATGAAGAGTCGGACACGACTAAACAACTAAACAACAACAACAACAGCACCTTAGAGACCAGCTAAGTTTGTTATTAGTATGAGCTTTCGTGTGCATGTACACTTCTTCAGATACCAATAACAAACTTAGTTGGTCTCTAAGGTGCTACTGGAAGGAATTTTTTTATTTTATGTAAATCTTGTCATGTTGTAAGCCACCTTGAGCATTGTTTTAACTAAGGAAAGGTGGCATAGAAATAAAATTATGATGATGATGATGATGATTTCAATCCTGTTTCACATCATGCAGTTTCCGGAACACAAGCAAACTTTGCGCAGATCTTTGGCTCCGATTGTTTTCCTAACGGCGCAGCAGGGTAAACTCCCCTCTTGCGCTCGTGAGAAGCATTTGATGTTTGTTCCCGCAACTGGGACTGAGCGGCTGTGCTTGTACGTGTGTCGCGCTTTGCTGTGCTACAGGGAGCCGCTGCTGAATTCTGTGCTCTGCGCAGGCGATACTCATTCAGCCTGGCTGGCTGCCTCCTTCTGCGCTCTCCTCCTTGTTTCCCACAGGTCCAACCAGATGCGCAAGCAAGCTTTAGTCAATCTGCACGGTGCCTGATGATCTGCCTTGTAATTACCTCTAAAGCAGACCAGCGTTATGAGATGTTTGCCTGCGCAGGAACATTCTTCTCTCTCGTCTCATTTGCAGGTTTTTTTCCGTATCTAGGACAGTTTGCAGAGGCAGGTCTACCTGTTTGCAAGCGTGCAGATACAGCCGGAAGTGTCCTTTGCCGTTGCAGTACAGAACGCTTGCTCTGATACCGTCCCCGCAAAATCAGCTGCTCCTAGGGATTTTAGAACCTGTTATCATGTGCAAAGCTCAATATTCATTATGAAAAGGGAGGTAATGGGTCAGACTGCACATTTTGCGGTTACAAAGCAGGAAATGGTTATTGAATGAGGCTGTGTTTTTTGTTTCGTTTTGCTTTTCAGTGGTTTATTCTGCAACAAGCCATTGATGCAATGATAGTGGGGAAGAGAATCATAGAATTGTAGAGTTGGAAGGGACCCTGAGGATCATCTAGTCCAACCCCCCGCAATTATTATTATTATTATTATTATTATTATTATTATTATTATTTATTATACCCCACGCACCTGGCTGGGTGTTTAATGAAAGGGCTGGTGCTATTCTGGTTTTATTGTAATTACTGGTATGTTCTTAATAGATCTTAGATAGATAGATAGTTTTAATTCTATTAATGTTTAGTAGTTTTTAAATGGTTGTTACCTGTCAGTGTTTTTAGCTGTTCTGATCTGATCTGTAAGATGCCTTGTGTCCCTGTCAGGGGAAAAAGCGAGGTATAAAAAATATATATAGCATCATCATCCTGGATCGCTCAGTTGGTTAGAGCATGGTGCTGATAACATCAAGGTTGCGGGTTTGATCCCCGTATGAGACAGCTGCATATTTCTGCATCTTGAAAGACCTACATTGGCTCCACCCCCATTCTCCAGCCCAGACAAGCGAAGTTACAGGGAACCAGGCAGAAGGCCTTCTCGGTGGTGGCACCTGCCCTGTGGAACGCCCTCCCATCAGGTGTCAAAGAAATAAACGACAGTGGTACCTCGGGTTACATACGCTTCAGGTTACAGACACTTCAGGTTACAGACTCCGCTAACCCAGAAATAGTGCTTCAGGTTAAGAACTTTGCTTCAGGATGAGAACAGAAATAGTGCTCTGGCGGCGCGGCAGCAGCGGGAGGCCCCATTAGCTAAAATGGTGCTTCAGGTTAAGAACAGTTTCAGGTTAAGAACAGACCTCCAGAACGAATTAAATTCTTAACCCGAGGTACCACTGTATCTGACTTTTAGAAGACATCTGAAAGCAGCCATCTGAAAGCAGGGAAGTTTTCAATGTTTGATTTTTTTTTATTGTGTTTTTAATACAGTCATACCTCGGGTTGAATCCGCTTCGGGTTGAGCACATTTGAGTTGCGCTCCGCAGCAACCCGGAAGTAACGGAGTGCGTTACTTCCGGGTTTCGCCGCTTGCGCATGAGCAGGCGCTCCAAATGACGTCAAGCGCATGCTCAGAAGCGGCGAAAAGCAACGCACACGTGCGCAGACGTGCAGTCGCTAGTTACGTTTGCTTCTAGATGCGAACGGGGCTCTGGACCGGATCCCGTTCATATCTAGAGGTACCACTGTATTCTGTTGGGAGCCACCCAGAGTGGCTGGGTATAAATAAGTTGTTGTTGTTGTTACTGGTTTGAGACCTACCTTCTGGAGCAGGAGAAAACAAGCATGCTCCTTCTTCCATCATTGTCAAGCCTTGGATTCCAACTCCCACCATCCCTGACCATTAGCTATGCTCTTTGGGGCAGCCCTTCGGATGCTTGCAGATGGCTCTCATATCTCCTCTCAGTCTCCTCTTTTCCAGGCCCAACATCCCCAGCTCCTTCAACCATTCCTCATCAGGCTTGGCTTCTAGACCCCTGATCATCTCGGTCACCTTTCTCTGTCGATATCTCCTTCATTTGAGGGTTTTTTGTATTTGTTTTTTACTTTTGTTTTTTATTGGTTTTCACATATTACTTTACAATACAGATATACCGAAGCCAACACCATTTCCTCCCCATCCCCCCATACATTTACATTTCTATTTCCTCAATCCATCTTATTATCCTTTTCTCCTTCCTCCCACTTCCCTCTGCCCCCACTCAATTTCCTCCACATTAAACAATTTACAATAATCTTTGCATTCTACAATCTTCTCAAATCATCTACATATTCTTATTATCTTTCCTTACTAATTTTTCTTCCATCCAGTACTTCACATTTTATTTTTTTTATTTATTTTATAAAATATGTATTGAAATTTTACGATAAACATAGATTTAAAGAATTTTAAAAAAAATTAAACCAGAAATTACACATAGAGAGAAAAAAACCAAAGCTAACAAGAAAAATACCAAAAAAGAGACCTAAAAAGGAGAAAAAAAAGGGGGAAAAGGATGATACAAAATACAAAAAACAGATAGCTGAAAAAATAGAGAGAAAAAAAGAAAAAATATTTTAAAGAAGAAAAAGTCCATTTTTCAATGTCTTTAGGCTCATTTACTTATTTCCTTGACCTCCTCACACCTCCCCTTTTTGTATTCCCGTTTACAAAATCCTTTCAGCAAATCCTTACCCTCTTTCATTTATCTTTACTCTGTATCTTAACCTATTATAACTATATATTTTCATCCATATAACTATCAATATTTACATATTCTTATTAACCTTATTACCAAAACCACTTATTTTCAGTCCAATATCATTATAACATTCATTAATTTTACAGTATTTCTGCAAATAGTCTTTAAACTTCTTCCAATCTTCTTCCACCGACTCTTCTCCCTGGTCTCGGATTCTGCCAGTCATTTCCGCCAGTTCCATATAGTCCATCACCTTCATCTGCCATTCTTCCAGAGTGGGTAAATCTTGTGTCTTCCAATACTTTGCAATAAGTATTCTTGCTGCTGTTGTAGCATACATAAAAAAAGTTCTATCCTTCTTTGGCACCAATTGGCCGACTATACCCAAGAGGAAGGCCTCTGGTTTCTTCAGGAAGGTAAATTTTAATACCTTTTTCATTTCATTATAGATCATCTCCCAGAACGCCTTAATCCTTGGGCACGTCCACCAAAGGTGAAAGAATGTACCTTCAGTTTCTTTACATTTCTAACATTTATTATCGGGCAAATGATAGATTTTTGCAAGCTTGACTGGTGTCATGTACCACCTATAAATCATTTTCATAATATTCTCTTTTAGGGCATTACATGCCGTAAATTTTATACCTGTGGTCCACAACTGTTCCCAGTCAGCAAACATGATGTTATGTCCAACGTCCTGTGCCCATTTAATCATAGCAGATTTAACCGTCTCGTCCTGAGTGTTCCATTTTAACAGCAAGTTATACATTCTTGAAAGTATCTTTGTTTTAGGATCTAACAGTTCTGTTTCCAACTTTGATTTTTCCACCTGGAAGCCAATTTTTTGTCTAAATTATAAGCCTCTCTTATTTGATAATAGTGAAGCCAGTCTCGCACTTTATCTTTTAGTTTCTCAAAACTCTGCAGTTTCAATTTGTCTCCTTCCTGCTCCAAAATTTCCCAATATTTCGGCCACTTGGCCTCCATATTGAGCTTTTTCAGGGCCTTTGCCTCCATCGGTGGCAACCACCTTGGGGTTTTGTTTTCAAGTAAGTCTTTATATCTTGTCCAGACATTAAACAATGCTTTCCTGACAATATGGTTTTTAAATGCTTTATGAGCTTTGACCTTGTCGTACCACAAGTATGCATGCCATCCAAAAACATTATTAAATCCTTCTAAATCCAAAATGTCTGTGTTCTCAAGAAGCAGCCAATCTTTCAACCAGCAGAAAGCTGCTGATTCATAATAAAGTTTGAAATCTGGCAGGGCAAATCCCCCTCTTTCTTTTGCATCAGTTAATATTTTAAATTTTATTCTGGGCTCCTTGCCCTGCCAGACAAATCTAGAAATGTCTCTCTGCCACTTCTTGAAACAATCCATTTTGTCTAGAATTTGTAGTGATTGAAACAAAAACAGCATTCTCGGCAATACATTCATCTTTATAGCAGCAATTCGACCCAACCAGTACTTCACATTTTAATCTAGGCATATTAGCGTATCTTTTTTGGAGCAATATTTTGCCATATATTCATCAAAACATTTCCACTCCTTTTTTAATTTTTGATTTGACTGATTTCTTATTATAGCAGTAAATTTTGCCAAGATTAAATATTCATTTAGTTCACAAATCCATTCCTCCTCTGTGGGTATAGTTTGTGACTTCCACCTTGCAGCAATCACTATTCTAGCAGCTGTACTTGCATACAGAAAAATTCTTTCCCCCCCACCCCTGGTATCTCATCATCTATCAATCCAAAGAGATATGTCTCTGGTTTCTTTGTTATTGATATTTTCAACATCTTCTTTAGTTCTTCATGTACTACTACCCAAAATTTCTTAATTTCCTCCTTCATTTGTGGTTTTTAAACAGGGACTGGGTGGCCACCTGATAGGGATTCTCCAGCTGCAGTTCCTGCATTGCAGGGGGTTGAGCTGGATGACCCTTAGGGGTCCCTTTCAGTTCTGCAATTCCACAATTCCCTGTCTGGAATGGCATCTGCCATCAGGTCAGGGTAGCCCTGGACCCACAGTCCTGACTGATTTGCCTGGCCCAGAGTATCATTAACCCTTCTCATATCTATTTTTAGATCTCCAGCCGATGTACACTAGCTCTTAAAAGACGATTTCACCCAACATAGTCTGATTTAAATAGGGTTATTCATAATAACTGGGGGCAAATCTCCAGCTTCTCCAGTCTTGCAGGGACAGGCTGAGGCGAGAGAGGGGCTTTTGCACCGCACGCTGACCTTAAATGCTATAAATGCACACACGCTGTGCCCTTGGGGGCAAGCTATTTATATGATCTGCCACGATCACAGTTGATTTCCATTAACATACCAGAGAATGTGTCTTGAAGGCATCAGCTCTCTCTCATCCCGACCCAACTGGCTGAATGTTGTCATTTCAGTCTCTGGAAAGAAGCTGGGCTTTCGTAATAGTTACAAAAAAAGGCTGCTCGTCTTGCTCAAGTGGCGGGGAGTTCCGAGGGTGTATGTGTTTCGTTGACAGGGTCTGTTTCCAGACAGCACGCAAAACATGTGGTTCCTTTGCAATTACCTGTTCAGGTTCTTAATAATAATAATAATTTATTATTTATACCCCGCCCATCTGGCTGAGTTTCCCCAGCCACTCTGGGCGGCTCCCAATCGAGTGTTAAAAACAATACAGCATCAAATATTAAAAACTTCCCTAAACAGGGCTGCCTTCAGATGTCTTTTAAAGATAAGATAGCTGCTTATTTCCTTGATATCTGATGGGAGGGCGTTCCACAGGGTGGGCACCACTACCGAGAAGGCCCTCTGCCTGGTTCCCTGTAACCTCACTTCTCACGATGAGGGAACCACCAGAAGGCCCTCAGTGCTGGATTTCAGTGTTCGGGCTGGACGATGGGGGTGGAGACGCTCCTTCAGGGATACTGGACCAAGGCCGTTTAGGGCTTTCAAGGTCAGCACCAACACTTTGAATTGTGCTCGGAAACATACTGGGAGCCAATGTAGGTCTTTCTAGACCAGTCTTGGTGGCCCCTCCCAGTCACCAGTCTAGCTGCCACATACTGGATTAGTTGTAGTTTCCGAGTCACCTTCAAAGGTAGCCCCACATAGAGCACATGGCAGTAGTCCAAGCGGGAGATAACCAGAGCATGCACCACTCTGGTGAGACAGTCCGTGGCAGGGAGGGTCTCATCCTGCATACCAGGTGGAGCTGGTAGACAGCCACCCTGGACACAGAATGGACCTGCGCCTCCATGGACAGCTGTGA